GGTTGGTATTTCTCTAAATATTATAAGAAAACACCGTGGAAATTTTAATTAATTTTAATTCCGCTGATATAAAGGCAAACGAGAAGGCGTTCCTCTAAAAATATTTATATAAACATATTTCTAACAATATACCCAATTAGCATAACTATTCTATTAATGAAATAATAGTAAATATTTATTATACTTACAATTATAAAATATTACTAATTGAATTAGATCTTTATAGAAGACCTACTTAAGAGAAACCGCATTATTAATAAAATTATAAATATAAAGGTCATTTAGAATAAACTAAAGGAAGAATATAACTACGAACTCTTCGTCGAAATCTTCGACTTTTATTACAATTAACTCGACATTAAAACCAAAACACCTAATATCTACAAATAGTATCGCAATAAATAATTTTCCTTAACTATAAAAAATTACCATATTAATAAACGTTTAATAATCTTTATTAAATTAGCCTATTATATTAAAAAATACGTAGAATAGGTTAAGAAGGGCGCGAACCGACCCGTAAGTAATAAGAAAATTCCTACCAAGGACTAATTTATTGATAAATATAAAAAGGTTACTTAACGAAAGGAATAACAACCTTTTAAACCTAATATACTTAATATAATACGAATTTATAAATCAGCGCATAAATATATTCAAAAACTTGGAAACACCTACGTCTATATCGATCAAGATCCGGAAATATATATCCCCGGAGAGTCCGATAATAATAATAATAAAGCATTAAATATTACCGTATAAAATATTTATTTCCTTTACATATTATTTATTTTTTATAATATTAATTAATAATTTTAGTAGCTATAAAATATAAAGGAAATATATATTCAATAATAATTAATAAAGGGGGATTTAATATATTTATATTTACGAGATTTTAGCGTATATAATCAAATAAATATAATAGAATTCAAGTTATTAGCGAACTTCGGCGGATAATTACAAATATAAATATATATAATAGTTTAAATTTATAATCTTACTATAAGTAACTATATTCTATATATCGAATTTAACTAAATATTTATTTTAAGAATAATAACGATAATACTTTAATATTGTATAGAACTTTTCGAGTATATTTATTTAAACTTATCTCCCTCGAAATTTAACTTTAATTAAATATTAAATCTAAGGGGCCAGGGTAAACGGAGGAAATTAAATATACAATATCTAAATAGAACGAGACTCGGTAGACCCATTACCCCCGCCCGAAATAGAATAGCTCAAGCGCGGACCCTACCTAACAGAATCTACTTACTAAACCCTATATTTATTTTTATAATTATTATTACTTATTCGTATTACAATTTTTTCTTCTTTAACCTTAAAACCCCGTAACCTTACAACTTTAATTCCTTTATATCAATTCTAATTAATAAAAATACTAATCCTATTTATCTTCTATTAAATTAATAACGGTAGGCTTCATTCTTCTTTTTTCTTCTTCCCGTCTTTCTTTAAAATTTCGTTAGGTACAAGAACAATATTAACTCTATACCCCGATAAAATTACGCCTAATTTAAATCTATTATTATATTACTAACCTTTGTTATTCGTTAATTTTTACTTTTTACTTTCTACTTTACTAAATTCTTACGCATACAATATATTATTTATATCTTAATTATTAATTATTCTCTTTACGCCTCTCTATATAGTAAATTCCACTCCAATACCGTCGTTATCCCTCTTACTTTAACCTTATTAATATTTTAACAGCTACTATACGAATATTATAGCGCTAACCAATCACCTAAAAAGCTATATAACGAATTATAATACAATTCAATAATTAATATAAGAAAAATATTCGCTATAATCCCGACGCCCTACATATCCCAATTAAGGAAGGCCCGTAAATATATTAATTTATTAGCACTCTAATAAAATATTCTAATATATCGGAGGAGGAAATAAGTTAAAATAAAATAATAAATAAATAAATAAAGTAAGAAGAAATTTACCCCGACGTTATATAGCTTTTCTATTTATTTCTCTATAATATCTACCTACCTAATAATAAAAAACTTTAGCCGCTTAGAATAAAATTAAACATAAAAGTTAAAAAATATATTATTATTATTCCTATAGAGGACGAAGAGGACGTCGCTCCGGCCCCGGCCCCGGCCCTTAAAAAGCGTAAAACTAATGAAGCCGAATTAGGCAGTTTTATAAAAATAATTAAAAGTATATATATTTAATAAGTTTCTAATCCTTAAACCCAATTTTCTTTCATAATTATATTAATATTAAAAATAAAGGCCCGTATTTCCTCCACTTCGGATTTATTGGCTACCTTTCCTATTGAAATTGAACTTTTCAATATTAAGCCGGATAAGAATACCGTTACTATTAAATCCGTTGCTACTAAGAAGCCCGCTATTACTAAAATTCCCGCCGCTACTAAGAAGTCCATTATTATTATAGAACCTTCTACTTCCAATATCAAACCGGATAAGAATATGATTACTAAAAAGCCTACTATTAAGAAGCCCGTTACTATCCCCATCTAATTTATAATTAAATTTAAGTAGAGCGACGATAAATAGAAAGAAATTAAATATACTAACTAAATATTTTTAAATATCGTTTTCAATTTAGATTCCGAAAATAATAACAATTGGATTCGATTAAAAAACGAAGACTAAGACTTAAACGAACTATATATTTATAATAATCCCAATATAACTATTAATTCGGGCGAAATAAAGGATATTATTATAAGTGTACTAATTCCTATTATTAAAATTAAACCTTATAGCAATCGAATTTATAAAATTTAAATCGCCCTATTTTCTACTAATAATAGGAATACCTACCGCTACTTATGAAATAATACTAATATTATAATAAAAGATTGAATTAATTATTTTGCCAAAAATACTAATATAGGAATATACTTTACTACATTAAAGAAAATATTAATACTTATAAAGAAAAATAAATTATATATATATAAAAAAATATTATTACTAAATTTCTTAGGAATAAAATTCGATAAGGCGTATTTAATTAAATCTTCGAAAATAGTTAGGAAGAACGGTACGTAAAGTAATATATATAAAGGAAGTAAATAAGCGCCGGCTACCCGTCGCTAGCATACTAATTATGCTAACGACCGTTCTAATATTATTCACCTTATATACGGAAATACTATATTCTATCGTCTTCCTAAAAAACTCAATAGAAACAACAAAAACGATAGAAATGATATTTAGGGTGAGGATTAACTATTTATATTCCGGAAGCCTATCGACCTTTAGAAATAGGAGCAATAAAATTTAGAAAAAATATATACTTCGATTAACCCCCAATTATAATTTATAATTATAAGTAGGTTTTAGAACTTTATTTTAATAGTTATATATTAATTTCGGGGCTATATTTTATACTAATGTTCTGTTTTTTCACTTTATTTAAATTCCTATTCTTATAATAAAGAGAGACAAAAATTAATCCGATAGCGGGGGGTAATAAACTTTTAATACTTTTTATTTTTATTACAACTATCTTTCATTTTTATAATTATTATTCTATTAACGTTAAAGTTTATCCGACAAAGCTTTAAGGCTTCCCTTCGATAGATATTACCGCAATATTTAAAATTAGGCTATTAAACGGGATATAAATATATTAAAGAAAGGAATTTTAATATAGGAATATCTATACGATTAACAAGCAATTCGGAATTTCGAATAATTTCGAAATTAATATAAAATAAATAAACAAAGCATTATATTATTTTTATATACTATCCGTACGTTAATAATCGAATTCTACTATATAATATTAAACTAATATCTGATAAATAATTATAAAAAAATATAATATATACTAATATATTCACTTCACCTCTAAATTCTCACCTTATCAAAAATCTCTTAGCAACTATAACCACTTTAAAAAATAATTAACCTTATTTCTAAACTCAACTTCACAATAAAACTAATTTAAAATAGAAATATTTAAAATTAACGATTACTTTTATAGTAAAATAATCTTAAATTATAATCAAAATAATTTTTATAATATAAATAAAATTAACGTTCCAATATTACAATAATAGGAAGTAGCATTTCTTAGAGGAGACGTTCTTATCATTGAAATGTAGCCAATATTTAAACATCCATATACTTAGAAATCGTATTTCTTAAAAGAGAGGTTCGTACTCTAGCAAAATATAGCTTGTACTAAATGCAATTACTACATTCTAAACCATCTTTAATAAATATCATACTAACGATAATTCTTACAAATATAATACACTATACACAACACCATTACAACCGATTTTATAGTTTCGTTTTCAAGAAAATACTGGGCATTATTTTAGAATAGGAAAACAGACCCTCCGTGGGAAAACTATCCAGTCGCACGGAATTAATCCCGCGGATCATTTTTACAGATACCGTATGCGCGCTATAGTACATGGTTCTAAATCCTTCCTCAGCTACGCCTTCCTTCAAGAGTGTCGATCAGTGGACTCCACCAAAGTGCCAAGACTAAATATCCCGAATAGGAAATGGAAGAGCATCACTTTTGCTGTGATCGTTAACAACGCCCTATGAGCGGATTTCGTCGACCAAATTTGGCCGGATGAGCGGGTTCCCGAAGACTAGGCAGACAGAAACGGCTGCCCATGTCAGCCGTGAAAGCCATTCAACCACCTGGTCGTCGAGGCTTAAGGTTGTAATACCACCTGAATCCTCTTCATGGTACGGTGAAGCGAATCCTTCGGCTTGACGATCATGTCTAGGCATGACGAAATGTCCATCGGACTCTCAGGTCCCGAGAGACTAGGCAGACAGAAACGGCTGCCTATGTTAGCCGTCAAAGCCATTCAACCACCTGGTCGTCGAGGCTCAAGGTTGTGATACCACCTGAATCCTCTTGGTAGTACGGTGAAGCGAATCCTTCGGCTTGACGATCATGTCTAGACGTCACGAAATCGGACTCTGTGATCGTAAGATGGTGGAACTGGACGATGTGCGCCTACCTTTAGGTATACATGCTGTTGTCGGACATAGGGGACGATGAGTCTATATAAACCGCCCTTCGTCTTGCGTTCAAAGCAGTCAGTTCTTCTCATCATCTCATACAGCAAGCACATCAAGCCTTCAAAGCCATAACGCAGCATACCAGTTTCTTTCACACCAACAACTCAAACACAGTCTTTCTAAGCAACCGCAACAATGAAGTTCACCATCATCCTCGCTCTCGCCGCCACCGCTCTCGCCTTCACCAGGCCCAAGGCAAACGAATACAAGAACTCCGACTGGTGAGTACCTACCTATCTTACCTACCCTACCAACTCCCCAGCCTCACCTCTTGGTAGAGCTGCATTTGGATACAGCGAAAGTTTTGATGACCCTCACTAACGATCCACTTCGACACAAACAGCTCCGACCAAAACTACGGCCACAACTCCTTCTTCCTCGAGGACGTGACCATGGACGACACCACCAAGTCGGTGTACCTCACCGATGGTAGCACACTCGAGGGCCTATCTAAGGGCTGGTTCGGCTACTCGAAAAAGACTGGCGACGGAGGCAAGTGCTCGGGCGAGAGACTGGGTCGGTTGCCGGAGAAGTGTGTCAACGTTGATACTCTTGCGTCTACGAGGATTAAGTGTGTTAGGTCTGAGGTCCTCTAAATGAGGGAGGGTATATTTTGGGATTGCCTGGGAGGGAAATGGCATGTCGTGTCTGGTTCGTCGAAGTGCTGGGAATTATGAGGATGGATGAATGAATGAATGGGTAGCACATACAAATGAGGACCACAATGTCTTTGTTTCCAAAACACATCATCATGATTTTGGCTCGCCTTGTTGTTACATATTCTACTTCTGAACATTCTACTTCTGAACTATTGGTATGTGAACCGTTCCATGTTGGTAACACAACGTCGAAAGTGCCGACCAACACCCTTTCAGGGGTGTTTACATGCCAACACAAAGGACGGGTGGGACCAATCGGAGTACATCGCAGTCCAGATGTCCAATATCGTCCAATAAGATGAGTTATATCCTATACCCGGGATGCATTATGCCTGTTCTGTGGGCTGGCAAGAGTCCTTGACTCGTTATCGTCATGATGTGGATCCATCGTGGAAATAAACGGTGCAACTTCAACACAATACCGACCATCATCAAAACAAAATCATCGCCATCGCGGCTATCCACGGGCTTGACCTTCTTGGTTCCCACAAGATTCACATGGGAAAGATCCTTCCTCATCTCTGAATTCTCTGCACACCGTAGTTCCTTCCTCCGTCCTCGGAAAGCGACAGCGGTGTGTTTCGAGGATTTTATCCATCACTTAGTACTGAATCTGGACCTGCCTAGGCTCATCCAGGGTCCGTCCTTGTTAGTCCTTGTTGGTAACGGCTGCATATATCAAAGATGACTTATATCCCTTTTCTCTGAGGATGTAAAACCATTTCTTTTCTCACGGGCTTGGTTTGTACCTATTCTTTTCCAACAGACGTTCAACACCCGTGTTTTACAATGTCCGCCCTCTTCGACACCAACCCATCACAACCCCCAAACCACGACTCCAACGCCATCGAACTCGCCCAACGCAGCCAACAACATGCGTCTTTCGCCGGGCAAGAATCAGACCCCGAAACCCTTCGAGCAGCCGGCGGCACGCCTCCTCCAGATGACATCGACCCGGCCAGCATCGCCTTGGTAGAAGACGTCCCTCCAGATGGCGGCTACGGATGGGTGGTCGTGGGAGCAGTATTCCTCATGAACGTCAACACCTGGGGCATCAACAGCGCCTGGGGAATTTTCATGGAGTTGTATATCCGCGAAAACACCTTTCCGGAAGCGAGCCATTTTGAGTACGCCCTGATTGGAGGCTTGTCTGTCTCGCTGGCTTTGATCTTGGGACCGATTATTAGTGCTATCCAGAGAAAGATTGGGACCAGGTATACGATGGTGCTGGGGTCGTTGATGATCTTTGCTGGGTTGTTCTCTGCGTCGGCGGCGAGTAGGGTGTGGCATCTTTTTATGAGCGTGGGGCTTTGTATGGGGTTTGGGTTTGGGTTGCTTTATATCCCGGTGAGTTGCAGTTCCTCTACAGATAGGTATTTTGAAAGAACTAGGTGGCTTACACGTGCAATCGAAAACAAACAGGCAATGGGTCTCCTCCCGCCATGGTTCTCACGACACCGGAGTTTGGCTCTCGGCCTCGCAACGGCGGGAGCAGGCGGTGGCATCGCATGGAACCTCATCACTGGCAAACTCCTCGCCGTCTCTGGACTGAAATGGACCTGGCGGATTCTTGCCCTCGTCTCCGTTGCTTTTAACATCATTTGCGCCTTCCTCTGCCGCGAGCGGCCTATCAGCTCTTCCACGGGGTCGTCGAAACGCCGATCCTTCAACATCCGTGACTTTGGCAGGACCCAGGTCCTTCTTATTCTCCTGTGGGGTTTCATAACCGAATTTGGCTACGTCTCCCTCTGGTACTCTCTCCCGAGCTATGCAACCAGCATCGGCCTCACTCCATCCCAAGGATCCGTGGTTAATGCTATGTTGAGCTTGGGAGTGGGCGTTGGGCGCCCGCTTGTTGGGTAAGTCGGCTCTCTAACTAACACTTCCTCGCTATCTATGCTCTTCAGCGTCAATCTTCGAAGGGCCGTCTGCTAATTTCCTGTCACCTAACTAGCGCCCTCAGCGACCGCTTCGGCCGCATCAACCTCGCCCTCCTCTGCTGCTCATCATGCGCCATCCTCTGCCTAACCCTCTGGATCCTCGCCCGCTCGTACGCCGGCCTAATAATCTTTGCCATAGCCGCGGGCGCCGGAGGTGGTTGTTTCTGGGCCACGGTGAATCCCATCCTGGCGGAAACCGTTAGTCTCGCCGAAAGCAGTGCCATTTTTGGCACTATCTGCTTCGCCTTAGTGATTCCTACCACTTTTGGAGAAGCCATTGCGCTGCAGCTCGTCAAGGGTGGAGACGGCGTCAACAAGTTCATTCCGAGCCAGATCTTTGTCGGCTGTACGTTCCTGGGGGGCACCGCTTTACTCATGCTCCTGAGAAGCTGGCAGATTTGTGAGATTGAGAGAAAAACGGGGGGTGCGGGCAGTGGTCAAGATTGGGAAGGGCATAGGAGATCTGGAGAAGAAAACCGGATGGAGGAGGATTTGGAGGAAGGAGTTATGGCTTCGGGAAGAAGCGCTGGAGTGGCGGTTTTGGGCGAGTTGAGGAGCTCGGCTGCTGGGATGTGGTCTCCGAGAAAGCTGTTTGTTGCCAGGAGGGTGTAGCGATGGGTGTCATGTCACGGTAGAAAGCGTTTGTTTCACTCGGATTTAGGAATGTTGTTCAACGAAGCTATGTGTCCATGATAGATCTAAAAGCTTTCACCAAGTCTCTCGCGGGGGTATCTGAAGCCAAGCGGACACTTGTGTAAAAATCCGCTTATGTGCCTAACTGCCTATACACCCAAGTTTTGCCGGGTTCTGTGCCTCGAATTCTCTTCGCAACATGGATCCTGGTAAGGAAACCGTGCTGAAAGTGCTATTAGTAGAGTAACGGGCAACAGCAAGCAAGGAAGGGGTAGAAGAGGCGGGAAAATAAGTACGAGCAGAAGTCCTTCTTAATGAGATCCACTCTTCACAAAACCTGTTTTTCTTGAATATCGTCGTGGCAGAAAACCCATTTTGCCTTTGAAGACGTTGGAAAGAGGAACCCTCCTTATGATAAGAAACCAATGGAAAAAAAGAAAAGCAAGTACCAGTCAAGCGCCGAAGGTGAGTACCGAGCCACTGACTTGGGTATATCTCAAAAGCAGTAGCAACTGGAAAGAAAGAAAAAGAAGGTCAATATCCATGTGAACAATGGACGGTTGCACTCCGAAGCGCGGTGATCATAGCCGGTCTTGATCCACCTGTACGTATCCTCTGGGACCTAGGCTCCATCAGTTTCCTCAAAAGACCTTGCTCACTCATCAATGGTGTTGTCCTCAACCGCCTCCGCTTGGTTGTTAGCATCATTGTTGTTGCCAAAAAGTTGGGCAAGTTCCTCCAAGGTTGGCGGATCCCGATGGACGCCATCTTCCTGCATGATTTGCGAGATGTTGCCGTCCTTCTTCTTCTGAAGAGACATGAGATTCTCATCGATTGTATTATTCGTTAATATACGCACGAAGTATGTCTCTTTCTCCTGGCCGATGCCTATTTGCACAGAGTCAGTGATTTACCGACGATAGGTATCCATAGGACTAGGGCAACTAACGATGAACTCTGCCAAACGCCTGAGAGTCAACTGCAGAACACCACTATGCGTCCACGCTGATAACTCTGTTGCTGGCCGTGGGGTTCAAGGCTTGGCCTCCGCATTTGAGGGACACGATCTGGTGGCATTTCGTTAGTACACGCGTTGATGAGGGATCCAAGCCTGGGTCGAGAACTTACCATAACCTTGGCGTTGGGATCATCCTGGAATGTTTCCACAGCTTTGTTTCTTTGGTCTTTCGTCATGCTACCGAAGTAATAGAGAAAGTTGATTCCCTCCTCAGCCAGCACGCGCCCAAGGATCCTTGCTAAGCGGACCCATTGCACAAACACTAGAATCCGAGAAGTTAGCACAAAGTCAGGCAAAGAACTGATTATGTTAGCTTACCAATGATTTTGTCTTCCGGGGCTTGATACTGCCATTCCAAGATCTTGCTCTTGATAGCCACGGTTTTGGCGCTGCCAGCCAGCGAATGGTGCTGAGTCTCGTCCCAGGATGCCAGCCATTTGGAACCCTCCTTATCCCTTGGTTCAACACCGTTCATGTCTTGGCCGATTGTGTTTTCCACGGGTCGCTTGTTGTATTTGCGCTTCTGGCTTCGCTGGGGTTGATCCTCAACGTCCAACACTGCATCCTGGCCGCTGTTCTGCTCCTGGCGCACAGGCTGCTCAAGCTTCTCTAACCTCATGAGAACGTTTTTGCAAGAAGGACAAATTCCGGGATCCAACTCGAGTTTGCCTTCAATGCAGTCGCTACAGAACAAATGACCGCAAGGATCGGTGATGACCGGATCCGTAGCGATATCATAGCAGAGCCGGCAATCGACCTCCTCGCCCGCCTTCCCCTCCTGCATTTCAGCGAACTGTTGATCCATGTCGAACTGGCTTTGACCAAAACGGGCGGCAGTATCTCCTTCCTTTATGCGAGCTTCATATTCCATCGTCATCCAGCGCTGAAGCTGGATGTGAAGAGGTGTGCGCCCTCCGAGCTTAGCAAGCGAGTTTTGCAGGTATGTCAGGTCTTCCGTGTTGAAGTTCTTTGCCATGGTGTCTTCCAGAAGATATGGATGGGAAACAGCTTGCCGTAAGCGGGTAATACAGGCAAGGTATGTGCGCATCTTTGCCTTGTCTGATGCATCAATTTGCGTTTTGATGTTGTCGAGGAACCTCTGTTCGAGACGACTGTAGATCAGTCGCTCCTCAACTGATAAGTCAACCCGGCATTCCTCTATGGGATGGGTTTTGGGTATTTGGAGGATCGGGGCACCCAGGAACGTGTCATCCACTCGTCTTCTCAGCATTATGCTGGAAATGACTGCCTCCAATCGCTGTTTCGTAGTATCCTTTTCAAGGTCTCCGAACTGAGCTTGGAAATCTCGTGGATCAGTTGCCCAGTGGCAATTGAGGAAACGCATGTACGGATATAACTCATCGATTGAGTTGTGAAAGGGCGTTCCGGTAAGAAGCCAACGATGTTTGCTGACCAAGCTGATGCAAGCCTTTGATGTCCGGCTGTTGGGATTCCTTATAGCGTGGGCTTCGTCCAAAACAACTCGGTGAAAGGAAGACTTGAGCAAGTCTCCTTGCACTTCGTCGAACTCTTTAACCCACTCTTCGTCGCTGACTTTCATGCCGGCAATCCTTTTCAAGTCCTTATCAGACGGGAACGCATTAGCAACTTGTGTGTAGCTGGCCAGCCTGCTCAGAAATTAACGCCTGTTAGTGTTGATTCGTCGATCCTAAGGTTTTTGAGAGCATGAAACTTACAGGACATCTGCCTTCTTCCATAGCTTATCACCCATGGATTGGGATCGGTAATGATGCCATGTCCCAATGGCTTCTTCAGTACAATGCTTCTCAAGTTCCCGTAACCATTGTAGTATGGCAGCTGAAGGAGCAACAATGAGCGTGGCATGAGACCCTGCTTTGATATCCTCCTCCGAAGGTGGGTTTGAGACAATCGTCGCCAGTACCTGGACAGTTTTCCCGAGTCCTAGGTAAGAGAACAAGTTAGCAAGTGGAAGAACAACAGAAAGAGTTAGTTGAAAGCTTCGCGTACCCATTTGATCAGCCAAAATACCTCCGAAAGGTGGCGCGGGAGAGAATTCCTGACCCAACATCCAGGAAACCCCCACGATCTGATGGTTGTAGAGAGATGACTCCATTCCCGGGACCTTTCATCTTCCGTTGTTGGGTTTTACTTTGCCCCTTCCAAACGATCGGATAGATCTCTTCAACTCCCCCATCTCCATTGACCTGTGACGCTTGGTAGGGTTTCCCGACATCTTGAGCAAGAAGTCTTTCATGGCCTGCAACTGATCATCTTGCCTCCTCGTGTCAATTGGCCCTGGCATGGCCACATCACCATGTGCTGCTCGCGCAACAATTGGGTTGTTATTTTTGAGCATCTCCATCAATCGTCGCTCTTGAGCTGTGGTGATTCCCTTCTTTCCCTTCGATGGTTTGTTCTTCTTTCTTGCTGCTGTAAGCTGCTTCTTCTTCCCCTTGGCAGATGACTTGTTGTCTTCCTTTTCGGCATAGAATTGCTCCCACCACTCCTTTGCAGTCTTTGCCGAAGCCTTCCTTTTCTTCTTGCCGCTTCCTTCGGCTTGCTGCTCCCCGGGTCCAAAGCCCGAACCCTGCGGGTCTCCGTTGTTGCTAGATGCAGCATTCTCTGTCTCTCCAAGAACTTCGATGGCTCGTAGAGCAGCCTCAATACCTGCATCCGAATCTGCCTCCTCATCACTGGGGTTTGCGTCATCTGCACCGGAGATGGAATCCATATTTTGTGCGAGTGTCTCCAAATCGGCAATCTTAGCAGTGATCGCAGCAAGCTTCATTCTGTCCATGAGTGAGAGTTTCTCCGACTTTGAGAGCTTGCTCAGTCGTTCTTTCTCCATGAACATCTGGGCGAGCTCCTCGTCACTTGGCTCTTGAAGCGGCTGACCTTGCAATGTCTTTTCTCCGCCACCCACGCGTCTACGCTGAGAAAAAACGTTGCGAATTTGTGTTCGCGGCATCGGCTCCGGCTTTCGTACCTGCTTCTGCTTCCCTTTCCCTTTGTTCCGACGACGGCGCTTTGCAGAGCTTTCACCGTCCGACCGCTGTGCGTATTCGTCAGATTCGTAGTCTTCGTCGCTGTCTTTGTCGTTCTCCTCGTCATTGTCTTCTGATGCTCTGCCTGTATTCTTGGTGACATGGTGCAGCAACAGCAGGTCGTCGTCCTCTTCGACCTTGATAGGCTCAGCGCTTGCGACAGGTGGACCGGGAGAGACAAAAAGCTCATCATTAGCTTTGGGTTTCTTCTTCTCATCGAACTTCGCTCTCACGTATGCTGGCACATCCTCAGGCTCCACGATCATGAGATCATCGTCGTCCTCAATCATGACAGCAGCTGGGAACCCACTCTCAGCATCCTGAGCAACCGCGTCGTTTCCGCCCTGGTCGTCGCCGAGACTTGGACCTCCAAACAGACTTTCATCGTCATCATCCACGTTGATGGGGGTAGAATGGCCATTCCTGTCATCGTTTGGATCACTCATCTCGTCTCTCCTAGAGGTAGTCCAGGGATCGAGGTTAGGATCCTCGCTGAGCGACCGAACTGGATCAGGTGCTGGAGTATGTTCCTGAAACATCGGCGGAGCAGACGTTCCATGCCCTGACTCCGTAGCCGGCCAATAATTCGGCAGATGCTTAAGCTGTGGGATGTCTGATGGGTCGACTGAGAAGTCGGATGGGTTTGGCGACATTGTGTTGTTTGCCAGAAGTATTCCTGTCATGCACTGATTAGTTGTTGAACTGAGCTAGTACAAAAAGGAAGAAAAGGTAAATGATTGTGACAAACCTTTAACACATCAGTGAGATTAAGGGCCTCCGCGGCTTATCAAGCTGAAGTTGACGTAGTGGAAAGAGAAGAATTTGCTGTGAAGATGAAGCCTGGCAACACCCTCTCCTCAACGTGAGAAGTGGTGAGAGTAATGTGAATGATGGACTTCCGGCTGAAAGGCTGTGAGCACCCTATAGCTCCTGTCGTTTCTTGATGTGAGCGGAAGTTGAGTGTTTCTGTAAACCGATCTTGAATCAGGCTTTATGGACTGGTGAATTATACCCTGTCTAACTTGAGTTATCAAGAAGAAAAGAGACGGGCGAAGATCTCAAGGCGACGCCAACACGAGCTCGCGATGTGTAGAAGAAAAGGAAGGGAAAAAATCGGGAGTTCATCGGGGAGGAGGCGGGTTCTTATAGACGGGGAGGGGGCTGCTCAGGAAGTCAAGGTATCGACGAGCGAAGCAAACTTCTCTGCAACGGCAGACTGCGGTACGTTTGTCATCTCAGCTCAGTTCGGCGTCTTGGAAGAGGTACTTTCCGTCCAATAAACCTCGAGCATCGGACGAGAGCAGATCCCCGAAGTAGATACCAAACGCAACCTTTACTTGTCTGGCGAGTAGCCGCTTGGAAGTGAGAGTTCAAATAGTCTGTGGATGTCAGAACATGGTCGATCAAAGCTCACCTTGGCCTTAGCATGGCCATCGAGATGTTCATGCCCACTGATTTCCATAAACATACCTCTTCCATGGGTTTAAAGCCCAAAGTGGATATGTCAATGCCTAGGTACCTGCTAACAAGAGGATGCCGGAGTGGTAGTGTATGGGAGTAATCACGCCCATTCTTGTCATTCCTTCCTCAAGTCTCAACCATCAGGACGACTCGCTTCCGCGTTGCTCCCATAAAACACCCCCGTTCATGAGCAACCGTGTGCGAAACTTGTCGTCCGAAGGCGGGAGAGTGACTTTCAAATGTTGTATGAATTAAATGGGACGATTGCCGTCGACATGACATCGTCTGATGGCAAAGATGAAACGAAAGCCCAAGGACGCAAAGGAAAAGCCAGAGGCGAGGGCTTGCGGTGGGCGTGGGTAGATTCCTGCCTTAAATCCAATCTGAGAACCACTTGAACCCATAATCAATCTGCAGCTGAGCGCCATTACCCCTTGAACATTAAACCCTCACAACTCTCACACACTCAACATCACCCTCACCCTCCCCCATCAATCCAACTCCCCAGTAATATACCCCACCTGCCTCCTCCCCCCACCAGGCGGCACCGCCCCATTCAAACTCCTCGCCAACCTCTCCTGCGTCTCCACCAGCTTCTTATGCTCCCCCAACCTCTTCACCATCCGCGCATCACTCACCGCCTCAATCCTCTCCATCTCCCTACGTTCCTGCACCCTAACCTCACTCAACTGCTTAGCACTCTGCAGCCTCTGCTGCTCCCACTGCGCCGTCTGCCCCTGTTTCCTCTCCTCCATCTCCAGCTCCGCCTCTGACACCAGCCTCGCCCTCGTCAATCCCGCCTCGAGCAGCTGACGCTCATGTTTCATGCTTGCTTCGCGTTCAGCTTTCCGACGGTGCAATTCCGCGGCAAAGCCTTCCTCCTCAACGGCCTGCCGGCTGCGCACGGCTTCGATCTCCTCGTCCCGCTGCCGGCGGATGCGACTATCTTCGAGCTCGGCGCGCGCGAGGAAGATTTTGTTCTGCATGGTCGCGATCTCCTTGGTCCGCGCAATGGCGATGTGGTGTTCCTCTGTCTCCTTGGCGATGCGCTCGGCGCGGGCGCGGCGTTCGCGTTCGGCGCGGAGGAGCTCGGGGGGCAGGTTCACGGCGCCGTCGGGCTGCGGCCCGTCGTTGGCGTAGTAGACGTCCCGGCAGCGGTAGGATTTGAGGAGTTCGAGGAGGGCGGAACGGTCGGTGCTGTTAGGCGGGAGGATGCGGAGGAGGTATTGCGTGGGGGAGTAGGTGTGCACGCCGTCGGTCCATTGGTGGTCGGAGGCGTTGATGGTTTTCCAGACGCCGGCTTTGAGGAGGGCGCGGGTTATAGGGAGGGGGTCGGTGGAGTGAAGGGCGAGGAGGAGTACGGATTTTCCGTCGGCTTGGATGGAGAGGTCGCTGCCTTGTTTGATTAGTTCGGCTACGACTTTTTCCATTTTCTTTTCTTGAGAAGATGAGAGGGGCCCGGCTTCGGCGGCGTTGAGGCAGAGTTCTCCTAGGGCGGAACGACCGCCGTGGATGACGCTGGGAAAGTCTGGATCGTGGCCAAACTCGATCAAGACCTTGACTGCTTCTAGGTTGAGTTTCCTGGCGGCGTTATGCAAGGAACCGTCGTTCATAGATGGCCCGGCAGCCAGGAGACTCGCCATCATGGCTGTGCCTAGTTCACCCCCGATTGCAGTAGCTAGTGCCATCGGAGTGTTGTTTTCAACATCGGCAACATCCACATCCGCACCGGCCAGAAGAAGTGCTTTGACCAGATCTGGTCGTCTGTGTTGTATGGCCAGCATGAGTGGAGTCTGTTTGGACACTCGTGTCTCAAAGTTGACCTTTGCCCCTCTGTCGATGAGAACCTGGATGATACTGCTGCTGATACGCTTTTGAGGCTGACTCAATGCCCAGAAAAGCAGATTCACCTGTTCCTCTTCGCCGCCATCCATGACTTTCATGGTGGTGAGCTGGTCATGGTAGTAGCCTGCATCCAGAAGCGTTTCCAGCAGTTTCTCTGACCGGGGATACTTGTTGAGAGCACGTAGTAGAATCGGCGGGGAGGTCGGAGTCATTACGTCCAGCCTTTCTCCGTCAAAGTTGTAGCAGATGAACAGCTCAATCAGTGACAGAATCTCTTGCTCTGAAAGGTCTGCGTCAAAGATGTGAGGAAACGCCATGGACACCGAGTGAGAGTCTGGACTCTGCTCCAGAATCAGCTGTATCAGTTCCGAATCCGCCTTCTTGGCTGCCTTTTGCAGTACAAGCCCATCCTGACAAGTGACGCTGGCCCCGTGTTGTAGCAGGAGTGTTGCAAATCGTCGAGCCAGTGCTTCATTTTCAGTCCCGTATGCGTCGACAGCAACGTTCAAAGCCGGGAACAAGGGCTCACCGCCCTCAGCGCCCTTCTCCAACAGCATCTCTGCAATTTGGAAGCCTTGTTCCGTCATCCAAGCCTCAGCTGTCTCTGGAGTGAAAGCATGTTGGAAAGTCCACGAGACATCCTTTCCAGGAACATCAAACGTCAACAAAGCCTCCAGTACATCAACGCGGAATGACTGAGTCGCATCAATCAGTGTCTCGCACCCATTCATCAACGGCGAAGCGCCATGTGTAAGCAAAAGCCGAATCAAGCGAACATCAGGCTCCTCCTTCACAGCCCTGTGCAACGCAGTATGCACATCCTCCGACGGTTCCAGCCCTGCGCAAAACAGCCATTCAGTGACTTGATACCTCGCGTCCTGGCTCAATTTCCTGCTAGCCTTCAATGCCTTGAGCAATGTATCTTGCGACGGCTTCTTCTGACGATCATTTGCTTTTTCCACACCCAACATCAACTTCAGACTCTTCAGCGCCGCCCCTCTTGTCGCATTCCAGATTGCCTCACCCGAATTGTAGTCCGGATCCGCACCATATGCAAGCAGCAAGCGCACTAGAGCCTCACCGTCATCGCCATATGTCCCCGCGGCAACCAGCTGTCTGTCCACGACCTCGCCGTCGACTCCTCTTTCCAGAAGGAGGCGAAAGACCGCCGTGCGGTCCTCGAGGTCCGTGACGCTGACACTCGCTGCCTCGAACCCCTTGACCAAAGTCTGTTTCTTGACCTGAGCAGTGGGGTGCAAAAGGGCGCCCAAGACTGGGATGGCAGCGCTCTTGCAGGCTTCGACTACTGCTTGACCTTCTTGATGCTCGAGGCTGGCTCCATGGCTCATCAAAATATTCACAAGCGTCAGATTTCCATTGGACGCCGCGGCAATAAGCGCGTCGGAGATTTCAGAACCGGATACCCCCCTCTTGAGCAGCGATGCACAGATTTCCGGGTCCTTGAGTTTGACGGCTTGTGTAAAGGTGGTGTTGAGTACCGCCGCAGGATATTTTCGTGAAGACTTTGCCAGAATCAATTCCACTGCTTGACCATCCTGCTTCTCTACCGCGAAACCGAGCGCTTTGCCATCCGTCGAGTCGGCGTAGGCTGACAATAGTTCGATGAGTGGGTAGTCAGAAGAGTGCGCGTGTAAAGCGTAGTTCAGCGCCCTGTTTACTTCCGAACTCGGAGCCCCGGCTTCGACCAGTTTTCGGGTGAAGTTTTGACGGTCACTGGGGATTGGTATGTTAAGCGAATGCCGAAGTGCCGCAGCGAGGGAGTCTGGTGCTGGCTTGACACTCAGCATCAGGTCCGTCAATGGCGTGCTAGAGGCCTTGACGGCGCAGCAGAATGCGGCGGCGTTGTGGGAATTGATGTCTGCTCCAGCTGAGAGAAGAGTTCCGACGACATCATAGTTGCGGGTATCAAGCGGCGTTTGGAGAATGGTTTGGACCTCGTTGTATAGAAGAACATCCAGGTGATCCTTTTGTTTGGTATGGCGTAGAAGAAGAGACATCTTGGCGGCCTTAGCAGCTGTGGTTGGCATCTTCGACAGCGTTTCGAGGCCGTGATTCACTGTTTCGGGTGTCGGCTTTCCGTACTGGACAACAAGCTCAAGAATGGCGGGATCAGGATCGCGGACAGCTGTGAACGGTTAGAAACGCATTGTCTATAAGGACAGAAAGGTGTAGGTCAAACATACCGAGAGTAACAGGCTCGCCGTCTTTGAAGTTGGCATCCACATTACCATGCTTCAGGAGCAGAGAAAAGAGTTGAACATCCAGGGGTTGGGCAGATAGTAACTGTGACAGCGCCGCGGATACTTCGTCCCCTTCTCTACCAGCGCCTGCCTGAAGCAATAGCTCCACGATCGTGTACCGAACTTCTTGATTATTGATCGCCATGGCTTTAACCATAGCCGCAGCAGACGTTTGAGGTGTGAGTGGCCTCTTGAGCATTTTGCGTAAGAGTGGTACATCCCCAACAGCAATAGAAGACAAAATTCCAGAGTTATTGTCGGAGTGGGTGCCTTCAGTGTAGCGCAAAAGAAGGGAAATGAACCTATCGTCTCGTCTGGGGTGTTGTTCTTCAATGGCCTCTGTCAAAGCATTAGACAAACAGGGCCCAGAAAGCCCAGCAGCAAGAAAAGCCTCGGTAATGAGGTAACGTTCGTTGGGAGCCAACTTCTTGACCTGTGGAAATACTTGCTCCAGCGTCGACGGGGACGGCTTTCCTGTCAGGAGTTTCTTTACCATGTCTATGTTCACCATCATGACTCCGTTGTTCAAAGCCATGCCATTCAAATGATCCACCGAGGCCACCTCATGTCGGGCGTGTTTCATCTGAAGCGAGCCTTTTCGGGGCTTCCCCTCTGGAACCGTGTCTTCCGGGAAATACGGCGTAAGCAGTAGATTTACCGACTGACCATCTCCAGCCCTCACAGCAGCAATGAGAGCGTCACCCAACGCAGCGCCACCGGCGCCTTTTCGCAGCAGGATGTTGAGGAAGGCATATCGGTTTTCCGGGCTGATTGTCGTCGGAATCACACCAACACATCGAGACGCAAGGTTGGGACTTAGTCGCGTTCGATCGTTTAACAGCAGCTGAAGAAGGTTGCAATTTCCTCTCGAAATGGTATCACATAGTACCTTGGCTTCTTGGTACTCGACTGACGCTCCGTTTTCGACCAAAAGATGAATCATGTCGATATTTTCGGCCTGGCACGCTTGCTGCAAGGCGACGGCCACCATATCACCAGGGGCGCCGGCGCACAGGAGCGCCTCTGTCAAGAACAGCTTCTCATTTGGACCAATGGACTGGTTGAGAAGCTGTCTGAAGCTCTCCATCAGACCGGCCCCTCCAGCTGTAGGTGGTTGTCTTCCTGTCAAGATAGCGAGCGCAATGTCAACTCTGCTCTGCCCAATCGCTGTCCTGAGAGCTTCGGCCGTGTCAAAGTCGGCATCTGCGACTGACCTGCTCAATCTCCAGACTGTCTGCAAACATCCCTTTCGCGAGGCGTCTATGAGACACAAGGAGAGCAGTTGCAACGAAAATCCGCCCGATGACTGAAGAATTAGACCTACAAGGTCCGGATAACCACCAGCAATACACAGTTGGCGAAACTCGATCTGGCCATTCTGAGACTGAGCAATATTTGCGCCGCGTTGCAAGAGCAAACTCAGTATTGTGAGGTCTTTGGAGCGAATTGCGTCGGGCAATGCCACATTGAGCGTGAGGTCGTCCGCATAATGGGACAAGACGGCAATCATGTCCGTTTGACGGTTCTGGATCGCCCTCTGCAGTATCTGGCTCCGTTCTAGAGACTCCATACTCTTTCTTCTAGACAGGATGGAGCCTGATCTGCTGCCTTTCGAAGCTTTGATGTTCGGGTTTCCCCCAAGCTCGAGCAGTTTTCTTATGAGAACATTTGCGACAGCGGGCGAACCGCCCGAGGCGACATGATTGTCGAGGACGTCGAATATCTCCTTGGCCTCCCATGGCTTTTTGGTGGACGAAAACGCTCGTTTCAGAGAACTTTGGGAGCTTTCGGGATTCTCAGCTGCTCGTCGTTGTCGGAGGAGCTCTTCCGCTTGCAAATCGTCTTGTGGGCTCGGGGTAGGTAGTCTGATCGGAGGCAGTGGCGGGAGAGATGGTAACTCTGTAACACCAACGGCGGCAGCGAGTTCTAGGAGTCGGGCCCGCCGATTATCCTGTGGACGTTGAGGCGACATAGCTGCCATTGTGACTTTGTCGTTATCGAGCTTCACAAGTAAATACGGCCGGATCACGGGAGTAAGATATCGGCTCGGTGCCGCTGTAACTGCGTGATGTTGGTTCAACGTCCCATATCATACAAAGAAAAAGTATCCGGCCTATATGTGAGCCTCCAACATGCGGCCAACTGGGCAGGGCGTTTCCCGGTCGTGAGCAAGCGGGCTGTTGAGAAGAATTTAGCGGGCCACCGATGGAGCCGATGGAATGATAGTTCGGCTGAGCCGTAGAAAGGGTTCAAGTTGAACAAAGGGGACGCGAGTTTGAGCCTCGTCCCGCTCTTGGGCAAACAGTTGATATCCAGGACCGTGTATGGTGACGTGGTGGCGGGGCGGTGTTGGTCGAATGCCTGCCCGCTTAGGTAATGTCCTGTAACGTAGAACGCGGAATCCAACACAAGGGAGTTGCAGAAACAGGACTGGTATGAGATTGTTGTGAGAAAGGAAAAAATATCGTGGAAAAATGTCACTAACTTCCACTTGGATGTTCAATGTTGGGCAGGATTACTTCCCATTGCGCATTCTGAAACACTGTGATGATAAAGCTGCGCCGGAGCTCTTGCCGTGGACCTATAGCTCCAAGCCCAATCCGGACCAGCACATATTGGTTCATCAGGCAGCTTTGGCGAGGAGCGGCTGAATGAATGAAAGCCACCTCCAAAGATAGTACATACATACCCGCGGGATATCCCTACCCAGCCGTGCTAGTCTCTAGTGTAGAGGCGATTTCGACCAGTCTTTCCCCCTCTCGTGGCGGACGCGCGCTTGGGGAGTGAGATGATCAACAAAACGCTTGCGAGGCCCTTTGTGGCACAGCCTCAAATATCTGGGCATGGCCGCGGGGCTCTGTCCACTCAGACCACTGCTTCCCCGTCAACACTTTCCATTAGTACCAGGTACTGCCCCTGTCTATCAATGATCTGTTGCCGCTTATTCAGACTCCAGAGAGTCCAGAGAGTTGTCATTCTCCAGTCATTGACGAGTGCACTGATGCTGCAGCCAAAGCGCAAGCACCCGATGCGTGGTTGGGAGATGGCATGTTGAATGGGTAGGCAGACAGACACGAGCTGGCAAACGAGATGTGAGATGTGCGACTGCGAGAGACGTGGCGTTCGAGTTTTGGTTGATGGATGGGATGAAAGCATCAAGCCAACTGTGCCTGAGCTGAAGAAATGGGCGCCGGAGAAAAAAGAGATGAGCGGGATCGAAAACGACAAGGCGGACTGCAGATACGATACGCTGGGGAAATTGTTAGTGCGGAACCTCATCCCCTTGACCGAGACTAACAGAACTTTTCGCCAAACCAGAGTTGTACAAGATATTGGTTTTGTTCTGTGTGTTTTAAGGTTAGCAGAAATCATTTTCCGTACAATCAATGTAGATTGTTAGTGACTATAACCCATCATTGGTTCTAAGCGGGATATGTAGTATGTTAGTCTCAGTCGAAGAGATGCCAGACATATCATAGGGCTTTGAGGTCTTGAGTTTACATGTCTGCTTCGACACGAAGGGCCTGATATTTACGGTGAATATTCCGAGCGCAGGATGGTTTTATGTTTTGCTAATATCATGATTTTTTCCGAGTTTCTAGCTCGTGGAAGGTTTCACCCGATGAACCTAACGGTAACAGCAGACCAGGCTAACCGCCAAGACTAGTTGATGAATTGCCCGTACCTGGCATGACTGGATGAGCAGACTTCTTCTCTTAATCACCAACTCAAATCCTGAGGTCCGCCGCAGCTGGCCGCAAAGGATGACTTGTCGTTGGTTGAATGAAGAAGGCTGTTGGAGGTGGACGACCGGGAGCGACATTCAATCCGGAGCTGCGGATCCCCTCCCCTTCAGCTGTTCCACTCCGAGGTTCCGATACCGACCAATAGCGCCAAGAAGGACGGAAGGGACCAAGACACACCGCGACTCTTCAAGGTGTTGCCGGATTGTTACGACTTCGGCTCCGCGATAATTACGAACTAGCTCTCCGATACTCCGTCTGACTCCTCCGTCTTACTACGGGATGAATAATTCATCTCCGGATATTCTTAATCTCCGATCAATGGATATTCAGTCCGAAGCAGAGCAACACCGGATTAAAGTACCAATCGGCTTCGCGATTATTTACCTAGTGTCTTTGATTACATCATCGGCCCGTCTTATCTTTTATCAGTGTGAACTTTCGAAATGCCGTTCCGATCTAGAAAGATGGAGCAATATGGACTCTCAGTAGTAAACAGAAAGCACAATCATTTCTCAGAAGTTCGGGGGTAAACGGGATTCGCTTTCCATATACTATTTGGGATGGCTGTTGGTGGTTTTCGCATCACGACCAAACCAACAAATTGACTTGATACGACTCCGTTCTCCGTTCTCACCCGGCGAGGCCCGGGAGTCAGTGTGTAAACGCAGTCCCTCTCCGCAGTCCGCAGTTCTAGAGGTACAGTAGGTCCAGCTCGTCGTGGGGCCAACCGACGGGCCAACAAGGTTCGAGACATTCAAAACCCATGATGGCCGCAAGCACCGGTTCACGTCACGCTACCGATATCATCTCCACCATCAACACCATCGCGGTCCACCGCAGTCGCAGTCGGCTTCTTCCCCTTTTAAACCTGTCATCCTGCCGTCCGTTTGCTATTTCTGCTTTCACGAACCGTTCCTGTCTTCTCCGGCATCCTTCACCAGTAACATCGCCAATTCCCGCTTCCCCGCACCTACACCATCGCAACATCGACCCCGCCACCAGCGCACATCACCAGAACAGCTCTCCCGTCAAAATCCGCCATTCTTATTCCACAATGGCCGAAGTCCCAAAGACCATGTCCGGCATCGTCATCGAGAAGCCCGGCGGTGTCGACGTCCTCAAGTACAAGACCGACCTGCCCGTGCCCGAGATCAAGGAGGGCGAAGTCCTTGTGAAGAACGAGTACATTGGCGTCAACTTTATTGATACGTAAGTTTCTCCCTGTTTCCCTTTTCTCCCTCCTCCTTTCTCCCATTTCCCCATTTTCCCCTGCAAACTAACCACAAACAAAAAAATAGCTACTTCCGAACAGGCCTCTACCCCTCCTCCTCAGGCTACCCCTTGATAACCGGCAAAGAAGCCTCGGGCACTGTGGTCAGCTCCAACTCCCCGCGCTTCTCCCCCGGCGACCGCGTCGCCTACCTCTCCGACGCCACCTACGCGGAATACACCCCCGTCTCCGCCGCTCGCTGCGTCGGCCCCCTCCCCGCAAACATCTCCTCTGAGACCGCCGCCGCCGCCCTGCTCCAGGGTCTAACCGCCCTAACCTTGGTTCGCGAAGCCGCGGGCATCGAGCAAAAGCTGGGAATCAGCGAAGGGCCCTGGACGCTTGTGCATGCCGCCGCGGGCGGGACGGGTTCGTTGCTGGTGCAGATCTTGAGCGTTATGGGCGCGAAAATCATTGCTACGGCTGGAGGAAAGGAGAAGTGCGAGCAGGCGCACCACCATGGCGCGCAGTGGACGATTGATAACAAGAGCGAGGATGTGGTGGAGAGGGTGAGGGAGATTACGCATGGACGCGGGGTGGATGTTATCTTTGATGGGGTGGGTAAGGCTACTTTTGATGCGGATATGGAGATGGTGGCGAGGAAGGGCATGGTGATTAGCTTTGGAAACGCGTCGGGTAAGGTGGATCCGCTGGATATTCTGAGGTTGGGGGCCAAGAACGTTAAGGTGATGAGGCCGGTTTTGTTCGGCTACATTGTTACGCCGGAGGAGTGGGAGAGGTGGACGACGGAGTTGTTTGAGCTGATCAAGCATGAGAAGGTCAAGATCAAGGTCCATGAGGTTTATCCCCTTCAGGAGGTGGCGCGTGCGCACACCGATCTGGAGGGCAGGAAGACTACGGGCAAGTTGTTGTTGAAGCTTTGATGGGAAACGATTGATAGGTTTTCTATTAATATTCTTCCACCCATAGCCATGACTGGGATGTGACCATATAATAAAGAACACTGGAGGCATGCCGGCATGGAGAATTCATGCAGAATTTCACCTCCGTATTCATCTATGAGATGCTATCTATGAGGTTGATTACGTATAATCAGAGGGGGTGTCGTGAACTGAGCAGTACGTAGCAACGTAGCGAAAGGAATCATAACACAGTCGTAACAGAAAAAATGGGGGAATAAACCAAAGGGGGAATTGATAAAACAGTGTGATGCGACCCAGAAGCCCCAAAACGATAGAAGCCAGAATGTGTTGTGTGTGAATGTTCAAAAAGGTGGTCGTAAAAGCAACAAAAGAGCCCAAGAGCCCCTTTTTAGTTCTTGACGGCCTTGCTGGCCTTGAGCTTCTCCAAGAGCTCGGCCGGCGGATCTTGTCGGTAACCCTTGGGGTTGTTCTCCACCCAGCGCCATAGATCGGCGCATGCGTCCTCCAGGGTAAGCTTTGTCTTCCATTTGAGCTCCTCGTTGGCGAGCGCGGGGTTGGCAGTAAGATCCAAGACATCGCCGAGTCTCCTGTCGACAACCTGGTAGGGCAGGTCACGACCGACAACCTTGCTGAAAGCGTTGATCATCTCGAACACTGTGCTGCCACGACCGGAGCCAAGGTTCCAGGCCTTGACACCGGGCTTCTTCTCGCGGAGGTAGTTGAGAGCGGCAAGGTGACCGCTGGCAAGATCGAGGACGTGGATATAGTCGCGAATTGCAGTGCCATCCTTGGAGGCGTAGTCTGTCATACATGGTTTAGCATCCTGTCATCTGAGGTTTAAAACTGTCTCCTCCGAGCGGGACCACTCACCGTCACCAAAGACCAAAAGCTTGTCCCTTTCCCCAGTCGCTACCTTGCCAAGCAGAGGCAAGAGGTTGTAAGGGACACCCTGGGGATCCTCGCCCATGATACCGGTGGGGTGAGCACCGCAAGGGTTGAAGTAGCGGAGCAAAGCGCCGTTCCATTGCTCGAAGGGCTTGCCCGCCTTTTTGGCCTTCCTCCTCTCGGCCTCAATATGATCGGTAATGACGGTCTCAATCATCACCTTTGTATGACCATATGTGTTGGTGGGGCCGATGGGGCAGTTCTCGGGAATGGGAATCATGCCAGGGACACGGGTGGCATCACCGTAGACAGTGGCGGAGGACGAGAAGACAATGTTGGGGACATTGTGCTTGGCCATAGAGCGGAGCAGGGTGATGCTGCCGCCGACATTGACACGGTAGTACTCGAGTGGGATTTCGCCAGACTCGCCAACGGCCTGCAGGTCCACAGGGGACAATTGTTAGCTGATGGTCACACCACAGACACAGACGGACATGACATCGGGTGACGGCAAAGGTGCAACTTGCCTTTAGAGCGGCAAAGTGAATAACGCTGTCGATCTCGGGGTGCTTGGAAAACACATTGTCGAGGCCGGCCTCGTCTGTAATGTCGACCTGGTAGAAGGTGGGACGCTTGTCGCAGATAAGCTCGATGCGGTCTAAGGCGGCCTCGGACGAGTTGAGGAGACTATCGACAATGACGACATCGTAGCCGTTGTCGAGGAGGGCGAGGGTGGTGAAGGAGCCGATGTAGCCAGTACCACTGCAAAAGCAAGCCACAATCAATATCTCATGCCGTGACAACAATAACAAGGGCAACGCGCCACGCCGCTCTCACTGGGCGACGACGACGACGACGACGATGGGAGAAGGACGGGATGAAGGGTGGTTGCGAGGTGCAATTGCGCGCGCGCATCGAGGCCTTCTTGTGGTATTCAAGGCGATCCACACAGCTGCCCGTGCGGCGGAATTGGAGCGCGGTGCATCTTCAAGGATGACTGGCGCAGTGTTGTAGCTGGGCTGGGCGTTCGGAGAGGGTGGTTCGTGTCATCGGTGAAAAAGGGCTGGAAGGGCTGGTCTTACCCGGTGACGAGAACTGTTCCCACAGCCATTCTGATATCTTTCGGTGTTCCTTTTTCTCAAAACTGAAGTGATGCTTCTGCTGCTGCTGTTGATGCCGTTGCCGCTGCTACCGTGGAGAAGGGAACCAAACAGACACACACACACACAAAAAGAGTGACAAAGGGTGGAAGAGGATGTTTTGTTAGGACCGTTCGGTTAAAGATAGAATTGTGGTTGGTAGAAGGTGGTAAGCACCGAATGAGTGCGGCAAGGCAGCGCATGCACTGGTTAATTAAGCTTGGAGCCTGCAATGACCTGGAGGGGTCGGTTGGTCCGGGAATAGGGCCCTGGCTCTTCCTAGGCCTGTGATGGACCGTGATGGACCAGGGGCAGGATGGGTCCGGGCTGGGCGACTCCCTGCACCTAATCCTGCGATGGGAGACGGACGGGTCCGGTCATGAAATGACGATTGTCGAATTTCGCTAGACCGTAGTTTGCCGTGGGGCGAACATGAAACAGCAGGGAACCACACGCAGTAGGACAGTGTTGATTGTCGATGGGATGGGATGAGAATCGAGATGAGACTCCCGTCTGAAGAGGTTTGCCATCCGTGGCCTGTTGCCCTGGGGGTTACCACGTTACCCTGCACAGCACCCTGCCTGCGACGGGACGGGTTGCGGGTTCGTACGGGTTGTCGTGACATGCAACGGTAAGGTTTTGGAATTTGGGGTACCAAGACGGGACCACGGCGACCCCATCCGCTTGAGAAGCTTGTCCGGGCCTCCCCCTGCTGTGCTCATTCCCGATTCCATCTTGTCGAGATGGTTGTAGCAAGTAACATGTGACAATAGTCAAGAGTCCAAATCGGCCCTTTGGCTGACTATAGCCTAAATCTTTTCCCCCATTCTTTCTTCTTTCGAAAGTAGGGAGCTAGAAGAATTCTGCACTCCGCACTTCGGATATCAGCTTCGGAAACGAGAAATGGGGTAGCTAGTAAAACGATACACAGTAATATCAAATGATAGTCAACGGGAGCAGGCAACAAGTTACAATGTTGCATGGTGGAACGTGCAATTTGGATCGTCTCTGCTGCGTGGAGGTGTTGGAGAATGGAAACTGGGAATGCTGATTGAGCCCCAGTTGCCCCAGGTTCATCCCATCTCGATCACGTCAGGAAGATTGCAGTGAGAAGAAACGGCGATCAGACTGGAATAGAAGGACAGGACAAGAGATTTCGGTCTACACGATCTGACAAGAACCAACACGACACAGCCTGGCTCCCCTGGACCATGGAACAAGTCTCTGATTCTATCCTCCAGCCCCCCGAAGATCGGGAATTCAAGATACCTACTACGGCAACGGAAACTGCATATCTCTCGCTTAAGCGCATATCAGTTCGCTTACTCATCGAGCCATTCCCGGGCTATCCATTCCAACCGTCAGCCTCTACCCGGACGCTATCATTTCCTTGGCGCCGCGCGACTGGGCTGAAGTGGGGAGTTGACATCAGTCGAGGAAGTTGCACTTGTTGAAGGAGCACGGACCACAAGCCAAGGCGAGATGAGTGATGGCCTTTCAATGCGCTGTTGCGGCAGGCAGTCGGCAGCGCCAGCAGTGGGCACACAGCTGTTTTCATTGTCATTCATCGCATCCCGTCTTCAATCTTTGCTTCCACGTTCTATTGTGACGGCGTCAAAGACAGAACCTTCGACGAAGAGCAGCCGAATGGCCTTTATGACAATAGGCACCATTAAACAAGAGGCTCTCAATGGACAATGACTGCTAACAAAGGCAAGACGGACAGCTACAGCTCAACATGAAAGACAGCTTCGAGTCAACCAAGACATGCACAAAGAGACGAGGCCGTTTTCAGAACAAGACACCAGCGACTTGTCTTGTCCGTTTGCGAATGGATGCATGCATTGTCAACAACTAACTCCCTCCCTACACCTACAACTCCAGAGACATCGCTGTAGCAGTCATTTTCTGATTCACTTCCGCCGGGTCCCCCACGTCCAGTCTCAGCATTTCTCTATTCTCATGCTGGACATACCACCCACCTATCTCGACCTCAAGACCTGAATGGAAAAAGTGAAGCCAAAGTCAATTGATCCCCAAATACCACGGCGTATCCACAATTCCCAGCGCTAGAAGGCTTCCGCTCAACTCTTCTTTGATCGCTGCTGCAACCTAGCATCGCGCGCTATCAACCGAAACCACGCGTGCCGAGTCTGCAACGGAACACTGCACATCATCGCCGAGGACCCGACTACATACCCGACTTCTCACTACGCTCAGCTGGGAGGTTGGGTTACTTTCTTCAGGTCTCCCTCGCGTCGGATTGACCAACGGTATCGAGTGATTACTTTGGGCATCCGTAGGGCTCTTCAGCAGTTTCACCTTGATTGGAGGTGCCACGTGTTGCGCGCCTCGCAAATCGCAAAAGTTCGGTTGCCATTCAGTCGCAGTCGCAGGCGAAGCGCATTAACATATCGCAACCACCCGAAGATCGACCTCCATTACATTCAGGAGGACGCTCACCCAAGCAATTTGGCCTGCAGCGGCAGCCTCACAAAAAGAACCCAAAGAGCCACCTCACGGCTCTGCAATTCGGCCCAGCCTCTTCACGCCCATCAATTCGTTGTTACTGAAAACTCGTCCTCAGAATATTTGGGTGGCATCTCAGTCTTCTAGTCTGTCATTTAAATGTGAGTTTGAATCGCCCCATCCACATGTTCTAAGCGCGACTCTTCTTTTCATCCGCCTATAGCCTTCAACCTTTTTGTATTCCCTCTCACTTTTGGGCTCTTTTTTCCAGTTGCACAGTGTTCTCGTCCGTCTCTGTTCATTCCTACGATATTTGTGTTAGAGGGAAAAGAATAACCTCGCTTGTTCTCATTTTTGATTTTAAACGCCTTCTAACACCATGGACAGTTCATATTCCAATCACTGGTCTCACGTTGACCTCGCTTTTCACGACGTTAACAGTCTTCTCAAGAAGTCCACTGCAACCATGCCTCCCAAGCGGATAACGCGGAGGTCGGTGGTGTCACCTTCTCCTGCCCTTTCCGATGTAGGCACACCAAAGCCCGGAAAGCGCGGCACTCTGATTCCAGTTGAGCAAGTCAGGAATCAAACGCCCACCAGATTCAGTCTCAGTTATGGCTCCTCACTGGTGGCCATGCCAGACAGGAACAAAACCGCCGCAGGTACCGATCTCGAAACTGCCTTCGCCGAGATCCACGAAACTGTCAGGACCGACAATATCAAGGCTGAGGCTCGCCGTCGAGAGCTTGATGCGCGTAGGGGTAGCACAACTCCCGGCCCCAGACGCCCTGACACCATTGAGGAAGAAACCGAAGAGGAGGAAGAGGAGGAGGAGGAGCAGGAAGAATACGAAAACCAAGGTGGCTATTACGACGACGAGGAAGAAGAGGAATCCGAACCAGAACCGCCCCGACGTGCTGCAAAACCGACCCAAACTCTCAACAAGTTACAAGATCAGATTGAGAAGACAAAGCTACTAGAAAAGCAGAGGGCAGAAGAGGAGAGGGCAGCGGAAGAAAAGCAGAAAGCGGAGAAGGACGCCGCGGAGAGAGAAAGAAAGAGAGTAGAGAAAGAGAAGAAGGATAAAGCAGAGAGGGAGAAGGCAGAAAAAGCTATGAAGGAAAAGGCCGAAAGGGAGAAGAAGGAACAGGCCGCGAAAGCTCAACAAGAAGCCAAAGCAAAGGCTGCGCGTGAGGCCAAAGAACGAGCTGAACGAGAAGCCAAGAAAAGAGCACGCGACGAGGAGGCCGAGGAACAGGCCGAACTGGCACGAGCCGAACGAGATGCCCGGCTAAGACGTGAGCATTCTGAAGAGGCGCGGCGTCAAGCGGAACAGAAGCATGCAGCAGAGGCCGCGCGTAAGAAGGAAGAGCAACGCCGAGATCGAGAGGCCCGAGAAGCGGAGATGGCAAGCCTGGAGGAAGCAAAGAGGCAGGCCATGCGACCACCCCCTCCACCTTCCAAACAACTGCTTTCGACACCACTTACTTCCAAGACAAGGGACCTTGTGGCACCCGATACCGGCAACAGTTACGTTGAGGAAAGCGATGTTTACACCGACTCAGAAAAGCGGAGGGAAGGGCTAGAAGAAGAGAGGCGAGTGGCTCAACAGATGCGACTGTATACCCCAGAGCCTCCGGAACCACCCAGAATCGCAAGGCGACCAGCGTCAACTCTCTCCAGTTCTTTACAGCATGCTCAACATCCGGTCAATCAACACCAAGAATTGTTCGACACAGAGGCGGAATCCATGTCTGACAAACAGTATCCGTCCTTTGGCAAGGTTTCCAAACCCACAACGGCGAGACCGAACCGAACATCCAGGCCGCTATCCGAACAGTCAAATACCACAAACGGGGAAACACCACCTCCTCCGTATACTACTGCTCCTACCTTCATGCAACGATTACTGAGTTTGGTTCGTCGTTCGATATGGGGCGTGTGGAAGCTGTTCACATACCTTCTACCACTGCTCCTCCTCGCTCTGGTTGTCTTGAGCGCGTCTTCGTATGGCTCACCGGATTCGGATAGCAGCATTCGATGGTATGGCTGGAAGCACTGGAGGAGCAACGTCGGGCAATTCATCCCCGGTCATCCGCAATTGACGGATGATCAGTTGAATAACTTGAAGGATTATATCCTTGAACAATCCTCTTCTACAGAGAGTGCTGTCAAGAACATCCAGACTCTTCTTCCCCGGATGGTGCACGTTAAGCGTGGTCCAAACGGTGATCTCATCATTCAGGACGACTTCTGGCATGCTCTTCTGGATAGAATGCTCAAGGATAGCTCCGTTCTTACTCTTGACGGTACCGGTGACATCTCCGAGGAGCATTGGGACGCAGTGCGACTGCGCCTCGTCAAGGCCGGGCTTTTCGAAAAGGGCCCATCGGATGAGCATATCTTGCAGATTGCTGAAGGCTCCGTTTCCAAGTCCTGGGAACGTTGGGTATCCAAAAACGGGGAGAAGGTCGCCCAGATTGTCAAGGAGCATCTACCGGGAGACAAAGGCGATGGGGTCACGCGTGACGCAGCCATCAGCCGGGATGAGTTTGTGGGCCTCCTGAAGAAGAGGATTGCAGAACACAAGGAGGACATTGATGATCGGTTGGATGCCGTCAAGAAAGGGCTGGAGACACTCATCGACACCACGGTCAAGGCGGCCATCTCCAACTCCGAAGGCAGTCTCTCCAAGTCCGATATTACCACGCTGGTCAGAAACATCGTCAAGAAGGAGATTCCCCGAGCGCAACTTGAGGCAGCCGCTAAGGACGGCATCATGCGCAACTACCACGACTACATTGAAACCCAAGTCAACCACTTCGGCCTGGGCAATGAAGCTGGTATCGTGTACACGGAATCATCCCCCGTTTATAGACTTGAGTCGCAAGCACTTCCCGGCAACAAGCATCTGGCCAAGTTGCTCGGCAAGCCAAAGCCCATTTCTGTCAAAGATCAAGTCAGCATGGAAGGGGAATACATGATGGCACTCTCTGCGTGGAGCGACGTTGGCCAGTGCTGGTGCGCTGGCATCACATCCAGCAGGGGAGTCCAGCTCGCCGTGGAGATGGCCAACTATGTCATTCCCCAAGCCATCGTCGTCGAGCACGTCCACCCGAACGCGACGAATGATCCTGGTTCGATGCCCAGAGACATTGAGATTTGGGGATACTATCCGGACGCGGATGACAACAAGCGTCTCCTGGCTTGGATGGACGAGCTATACCCAGGCGAACGCGAAGCTGACTTGAAGAGGGTCGACGACGACAACAAAAAGTCGCTGTCCCTGATCAACAAGAAGTACGTCAAGATCGGCGAGCTGGAGTACGACTATGCAAAGACCAGCGGTAGCCACGGCATGTTTGTCCACAAGCTGTCGGAGGAGTTGCTCGATCTGGATGCGGCGACGTACAAGGTGTTGGTCAGAGCCAAGACCAACCACGGGGCGCAGGATCATACTTGCTTCTACCGGCTGCAACTGTTTGGGGAGGAATTGGAGGTTGAGGATGAGGAATAAGCAGGATTGGTAGTGGGTATATGGGCGACGGGTCTTGAGCAGTCGATTATATATGGGAAGGAAAAGCAAGGAAATTGGGAATGGGGCAAGGCGTTTGGTCTTTCTTTATCGCTTTTAACTTTGGGGAACGTATAGGTGGGTTGGTTTCATTGCGGGTGGCTACGAAGGAATCATATGAGCGAGCGATACCCGTCTTCAGGCTCATTTTTCTTGGTTCAATACATGGTGCTTTCATGATACTTTGGCTCTTTTCATTGCTCAGGCATGGTGTTTGATGGTTGAATGTTGCTGTACTTCTAGGTGAAATATGTAAATTGCTGAATTAGTGGGTGCTCAAATCACCCAAAATTTGAATCTCTATTCTGAAGTTCATCTGAATGCCCTGCTTCAACCCCGTACAACTGCCCATCCAACTGTCATGAACCATACCTAGCAACGTGAGAATGTGACTGGGGGCTAATAACTCGTCGTCTGTCTGCTCGTATGACCCTAACCCTGGACCGAACCGCGCGTTCGAGATCCCTGCTGCAGATCCCCTCGCTTACAGTGGATGAGGTGGGTCAAGCTGGCAGAATTCCTCTCCGCCAAAAGTTTTCCCATCGCATCGAACTGAAAGGCACCAGCGACGACCCGCAGGCAATTGGATTCGCTCGACTAGCAGACCCGACCTTTGGAACCTCGTCGAACCCATCACGCCCAATTTCCAGCACAGTCCAACAACACAAACAGCATGGCTCCAGGAGGCCCCAAAGGCCGCGCTGGCAAGGGCAAGGCCGAGAAGGAAAGGCCTAAAGCCAACAAGGCCGAACAGAAGACGTTGAAGAGGAAAAGAGAGTTAGAGAACCTTGAGACGCTTCAGAAGAGAATTGACGAACTCGTAAGTCCTAGCGAACCCCTTTGCCCACTATACAACCGCACACGCTTCTAACTCTTGTGCCTTAACCTACTAGGACCCCAAATCCACCGAAATCAAGAACTTTACCGATCTTCCGCTTTGCGAACCTACCGCCTCTGGACTGCGCGCATCCCATTTCGAGGTCCTGACCGATGTCCAACGCGCCGCCATCCCTCTCGCGCTCAAAGGCCAAGATATTCTCGGCGCTGCTAGGACAGGTAGCGGCAAGACCCTCGCCTTCCTTGTTCCAGTCCTCGAGAAGCTATACCGTGCACGATGGACCGAGTACGACGGCCTCGGTGCCCTCATTATCAGCCCGACCCGTGAATTGGCCGTCCAAATATTCGAAGTTCTCAGGAAGATTGGCCGCAACCACAGCTTTTCGGCAGGCTTGGTCATTGGTGGAAAGAGCTTGAAGGAGGAGGCGGAGCGTCTTGGTCGCATGAATATCCTCGTCTGCACACCTGGCCGTATGCTGCAGCATCTCGACCAAACGGCCGGCTTCGATGTCGACAACCTCCAGATGCTCGTGCTTGATGAGGCCGATCGCATTATGGACATGGGTTTCCAACAGGCCGTTGACGCTCTCGTTGAGCATCTTCCCAAGAGCAGGCAGACCCTCCTGTTCAGCGCCACACAAAGCAAGCGTGTCTCGGATCTCGCCCGGTTGAGCTTGAAGGACCCCGAATACGTCTCTGTCCACGAAGCCGCGGCATCGGCAACTCCCGTCAACCTCCAGCAGCATTACATCGTCACACCTCTCCCGGAGAAGCTCGACACACTATGGGGCTTCCTACGAACGAACCTCAAGAGCAAGATTATCGTCTTCCTGTCCTCCGGCAAGCAGGTCAGATTCGTCTACGAAAGTTTCAAGCGGATGCAGCCCGGTATTCCACTACTACATTTGCACGGTCGTCAAAAACAAATAGCACGTCTCGAGATCACAAACCGGTTTACGTCTGCGAAATACTCCTGCCTCTTCGCCACCGATGTCGTCGCCAGAGGTGTCGATTTCCCCGCCGTCGACTGGGTCATCCAGGCCGATTGCCCTGAAGATGCCGACACCTACATTCACCGCGTCGGCAGAACGGCGCGTTACGAAAGCAAGGGTCGTGCCGTCTTGTTCCTCGACCCCACCGAAGAGGAGGGGTTCCTCAAGCGTCTCGAGCACAAGAAGGTGCAAGTCCAGAAGGTGCACGTCAAGGAGGCTAAGAAGAAGAGCATCAAGAACGAGCTGCAATCCCAGTGTTTCCAGTCACCCGATCTTAAATACCTCGGACAGAAGGCGTTCGTCTCGTACGTCCGTTCGATTTACCTGCAAAAGGATAAGGAGGTGTTCAAGTTCGACAAGCTCGACCTCGACGGTTTCGCTTCCAGCCTGGGTCTCCCAGGTACTCCACAGATCAGGTACCAGAAGGGTGAGGACATCAAGAAGCTCAAGAATGCCTCGCGCGCCGCCATGTCCAGCGGGTCCGACACCGAAGGCTCGGACGGCGAGATCCGCAAGAAGAAGAAGGAGGTCAGGACAAAGTACGACAAGATGGCCGAGCGTCAAAACCAGGACGTCCTGTCGTCGCATTACCGCAAGCTTCTCGGAGAAGATCAGACCGAAGACAACGAGGAAGACGACTTCCTCTCGGTCAAGCGCGTTCTGGACGACGACGCCGCGCTCGACGACGCCGCCGGCAACGCCATATCCGGCACCAACCCCGACGGCACGGCCAAGGTGGTCAAGCTGGGAAAGAACGCCGAGCTGGTCATCGATTCGCACCGCCGCGAGAAGCTGCTCAAGTCCAAGAAGAAGCTGCTCAAGTACATGGAGAAGGGCCAGAAGCTCGTGTTCGACGACGAAGGAAACGCCCACCCGATTTACCAGCTGCAGGACGAGGAGGACTTCCAGAAGGAGGGCGACGCCAAGGAGCTCAGGCAGAAGTTCGTCGAGAGCGAGGCCACCAAGGTCAAGGAGCAGGATATCGAAGACAAGCTGCTGGTTAAGCAGCGGAGGAAGGAGAAGAAGGAGCGCGCCAAGGCCAGGGAGAGGGGCGAGGAGGTCGAGAGGAAGAAGGGTCCTCTGCATCTGCAGCCGGCGCTGCTGGATGCGCACAGCGACGTGGATGAGGACCCCTTGGCTTTGCTCAGGAGTCTGCCTGTTGCTGGCAAGGGTGGCGATAGCGGTGACGAGAGTGAGGATGACAGGGAACCGCCCAAGAAGAAGGCTAAGAAGTGGTTCCAGAAGGATGACTCGGATACGGAGTACAGCGATGATGGCAGGCCGAGGAGGAAGAAGGCGAAGGTGGAGGGTGGCAGGAAGGTTATTGAGATGGATCATGAGCCGGATAATTTGCAGGATTTGGAGGCCTTGGCTGCTGGCTTGTTGGAGGATTGATGAGTTGGTTATCATCGTTGTTGGTGTTGATGTGGGAAAGAGAGAGATCTTGGGTTTTCCTGTCCAATCATGGATGTTTACATACGTATTTTGCGATAGTTTTAGACTTGTTATGATACCTAAATCACGTATTTTGACAAAACGGCACCTGTTCCTTGCCGAAACTCGTGGTTTCGGTGCGAGGCTGAAGCATCTCGAGAAGTCCCCGCCAGGAAGATGTAGCCCTACATGAGGCAAGAATCCTGAAGCATGCCGTTTGCTCCTTCCAGCGCTCGGAAGCGCCCAACACATTCGAACATCACTCCTTCCGTTCCCGTCCATCGTCAATCGCTGAATTTGAAGTTCTTCCCATTTCAACCCTGTGGCAGTCGCGACCCATCAAAACTGCAGATGCCCTCTGGAATGCTTTATCTACCCCAATCTCTGCGAGGAGTCCGCTCTCTTCCCTTCCACTTCAACCTCCAAACAACCCGATTTTCCCATCAATGGCTTGGTTCGACTTCTCTGATTTCCTCCTCATGCTCCCTGAGACTTGTTTTTTCCTCCAACTGGTCACCGAAGGCCCTATCACCGAGGCAATCCACCTGCGAGAACCGACATCCATCGACTCAAACCTTGGTCAATGCTTTTCTCGCTGCCCTGCATCTGCCAGAGGCCCAAACCCATGCTTCCCCTCAAGTGACGGGAGGCTTTTGCCAAACGAACGACGGTATGCAAGCACCCGGTTTCAAGCTCTCCCGTACCGTAAGATACCACATTTGTTTGCAATTTATTCTACATACCTGGATGTTTACACACCCCTTGGTGGGAGTGTCTGGTGTCCCTGAAAATCAGTTCTTGTCGTGAACAGTTCTTCGAGGTGACTAGGTTAGCATATCGCTCACATGAATACCCAACAGCTTCATCTTGCTTGTAGATGCTCCTCTGTCGGTCTTCTGCACACCAGCAGCTTCTAGAGTGCCGACCTCTGTACCCAAATTCTTCCTTGTTAACGAACACACATATAGTGCAGCTCGCCAGCTGCATTTCCAGGGCTTAGCACCCTTCCAACACATCACACTTTATCACACTTTACCTCAACAGTTGGATCAAGCCGAGTCAAGTTCTCTACTGGTATTAAACGCTTGGTACGTCGTCACCAGGACATCAAGTTAGGTAACTTGTTGGAATTCCGTGCCTTGGCGTCCATCCACTGGCACTCCCTCCCAGTATTGTAGGCTGGCTTGATTTCCGTTTGTCCTCTTTTGTTACCACTTCAAAATCAAGTCCCTTTTCTGTCGTCGCCTTTGCACGTTCATCAAGACCAGCTGCAGATCGAAACATCCAGCAGGCATTCCACGCGGGGTTGAGCGAGTCCTCCGGCCGTCTGCTTAAGTTGTTTGTACTGCTTGTTGGCACTTGCATACTGCGTGCTATGCCAATTCCCATTGGGTGAGGTACTTGACGATAGCGTCACCAGCCAACTCTTCTGCCTTCCTGCCCGCTCGGGCTTATAAGATGTCATTGCAAGACGATGTGTGCCCTTTCGGGCCCCTCACCTCAGCTTTGTCATCCAGAAGCCTGCGGGGAGACGATTACTTTCATCAGGGCGCCAGTTGGCACAACATCATTGCATACTTCTTCCCCTCATTGAGATCAACCATGGCTACTCGTACAATCAACACACGATCGCAAACACAAAAGCTAGCCTCTCACGAGACCGTGGTCGTCCAGATCGAGTGTGTCGTCTGCACAGAGACGAAAGACTTACTTCGTTTTCCTTTGTCAAAACTCTCCACCGACTGTCAACACGCAATGCACGTCTGCGTCCAATGTGTCCGTTTGAGCATCACGGCGGATATCAAAAACAAGCACTGGCAAGACATCAATTGTCCGGTTTGCAACAGCCGTCTCGATGCGGCTGTTATCCAACGTTACGCCAGCCCTGAGATACGGGCGAAGTATGAAAGTCTTTTGACTAGACACATGCTGGAAAGCCAAGAAGGCTTCAGGTGGGTAAGTTAATGATTCCCATTGGCAGTGGACGTCCCAAATTTGGCGGCAATGCATAGCTAACAGTTCCGAACTTGAACAGTGTACAGAGCCGGGCTGTGACAGCGGCCACATCCACGAGGGTGGGAGGGATCAGCCCATCATGAAGTGTCCCAAGGGACACTTGTCGTGCTACGTCCACAAAGTACCATGGCACAAGGGCATGAGCTGCGACGAGTTCGACATCGTGAGGATGGACCCGGACAGCCCGGCTTATAAACAACACCTTCGTCAAGAGGAAGAGAACAAGCAAAGCGAGAAGATAATTGCTCTTACGTCGAAGCCTTGCCCTTCGTGTGGGCGAAACATCGAGAAAAATGGCGGATGGTAAGTTTACGTTTCGTGGGTTTCTGCCTCGGTTAGAGAACGGGTGGCTAACGTCTATGACTGACAGCGCGCACATGACATGTAAGACAATGTCCTCAGCTATTTCCCACACTCTTTACACGTTCGTGTTTGAGATTATCCGTCCACTTTGCTCCCTGCAATATTTTCCCCACCTGCGTCCGCAATTCCACTACCGTCGGAAAGACAAGTGCTCTTCCTGTTTCCTTGGTAGTTCTATAGCAGTCTTAAACACATTATTCTTTGCATGGTCTTGAACTGGGTTTCTGATGTTCTTCTAGGCTCCCTGTGTCGTTACGAGTTTTGCTGGGATTGCCGCAACGCTTGGCATGGGAATCGATCCTGCCCACGCCGGTAGCACTCCGACCGCGAACACCTCGTTGCTGGTCTTTTCCTAAGCACATCGTCACCTTCACTTCGAGTCCCTTTCTTCTCTGTTTCCCCGGATCGATACACCACATTTTCCTCGCTAAGCCATAACCATCAATTCAAGTGCTGTACTAAAAAAACCGTGTTCCAATCAATAGGCTCCAAGTGCTCATACGAGTTCTGCTGGGAATGCATGGCAGACTTCAAGGAGATCTTGAGGACTAGCAATGATGCCCACCGAAAGGATTGCAGATTCCATACGGACAATCTGGGGGATTGATTCAGAGTCTACGAAGATATTTATGTCGACCTGAGTGCTGAGTTCGAGGTATGGAACAGGTTTCCGGAGATTTTGAGCATGCTTGTTGTCAGTTGTTGTCCTTTTCCTTGTTGACCAATGCTGTATCATGGGGTTGAAATATGTAGGTGTCGTTTGTCTTGTGCAGCCCAGCGGGCTTTTGATCCTGGTGCCTTTATGGGTTTGATGATATTGCACCGGGGTATCAGAGCAGAATCAACTTGCAGTGTGCCATCCGCGAAGCAATCTGTGCGGAAGCCTTAATTGTCTTTCTATTTCACCTGATCTTGCCTTTCTTACCTTCTGTCTTCTCTTTCACTGTCTTGATCTGTGTTTCCTGTATTTTTCTTTCCTTCATGTATGTTACCCATGAGCAGGGCATTGTCATACGTTCGATTTACATGGGATGAACCAGATGGGGAAGTTTGTTGACATTAAGTCGGGGGTGACATGGTTTAGGGGGGGAATTAAAGGGCGCCGAGTGGAGTATGTAGGAGGCACTTACACCAAGCCAGGCAGCTTTGGATCCTGTGAAGAACCTGTCAAGTCGAAAGGAGCCATTTCGAGGCAAGTATAATGTTAGAACAGGAAACTTTGATTCATTAACAGATCAGCGTGATCCAATAGATGGATAACGCAAAATAGGTATGTTTGACCCCGGTAACGCCTGCGTTTTCTGGTCGGACGTCGGGTATTGTACCCATGTATCTCACGGTACCGTATTTTACAGCGCGATGTGGGGAAGCGTTGGCACTTTTTCATCAAGATCACCAAAAGTCGGGTTGGACACTCGCAAGTTTGGCAATATCTCGTGGGTAAGAGACAAAAATGAAGATAGCCTTTGGAAGTTGAATGGGTGTTGTTATCGGTAAAATGAAAATGACTCTTTTCCGACGCGTTTTATGGTGGGTTGAGAGGGAGTGAAGAAGTTGGTCGCATGCCGCTGGCTGTGCTCTAATTTAAGGGTCGAGCCTCACCGCCCGCAGCCTCTACCCCCGCAATCAGTTTGATAGAATATACCCGACATCCAAAATCCAGGTGCCCTGGTGAGGCTGAACCTTCCTTATCTACCTCCGAAGTGAAAGGTGACCGGCGGATTTGTCAGGTTCTCTCCTTCCTTCCTTCCTTTAAGCGGTCGCCCTTTCCTCTTTTCACCTTTCAGCTGAATGGCCCTTCAAGCCAACGGTTGAGCTTTCCACATCCATTTGTCTCTCAAAACGCGTGCCCGACTTTCGAGTCGGCACTGGCGACTGCACTCATCCCCCACACTCTTTGCATACTAGTACATCCACACATCCCGATCACGGTTAATCCAGACGTCCAGATCACGGTTACGTGCATCCCCACCTCCCGCGCGGCATCGCTGAGTAGAATCTGCTCAACCAAACAACCTTCAACGTGAAGACGACGAGGAAGGAGCCAAAATGTCCGGCTTTGGAACCAACGGCCAAAATGGCAGTGCATTTGGCACAAATACTGGCCCTTCGCTATTCGGCTCAGGCGGACCGACCCCAAACAGTAACGCGAGCCAGTCACAACAGAGCACAACGCCAGAGACCTCTGTGGTGGCAGGTTTTGCAGCTGCCCGGAGACAGCAACCCGCTCAAGCCTCCGCCCAATCTCTCTTTGGTGCGCCTGCGCCTGGAGGTCTTCCAGCTACATCGTCTACTGGAAGCACTCCATCCCTTTTCGGCGCTTCTGGGCCTCTTCCGACTACTGCGTCTACGAGTGGTGGTTTGTTCGGGCCCACGCCCGTTTTGCCAGCGACAGGAACGACTTCCACTTCAATTACAAGTGGAAGGGGCAGCGTGTTTGGGGCTGGAGCCTCTGCGAAAACAAATCTCCCTACTGGTGGTGGCTTATTTGGAGGTAGGCCCGTCTCAACGACGACCACACCGGCTGCCACAGGCAGCGGTTTGTTTGGTTCCGCGCCTGTTCAAGGAGGCCTCGGGGCTGCCACTGCTACAACCAGCTCTTCTGCTGCAGGTAGTAGTCTGTTCGGCTCTGCACCAGCTGCTGCAGCTCCCACTTCCACAGGCAGTGGCTTGTTCGGATCTACGCCAGTCACAGGAGCTCCGACTTCCACAAGCAGTGGCTTGTTCGGATCTACGGCCGCTTCAACAACGGCAACTTCAACCACGGCTGCTGGTCTTTTTGGCACTACACCCACAACAGGAACCGGCGCTTCAACCACAGGTTCTAGTAGCAGCTCTGCTCTGAATCAATCGGAAACAATCACAACTGAGCCAACCCCCACGGGGAGCTCATCTGGCGATACGCCCCCCACAATGGCTACTGCTTCCGATGCGTCGGATGCAACAGGCACGAACGAAACGGAAGGCTCGGTTTCGCCAAAACGCAGCGTGATTAACATTGACACCGACGGTGATCTCTTGTTGGACGTAGCGGGAGACGAAGACTCCGGATCGTCCCAGCCACAGCGGTTACGTGTCTGTTCCTCGACGCTTCGCCGCCACTCGCCAGTCTGGAAGCAGATGCTTTTTGGTCCTTGGAAGGAATCAAAGCCAGCCAATGCCGAATCCGAGGAGTGGATCGTAGAGCTTCCGGATGATCCTGTCAACCCGATGCAGATTGTCCTGAATATCATCCATGGACGGTTCAACCAGGTCCCTCACTCTCTTAGTCTCGATGAGCTCCACAAACTTCTAATTCTCACCAACAAGTACGACATGACCGATATTTTGAGGCCGTGGTGTGCACAGTGGACAGCTGTAGCCCACGGGGACCTATCTTCGGCGGACACACTGAAGTCCTTGTTTATTGCGTGGGAACTGGGAGATGAACATCTCTTCGCTCTGAGGATTGAGGAGATCTCCATAAATACCACCGTAAATACCAGCTTCAAGTGGAAGTCTCTATTCAGTCAGGTAGAGACCCGGTTCAGCAAAAAGTCCGTTCTGGCTGGAACTCCGGACGCTGGAAATCCAGAGTGGATTGACCTTGAGGGTCAGGATTACCTCGGCCCACACGATATCCTTGGTACGTTTGACCTTCATGTATCAGACCGAAGCTATTCGGAATTGGCTCAATGCTAATCTTTTCACAGATATCGTTCGTGCAATCCGGTGCGAAGCGCTTTCGATGATTATCACGCCCCTTGATAAGGACATGTCAACACGGCGCATTCCAGGTTTTTCAACGGCCTGTTCTGGTTCTCAAAAATTCAATTCGGCTTTGGGGTCAGCGGCTCTTTGCGATGCGGCCACCTTAGGCGGTCTTACGATTCACATAGACCACAGGTTCACCAACTTGACTACGCTCCCCTACATTAAGGAAAGCGTTGTACAGGTGGCATCGGGCGTGTTCCCTAAGATAGGGCGGATTGAGGTTTTGCCGCAACATCCGCAGTGCTCCTTGCACACAAAGTATGCGACCCTCGGCAAGAAGATCCACGAGGATCTTCCTGGTCTTGTGGCGAGGTACATCAAGCCGGGACACAAAAAGTACATGGAAAACCAGAGGAACAAGACAGGCATTGAGTTGTCCCGGGCAGGACAGAAGCAAAGACAGGCTATTACCCGCCGGTATTGGTGAGAGTCGGCAACCTTTCTGCTTTATACTCTCTCTTCTTAGGCGTTGGGGGGAACCGGGTTTTCACTCTGGATGACAGTTTAGCCTGATAGTGTCGGTCAGAGATATTCTTGTTTCGAGATATGGACGTCCAGGATCCTGTTAGAAGTCCGTGCCCTGGGCACTCCCTTCCAGGTATTTAGGCTGCCCTGGTTCCGTTTCTCCTCTTCCGTAAAACAACAACAATCAAGCCCTTTTCCGTTGTCGCCTTTTCCAGCCCACCGATAGATCCTCCTACTATGATTCCTGGTCCCTCTTGGAAGAGACTTGTTGTGCTGGCTTTTGATTTGAAGGTACACACACTGGAGAGGTGCACTGGACATATAGTGGAGGATGGTATTGTGATTAGGCTTTTGGAGCGTACTTGTAGTTACTAGCTTTTTGCCTAATCAACCGCCTCCTTTCCAAATATTCGCGGAGGTGTTGTCCGTCTGAGGATGGCACTTGCGGTCAAGTTGTCCATGGTACATGGGCGGGCCGGAGATTACAGATGTTGTACGTATTATTACGCTTGTGAGGTGCTTGCCGCCCGCTTAAGGGACCACTTTCCCCACACAATACACACAGCTTCTTTTCTTTACGGTTTCGGAATTGAGTCTATTACGCAGTACTACAAGTACATGCCTGCGACCCGGACATAAGAACCTTCGTTCTTTCTCATATTCCTTGATATATTTCCTCATATAATACGGCAACCTTGCCTTCCCTTCCTTGGCTCCTCCCTCTCGACATGCAGTACTTGGCGAATATTATTTAATGTTGGATTCCTGTTACGTAGTGGTATGATTGCCGGCCGGAAAGTGCATCGGCACACTCGGCCTACTCCTGTCAGGCACGCCTGCTACAGATATAGCAGGTGCTGCGTAGGCTGTGAACAGGGCAGTTACACTACCATGGCCTCACCGCTCCTGTATTGATTTAATCCAGCCCACAGGGCTTGGGGAATTCTCTGGACTTCTCCCTCTTCATCACCTCAAAACAACCTGGAATCCACATGACCAACCATTGCCTGAGCGCCCATTCACTGGGCTTCCAATTCACCAGCACTCCCTTCCTGGGTATTTAGGCTGCCCTGGTTTCCGTTTCCACTTCTCCTCTTCCGTTAGACAACTGACTCCAGAATCAAGTCATTTTCGTTGTCACCTTTCCAGCCTCAAACAGGATGTCTGTTTCCTTTCAACCTATCTTTCTCCAGAACTTGTAAGCTTACTAGTAGGAAACTCCCATCTCAGTCTCTTGGAAGTTTAGAGCGAGGCACTGTGTCTCCACTCAAAATTGCACCCCACAAAAGTTTTCATTCTTCGGGTATTTAGCTGGGCCTTCTGGGCGTCCTCTTCTTTAGTTCTGCAAGCGAATCAATCACCGAATCAAGCACCAGTTTGGTTTTCCTCGTTTCAACTGGCGTTAAGCATTCACTGCCCGGCGCAAGACCTCTGGCGCCTCGCCCATTTCTCACGCGTGACGGTTCTGCAACTACGATATCGTCTGTCGAATGGTATCAGCCCCCGATCATGTCTTTTGTAAAAAGTGCGACATCCACGACTCATTTGCGCGATGCGAGCGAGGGTATTGAGAAAGCCGAGTCACCACCAGCTCACCTCCAGCCGCGCACGATTGTGGACGTTGACCCGGACGGCGATCTCTTCCTGGATGTAGCACTGGATACTAAAGGTGTGGCTTACCGCTATCGCGTCTGTTCCGGCACGCTTCGTCGTCATTCTCCAGTATGGAAAACGATGCTGTTTGGTCCTTGGTTGGAATCAAAGCCGACCAACAGCGAGGAATGGGTTGTTCAACTTCCAGAGGATCCTGCCTACCCGATGTTGATCATTCTCAACATAGTCCATGGGAGATTTGCCGATGTTCCCCAGGATATTCGACTAGGAAATCTCCGTGATATCTTGGCCCTAACCAACAAATACGATATGACCAGTATCGTGAGGCCTTTGTGTGCCCAATGGATAGCGGTCGCCAGGAGATCGAAGAATTCGACCGAGAAGAATTCGACCGGCGACTTTTCGTTCAAGCGTTCGGCCAAAAATACGTTAAGGTCATTATATGTGGCATGGGAATTAGGCGACGAAGTGCTCTTCGCTCTAAGATTGGAGGAACTTTCCTTACGGACCAGAATGGATACCGAGGGCCGCTTAAGTTACGCTACGTCGAGGAGGAGCCGAAAAGGAACCACACTCAATGATGAGAATTATCTGGGACCACAAGATGCGCTAGGTGGGTTGGCTCTGAGAAAGATCGTTGAATGGTCAACACAATTGGCAGGAAGTATATGCTAACATCCTTCAGACACGATATGTGCAATCCGGGAGGCTCTACTTGAAATGCTCATTACACCCATCCATGAAGATCTAGATGCCCGGATGAAGGCAGATCCTTACTACAAGATTGGGAGCTCGGGTTACCGGAGGATGCTCTGTGATGCCGCAACCATAGGCAGTATCCACCGACATATGCTGCAAACCAAAGGCAGCATTCTCACCAAGCCTGCCTCTGAGATCGAAGACAGCGTTATAGAGCTAGCATCTTGGCTGTTTTCCATGATGTCCAAGATTCCGACTGTGCATGGTGATGAACGCACGTCGGACTCAATCCATGCACGGAACTGGGAATGCTTTCCGGTGCCGAAATACAAGAAGCTCTGCATTGGCATCCAAATCGATACCCCAAAAGTTGTGGCTGGCTTCATCAAGCCGAGTCACAGGGAATATATGGCGGCCCAAAGAGCAAAGACCGGGTTGGTCATGCAAGACGACAGATCCGCACGCCGCTACTGGCACTGGCCTTGGTCTTGAGCTATGAGAATACGAACCGTCATACTGTCATGTGATGAAGTTTGTAGGTATCTCAATCTCCCACTGGTCTACGGTCGTGGTAACAATGACAGCATTTAGAATTAACACCATCTCGGCTCGTGGTTGGTTCACCAATGGTTCTTAACGGAAACACCATTACACAGGCCGAGAGTTCCATGAAAGAGCAAAGAACATTGTACAGAAGTCATACATATGATGACAGGTCTTCGAACATTGGCAACACAAACATGCACGAGTTTGGTAAGAAATTTCGGCAATACCAAAATGATCTGAGGCAAAGACTGCAAACCGAATCTTGAGCGACTGAAGTCGATGTGGCATATAGACTACATGAGGTCTAGAAGTCTTTGGGAAGGAGGGATGGAAGGGAGTACTCTTCAGCTGAGACCTACAACATGTACCGTATGATATGACCGAAAGGTATGCAATGTAGAAAGGCGGCGATCAACAACTCTTTGGTGCCAATGGGTGAGAAGGCGCTTCCATACTACAAGGGATAGCAAATGTTACACATGGAGAAGCGCCAATAACGCAGTGTCTTTATTAAGTGACTAGCGACAGAATCAGTTGGGCGTCCAGGCAACGGGATTTACGAATAATCTAGGCGTAGTATACACAGGCGTGTTGCCTATGCTTGCTGCGGTAGATGTGGCAGAAGTGGTAGAAGTGGTAGCCGTAGTAGCCGTGGTAGGCGCGGCAGAGCGAGTGGGAATAGGCGTTCCAAACAGCGACGACGTAGCTGGCGTAGAAATTCTGTCGAAGAAATTTGTGCCAAAATTACCTCTAGGCTGTACCCAGTACGTGTAAGTAGCTGTATCCGCCCCCTTCTTAGCAAGGCCAGTCTTTACTCTGGCTTTCTCCATGTAGCTGTGGTAGGAGGGTGCAATATGGCGTCCGGCCACGGTAGGGATGCTGCCATGAACCTCGTTGCTCAGATCGGTGTACTTCTGTGCGATCGAGCACGTCTTGCGATGTAGCGGCATAGTCTCGACGTTGATCATGCAAGGAAACAGCCAATTTGCGAGCCCCACGACACTGTCGAGAAGTTCGGCGTGCAGTATCGGGAGCAGGTAACCTTTCTGTTTCAGCATGCTTGAGTGAATACCGCCCAGAATTGCGGCGTCGCAAAGCTGACATGAGCCTGCAGCTATGTCCAAGGTTTGGTTGGAGCCTGGCTTGAAACAGCAGGCGGGCGAAGCTTTCAGGCGTGCCCGAATATCTTCGTGCACAGGCTGAATTATGGCCTCTATCAGGTCCTCACGAATATGATATATAGTATCTGTACAAATGTTAAAGGGTTAGAGACGGATCATGCGGATGGACTGATGCGCTGGCCGATAGTTGAGGGACAACTTACCTAATATATCATATGGGCCAAGGTGTTCCACATCCTCGAGGACAGCTTCTGTTGGTTTCGATACGAACGGACCCCTTCCTCCTCCTTTCTTTAGGACCAGGCGGCCCTTTGTATCGATAGAGCTGTTTACAGCAATCTCTTGGAGCCGTCAGGCAAAAAGATTCTCATCACCGAGCTCCCATGCGACATAGAAAGACTCGATTATATCATCCGCCTCCGTCATTGATCCTTGCGCTATAGATGCCCAGTTCTGGCTCCAAGGCTTGATAATGTTGACAACATCGTACTTGTTGGCGACCACCAGCAAATCGTGAAGCTGGCGGAGGGAGAGAAACAGCGGGGGGACCATATCGAAGTTTCCGTGTACGATGTGAAGGATCAGCTGCATCGCCTGAGGACAATCATCGAACAACTCGACAATCCAGTCCTTGTCGCTGCTGGTCGGCTTTCCTTCCTTCCAAGGCCCAAATAACATCTGCTTCCATACTGGCGAACGGCGGCGGAGTGCAGCGGAGCAGACTCGGAATTTCCAGAGCGTGGAAGCTTCACCCGTGTCGGGAACGTGTAGGTAAAGGTCGCCATCCGGGTCAATGTTGACGGCCTTGTATGCTGCTGTCGGCGCCGGCGCCTCCGGGGTCTGCGCCGAACCCATGTTCGAGAATGAGGGGGCGTTCTTGGGTATAGTATGGGATGTGAAAGTGTCCGTAAAAAGTCGTGTCCGTGGAAGGAAGAAGATGAATGGGCAAAGAAAATAGAAGACAAAAACGAAGTACAAAAAGATTCATGGGTTCAAAAGGAAAGGAGGAAAAGCAGCTACTAAAAGCGAAGGTCATGTTGTTGGTACTTGAAATACAGAAAAATACAGCATGTGAAAGATATGCAACTTGTCGTGTGGTGTGGGGTATGCTTTCCTAGTTGCAAACGAAGCGACATCCTTGGCACTCAATAGCGTGAAGGAATCGCCGCCTTGCAGTGGTGCTTGGGCCTTAGCCACTGCCATGTCGTTTGCGAGCTGGGCCTCTTGCAGCTGGCCCCGATGGACAGCGGGTACCCCTGTCCCTGATTATACTGTGTAGCGCCTCGTGCTTTCACGGGAAGTGAACCCACGCAGGCGGAATGTCAACATTTTTGTGTAACACCGGGGAAATCGACACGAGGCATCCAGCTCATGGCAACTGCCTGACTTCTTCAAGGTTATATCGTAGTTATGTATGCGAGACTTCGTGAAACTGAGTAGCTTAAATTATTTGGCTCACAAGGATGTGTTTATCAAGTATCTCTTGACTTGTGAGTATCACCTCATTCTTGCGTTGCCAACACCTTGAACCAATTGTTATGCAGGTTGGTTATGGCAACGCTTGTAGAATTGACATTGGATATATGCGAACTCTGCACAATCACACATAGTTGTGTTACGGACTTACATGCTCGTGCAGTCTTCCGAGATTCTTGGAAACTGACAACTGAGTAGACATTCTTCGGGTGACTTCAGGCAGGTTTGTCTGAGCATCATCCAATCATCTGACCACGGTTGTGGTGCGGATTCGAATATTCTATTCTTCTGTATAGAACATGATATGTGATGCCCATGATCTATGGATAATTTTCCAATGATTGAAGAATTTTCGGATTGCCAAGGGGACGGACGAGCAGTGGATGAGATACTGTTGTTTGTTTACGCTTACCCAACGCCTGTAATAAACAGTACAATACCTGTCACGAAGCCGTGTTATATTACCATGGTATCCCCCGCCCCGCATTTCTAATACGCCGCGTGGATTTCCAGCTTTCTGTCCCTTCTCTCAAGTGACTTCCCTCCTTTCAAAGTTCTCGCATAAACATGCTTCAATCCGATCTTTGCGTAGAGCAACTAAGACTATTTTGAGCGTTTCATCGAAGGGGACACGACGGTCTCAGAACTAGATGTTCCGTTTAGCGTGAGCCCTACGATAGATGGTCAGGCGATTCGAGCACATTCCGCTAGACGCTACCTGCTCTCTAAGAAACGACAGAAACGACAAAAACGACTCGGGCTGTAGCCACAGCCGAATTGCCTAACGGGCACTTCTACTACGACGATATCAGACGTCAAACCACCGACGCTCACAAACATGGGTACTACGATGGATCCAAGCACGCTACCATATAAGGTCTACGATATTGATCCAGATGGAGATCTGCTGCTTGGTACGAAACCGGACCATGAAGCGCGTTGGAGATTCCGCGTGTGCTCAGCTACGCTCCGTCGCCACTCGCCAGTGTGGAAGACGATGTTGTTTGGTCCTTGGAAGGAAGCAAAGCCAACAGACGATAGCGAATGGGTAGTCGAGCTTCCCGAGGATCCAGCCTTCGAAATGCAGACTACGTTTCACATCATACACGGATTATTCGACAAAGTTCCAGAAACTATGTCTATCAACAATCTCTTCAACCTTCTCATTGTCCTTAATAAATACGACATGACCCGCATCGTGAAGCCTTGGTGTACACAATGGGTGCTGCCGGCCGAACAGCCCCTTGCAGCGGTTCACGCACTTCGATCCATGTATATCGCGTGGGAGCTAGGGCACGAAAGTCTGTTTACATCCAGACTCGCAGAGATCGCCATGAAAACTGAGATTGAAGGAGGTGCTTTGGTTTTCAACGATTTTCAAGATGTCAACCTCGAAGCTCAGGATTATCTTGGTCCATCGGATATCTTAGGTGCGTACAGTATTCATGTATGGAGTCATCAATCACATCGAATTTATTGCTGACGTGCTCATAGATATCATACGCGAGATACGGAAAGCGGTTATTGAGAAAATGATCGCACCCCTCACTGCAGATCTAGAAGCCCGAGTAAAAACTACTCCTTGTTGCACTTTTGGCAACAGTTGGGAAAAACCCGAACGGGATCGAAGCTTGTGTGATGCTGCGGTTCTAGGCAGCATTTATCGCGGTATGATAAAGCAAAAAGGTAGCATACTTCCGAGAGAGAGCTCCTGTATTACCGAAAGCGTTGTGCAGATGGCGTCTTGGCTGTTCCCTATGATGGAGGACATCCAGACCCCTCAGTATCATAGACAGTGCTCCTTGAAAGACAAGTACCAGAAGCACAGCACGACGCTGCATGGCAGCATCCCCGAGATTGTCCAGAAATTTTTGAAGCCTAGCCATAAGGAATACATGGCTTCGCAGAGATCAAAGACTGGGGTGGCAAGTCAGCCAGGAACACAAATCACGCAACGCTACTGGAAGTTGACTTGAAATCACGATAGGAGGCGGAGGGATGACATGTTCGGGTTTCTTCCAGGTGAAAGAGCAAGCAATAAGAAGCAGTGGAGCCTGAAACCACAGTTGCAGTTGCTTGAAAGATACATAGAATACCAACAAGCTTTTACTACAGATCACGCATCGCGAACAGGTTCCCAGAGGTCCCATGGCTCATTTGGCGAGCTTCCGAGTTTGGAAGTGAGGTTATTTTCCTCCACAACCTTGCTTTGTTTTCTCCATAATTAAGATCTCTGTCAAACGCATCTCATTCTGAAATCAGCAATTCACGGAAGAACGACGCTTCATGGGAGTCAAGTCAGAGTGGCAGCGAAAACAAAAGAAGTCACGATCATCATCATCATACCGGAAGATCAGGTGTTTTTTTGGAGTCAATACACATGCTTTCTGGGTAATCGTTACACTGCCGCCGTCAGATTTCGGTAACTTCTTTTCAAAAGAGCCGCTCAGTTACTTGTTACAACGTAACCATTTACATACGATGTAACACTCCGTAGTGCAGTATTGTCCCCTATTAATGCAAGCCCCCCGTTTGCAAACACATACAAACTGACCCCCTAGATGCAAAGATACCTATTTGTGGTCCGAATTACCAGTTTTCTATGGAAGTGAGGCGCCCCTTAATGCAAAAGCCCATTTTAATGCAAGAGCGCCGAGCCTTTCCCCAAATGGTTCCGGAATTAGTTGCATTAACAGGGGACATTACTGTATCCCCCTTTCCCGCATTTGCTAGTGCATTCTACCTAACATCCCGTCAGTCCTCCTCCGAAATCTGCAAACTTTCACGCGGGTATCTCACATTATCAACACATCCTAATCGGAGAGCAAAATCCAGACCACGACAGCTCCGGCCCGCAGGTGCCCTACCATAAGATATTCTTTCAGGGATGCGACCAAAAAAACGTGCCCGGACAATGGCCGTGGCCACCACCTCCGAATCGGCGGTGACAGATGGAGCATCATCGACGCCCACGGAAGTGGGAGACGCTAATGAGCAGCCTATGCGGCCAACCAAGATTGTCGAAACGACCCTGACGGCGACCTCACGTTGAATGTAGGACCTCATGATAATGAGCGTTGCGGCTTTCGCGTTTGTCCCGGCACGCTTCGTCGGCATTCACCGGTGTGGAAGGCCATGTTGTTTGGTTCCTCCTGGATAGAGTCGAAGCCGACCGACGGAGAGGACTGGGTTGTTGAGCTTCCCGAAGACTCCGCTTTCCCCATGGAAATTATCCTCGACAACATACACGGAAGGTTCGAACGCGTCCCGAAGACCCTTGGCCTCGAGGATCTCCGTGATCTTTTAGTCCTCACCAACAAGTACGACATGACTGGTATTGTGAGGCCCTGGGGTGCGCAGTGGATAGAGGCCGCTAGAAAACCCGACCTTGACAGCGACGATATCCTCCGGTCTTTGTTTGTCGCTTGGGAGTTAGGCGACGAGCACCTCTTCACCCATAGACTCCAAGAAATAGCCTTACGTGCCAAGGTCAACGAGGAGGGCCGCTTGAGTTATACCGCATTAGTACCAGAAGTTCAGGCAGAAGTTCAGGATGACTCGGCTGATGAGGATGACTCGGCTGATGAGGATGATCCATGGATACTAAGCGAAAAGGATGCCATCCTTGAAGAAGAGGATCATCTAGGTCCGCAAGATGCACTAGGTGGTTTTTTTTTTCTGAGATTCCAATCCCGAATCCGCAAACAGAGAAGCCAATATTGACATTTGTTAGATGTCATATCTTCAATCCGGGAGACCTTACTTGCCAAACTCGTCACCTCCATTCACGAAGAGCTCGATTCCCGAATGAAACCAGAACCGTGCTGTTCTTTTAAATGGGGCGACAAGAGCAGGAACTACGCCTGCGATACCGCAGTCGTCGGTCATATTCACCAAAGTATGCTACGGGTTAGAGGTAGCATTCTCCCCAGGTCTGCCTCTGACATCGATGATAGTGTTCTAGAGCTGGTCTGTTCGCTGTTTGACACAGAGTTGTTCGGCGCTGTACCCAATATACACCTTCAGCCGTTCAGGTACAGCAGCACTCGCGAATTTTGCGATCCGGTAGGGAAATTCTTTGAGCTCAGAAATAGCATTTACAAGAATAGCCCAACATTGGTGGCTGCCTCCATAAAGCCATCCTATAAGGAGTACATGGCTAAACAAAGAGGGAGGACAGGGCTAGTGATGGCAGAAAAGCAGGATAGAAGAGGGTCTGAGAGATATCTCAGGATATACAATATTTGTAAATGGCGACGCTACCAACACCTCTCCGGCGTCTACTAATCCAGCTAACTGCTGGAGAAGAGCGCTAGCTATGTAGTTGGCGGTACAAAGACGAAGGTTTGCAAAGGAGGGAGGACAGGCGGTCTGTGCTGCAAACGCCTAGAATCTTCTCTCAGGGTTACGCCGCTACTGGGAGCATTGAGATTCTTGCATAGGTATGAAGCATCAGGTGCGTATTTTTTAGAGAAGCGCCTGAGATCTTCCCAGAGTTCAGGATAGGTAGAATACAACCGTATATCTCATAACATTTCGTCATCTTTGTCAAATGGCCAGAAGCCGCACGCTATCGTGATCACTTCAGCGTCCTATTTCAGAACCTTTGGGGCCTACCTATAGATGGCCCTATCATACAAAGAGCGGTGCAACCGCTGCGAAGCAAAGCATTCGAATGGCGGGCCTTTGGGTTGAATGGTATTCTGGTCATTGTCTGTTGCTTGGTGATTTGGATGAACCAAACTTCCAAAAGCCGCAGGGACACTTCGAAATGCCTTAAGAAACCCCAAAAATGCCCCCGAGGGTTCCAGCTTGACATACTGTTACGGATTTATATGTTTACCGTCGCCCATAGCACTCATTGACGATATCGTGTCTAGAAAGGTTGGCATGAGGTCCCATACGATCTCACCGTTGGGTCTGGGAGGGATTCAAGCCCCGACGAGTACGCCTATCAAGCATACTTGTTATGGTAATGACGAAGAAGATCAAGTGTTCTATGCGTAGGGTACTCTCACTCTGTCTCTTTCTGTGAATCCTCAGTTTGAGCGTATCTCCAGATACGACACGGCCGTGGTAAATGGGTATTGTGAGTTCTCCTCAGTTACCGCACTGAGGTCCTGGTTGCCCTGACGGTCTATTCATACCCCCCCGAGCGGTCTTAAAAGTAAACCGAACATAGACAGTCCAATACCGCTCGCTTTGGTTTGGAAAGGCCGTTACCCTATGAAATCGTGATATACCTCGTAGTAAGTTTGAAGCACGTCGGCTAAGAGTTTATTAGGGATTATTGGATTCTGTGATTGTTTTGAGGTTCGGTCCATATGTGTAAGAATGACACATGATAGCGTATAAGAGTATCCGAAGGTGTAATATACTGACCGTGACGTGTTCGGTTTGTTTTTACGATCATTCGCCCCCTTACGCATCAGGTAGGAGTACCTACAGCAGGGCAGGGTGGAGAGAGTGCCGTAGATGGGTAGAACCTTCCAGTTGAGACCGGCAAGTGCGACTACCGCGCCTGCCGCCTTGCAGGCCGGTATAAGTGAATGGTAAAACATCCGAACGGGTCACCCGATGTCAAGTGAAGTGTGCCTTCCTGTTATTTTTAGTTCCACCCCCTTTTTCCGCAGTCAAGTGTCAGAACTTTTCCAAAAACTTTTCTTCCTCCTCCATGTGAGCCTCAAGCATTTCTCTCCGGAGGCGCGGACAGCCACGACAGATTTCCGTTGCTGCTTCGGCACAGCAACCAGCGATTCGCCGTTCAAAAACCGACGGCCGAAGGACGACCAGGCCCCAGTCAAAGGCGCGAGGCCCAGGTTGGCAATAACCCAACCGACTTCAACTCTCCCCCAAACTGTACAACTACCACCTTGGCTAAGACGCGCTATCACACGATCAGCACTCGAAGCCATGGATACCCCAATCACGATCAATATTGATCCCGAGGGAGATCTCTTCTTGGATGCGACAGCAGATCCTTCGAACCGCAAGAGGTTTCGTGTCTGCTCTCAAGCCCTTCGTCGCAAGTCGCCAGTCTGGAAGCGGATGCTGTTTGGTCCTTGGAAGGAGTCCAAGCCGGCCAATGACAAGGAATGGGTTGTCGAGTTGCCTGATGATCCTGTTCGCCCGTTACAGATCATTCTCTCCATCATCCACAGCAACTTTGATGCCGTTCCGGGTTTTACATCCATCGAAATCATCCATCAGGTCTTAATCATGACTAACAAGTACGACATCACCAGCATCGTGAGGCCCTGGTCCTTGCAGTGGCTTCAGATAGCTGAGCTGCCTTCTAATGCGGCGGCGGAGGTGGTTAAGTCCTTGTATATTGCATGGGAGCTCGGCAGCGAAGAGGTCTTTGCTTCGAAGTTGGAACATATCTCCTTGCACACCGAACTTGACTCCAAAGGCCGCTTGTTTTTTGACTCAGCAATCCTACTCGAGGAAGAGGAGTTTTTGGGCCCGCAAACTGCACTGGGTAAGTTCCGTGTCACGATTACCATCAAAGTAGCATCCAAAATATGAATGCTGACTTGCAGTAAACAGATACAATTTCCAAGATCCGATTGGATTTGCTTCAGAAGCTGATCTCACCAGTTCACGAGGTTCTGGATGCTCGAACGAAGCAACAGCCTTTTTGCCCTCAGAACAACCCCTACAACCCAGGTGCAACCAAAGCTTGCGATGCCGCAGTATTGGGCAATATCTACCGCGAGATGGTACAAGCCAGAGGTGCCGTGCTTTCAGAGTTTGCTGCTGATATCAACGACAGCGTTGTTAACCTCGCAGCTTGGATATTCTCCTTCATGGCAAAGATTGAAGGTATCCATCAAGGACCCTTCGGAACCGCGGCGCCATGCGCTCCGAAATCGAAGTTCCAAGATCTCAACAAAAGCATTCATGACAGTATTCCTGCCGTCGTAGCCGGATTCATGGAACCAGGATACAAGGAGTACATGGCCAAGCAGAGAAGCAAGACAGGAGTGGCTCTGCCGCCACCCTGGGAAAACCACACCACAAAGCGCCATTGGGACTAGGTTTGAGCATCCAGGGAGGATATGTAGAAGTACAAACGAGCCACAAACATCCGGATCAGCTGTCTCAGCTCTAGTCAGCAATGCCACTGGGGTCATTCAAGCATGTTACCTTACGTTTAAACTAACTCAACTGTCGTACGATTAGTTTCTGGCATAATAAACTGGCAGTGTCGGTGCTACATTGCTCGTGAGGTCTGGAATGGAATGGTCTCCTTCCCTTACAACAAAAGGAGCTATACATAAAGCAATGCGTGACGCCGTGTTATCGGTGAGTGATTTCTGTTTCGCTTGACACATTGACATATCGACTGTGCTTCAGATTTCAGGAGCGTATCCGTGTGGTACCAGTTACTCTCTCCTGTAAAGGCTGCACCAAAGACATCTTGCAAATTACCACGTTCATACCTCTAAGTATGATCCGCTGTCTGTGGTGTATGGAAATACATAAAAACATCAACGTTATCCCAGGAGAGTGCTATATTCCTCTCGCACCTGAGCTTACTGACATGACCCAACAACAGTTATAGACTGGAAAATACCGTCCTCCACCACGGTAGCGGCCTCCCATCCGCTCTCGTTTCCACATCCCTAGCCTCGTCAAGATCCCGACGCCTGCCCGCCTGAAGGTCAACCTCATGCGGCCTCCACAGCCGCGTCTTGAACGTGAACTTGTACACAAAGTAAATGACAGGAAACAAGGGCAACAGGATGTACGCATCCACAAAGTTGCCCGCATCAAACGGAGCCAGCGTCGACCAGCCCTGCACAAAAGCCAAGAACACATTGGAAATCAAGCCAAAGTACGCATTCCATGGGTACCACAAGGACTTATACGGCAGCTCCTCCGGGCTGTGGCCCTGCGCCTTCCACGCGGCGCGGAAGCGGATGTGAATCAGACTGATGGCGCCCCAGACCAAGAAAGTCGAGACACCGCTCAGGTTGATAATGTACCCGTACGCCTTACTCGCGCCGGTGCTGAGGTTCATCATAGACAGAGCTCCGCACGCATTGGTGAGGAGGATCGCATAAACAGGGACACCACGACGATCCGTCCAGCCGAGGAACCTGGGCGCCTTCCCGTCCTGCGCCATGTACAAGATGGTACGGCTGCCGATATAAACCGAGCTGTTAACGGCGCTCAAGCAGGTGACAAAGATGAAGGCGTTGATCAGGTGGTGGCCGTTTGCCCAGCCAGCGTTCTGGAGAGCAATGGTCATGGGCGACTTGAGGGCATGGGTGGCGCCGCCGACGAGCTCGGGGGCGTTCGAGGGGCAGGTCAACCCGAAGAAGAAGGCGCAGCCCATGTAGACGAAGACGATGCGAATGAAGACTTGGCGGATGGAGTGCGGGACGGCGACACCCGGGTTTTTGGTCTCGGTGGCGGCGACGGCGACGGATTCGACACCCGCGTAGAAGGTGGAGCAGAAGACGAAGACTCCGGCGACGCCGCGGAAGCCGTCAGCGAAGGGGCCGGGGTTGTGCCAGTACTTGAAGCCGAAGGCGTCGGCGCCTTTGACACCTCCTGAGACGTAACTATTCCAATGTGAGTAAGAAATCGAAAGATGTTGGGAGGTTTGGAAACTAACATAATGCTAAAGATGAAGTAGGCTACCAAGCCTACAAGCTTGAGGAGCGCCAGCCAGAACTCGGCTTCACCAAACGTCTCGACACCGAGGAGTTGAAAGCCCAAGAATGCGAACTGTCTGCGGTGTTAGCAACTCCCCCCTATACACTCGGTCCCACTGTACGCCTGCTTAACAGAGATAAAAACTCACCCAAAATATTAAAAAGTACCCCCAAAGCGGGACCTTATCACTCCAGCTCACCATCACGCTCGAAATCACATTATACTCATTCGCCAAGACACAAACCCAAACTAAACCACCAAAGTCAGCGAAAGTCAACTCGCACAGGGACAACAAAAACTCACTAATAAAATAATTCCACCCCACCGCCACCCCAAAAGCCTTATCAATAAACCTGTCCCCAAGATCCGTAAACGCGCCACCACTGGGGTACAGCGTCGTCAGCTCGCCCAGACTCTGCATGATAGAAAAGGCAATGAGGCCAATGACACCAAAGCCGATGAGCAGCGACGCAGGGCCGCCGGAATTCAGAGCAGCACCGGATCCAACGAGAAGACCGGGGCCGATGATGCCGGCCAGGGCCATCATGGATAAGTGCCGAGTCTTCAGACCGCGCTTGACGCCCGAGTGAGGGTCGATGGCGTGGAAGTCGCCGCTGCCGACGTCTTTGGAGTCCATGGCGGTTTCATGGTCGTCGTGGATGGTGGCGCTCCCTTTTTGGGAGAGCGACATTTTGGGTTTGGTTTTTTGGGGGATATACCCGTCGTACCGTGTCCGATGCTTGCCGATAGGTGTGCGTGCACGGGTCCGGGTCCGAGTCCGTTGTGGTGGTGGCGGTCGTGTTGTGCCGGTATAAGGTGATGATGTGTTGTGAAACGGATACTGTTTTCACGCCCGGTAAAGAAGAAATTTTGAAAGAGGAAGATATGATAATATGATGGATGTCGTATCGGCGTGGGAGAGAAAGGTGAGGTCAGCCGACAGGGGTTGTCCGGTTGTTGAACTCCCAAAGTTGCATTCCCAAAGGGCAAACAAAGCACGGCAGTGACACTGTGAGAGGGAAAGTGAAGAGAGGTTGAAGACAGATGGGTATCGATTATCCAGAAAATAAAAACAATATGTAAGGTACCTTCCCGCGCCTTTGGTAGGTAGCCAAGTTGTGTCTGTTCTGGATAATCGTCTCCGACTGATGGAACAGCTCCCCAAAACAAGGTTTCAATCGACACACAACATGTGTCCGAAAATATGTCCGTGAACAGGGGAGGGTCGTACTGTTTAACGCTTATCAAGGAAACGTTGATCCGAAGTCCAAAACTCTCCTTATCATTGGCGATCTGCACTCGCAGTCGCGGCACTTACGTTACACAGGACCATCCACTCAGCTGGGACAGCCATGATCTCGCGTGTTTTAACGCAAAGAAGGATACCGGCTTTTGCTCTCACGATCTTGTTGCCAAAAAAAACCAAGACACCCCAGTGTTGCCGTTTGCGTTGTACAATAGGGGTCCAGAACGGGAGGACAGTGACAAAGGGGGTCACCAATGACACCAAGAACGGGTTGCGATAACCTTAACGTCCTATCACCAATCTGTGGTGGAATATTGCTAGTGCACTACAACTTACACCACCCATGCCATAGATCGCGCCATCCATCCAATTGGCGTGAGCCTCACTGGATCCACTGAACCTTATCCGCAAGCGAGCTTGCCAAGAGTCAGCACCATTGGAAGTGCCCCCGTGAAAGTGTATCGTGTGAAGTGGGGATTTATAAGAACGACTTGTAAGCAGAAACACCCTTCTGGAAGGCGAGAAAAAGATCACTGCAACTGCATCTCCATCGCTATCTAGAGGTACTGATATCAAGCAAACGCTATCAGAGAGCGATCGCGGAGTGGCCGTTGGAATATCAGTACCTCTAGATAGCGATGGGGTTTCGGTCATGCTATCGTCGCATGCACTGCAGCGATAAGATCCCAGCTTGAACTAACCCGACTTGAGTAACACTCGCCGTGCCGCCGACAAACGTGATATATCGGGTTAAGATCTGATAAAGAATATGTGATGGAGTTCGTACCTCCGTAGCTCTCCTTCACTTCAGCTTTGTGGTTTCGACTTTCGAGGTGCTTCATAGGGATCAGCGATCTCCGTTACAAGTACAGTAAAAGAAGTCCCCGCCCCGCAAAGGCCACTCCACAACTCCGCATACTGTGGCCCGAACGGGATCGGGGCCGACCGCGGCAAGCGCGGGCGGTCGCAACCCCGCATGCGGGGGAACGGAGACGAAGCGGAGACCTCTTGTCGGCTATCGAGCTCCGGGTGCTGGAACTCTGTTCGACATGAGACCTCAGAGTTGGATATTTGGTGAAATCCATGGAATATCCTTCGAGATAACTTGGACACGGGTTATGGTGGGAGTTGTTGGCGTTATTGGCGGTTGTTGGAGAAGGCAGATGGCCTGCTGACATGGTCGACCAACTTACTCTGACTGCCTTGATTTCAAGAGGATGATAATCTTCTCGGGTGGAAATCAAGGCAAGTGGCCTTCTTGATGCTCATCGCCAACAGGAAGGCATTACAAGACTTCCTTCTTCAAATTCCCATCTTCATCTGGTTTGGATAAACATCACCAGCTTCTCTCATCGACAATCCCATCAATATCTCAGAGGGCCCCTCTGGTTGGTGCTTCATCGGCGACGTCGTGATTGGCCGAAAGTGGCCTTGGAGGTAGCATTCTTTGTCAATCCATTGACTTGCATGCAACGGTGGTGTTATGTAACGGTTGCCCCTCTGCTGATAGGGCTTATCGTGACTTACACCACCGACCGTCATCTGCTAGGATCGATAAGTGACGATCATCCTTAACAGATTTGCTAGCAGTATATGACTAACTGAGTTAGTGGTGCGGTACCCAGAACTCCGATATTCACCCCAACTTACGTGCCCAGACCAACGTTATCGCCATTGCCATGGGAAGCAATTGACAAATGACAAGATTCCATGTACTTATCGACTTCGAGATGTGTATCACCTAGACGAACTGGGACGAGCTGAAGATTAGCACCCAGCAAACCCACTTACCTACCTCTAGTCCACAATGACGACCGAAGACGAAAAGACCGGCTGGCGACCTAGTCCTTGTTGCTCCTTGGAGACTGTGGAACCAGTCCTAGTTGGAGATAAGAGGGCCCGAGGATAAGATCCTTGGAGTTGGGGCCTAATGGGGATATGGCGCTTGCCAAAAGGCCGATTCTTACTATTTTCATTGATGGGAACCCGTACGGTAAAGATTATGGGCGTCTCCATATCTATGGGGTGATGAAACGTGTTTAGATGTGTGATGTTTCCCGAGCAAGCACAAAAAAAAAATGGGCATGGTTTGTGGGTTTCCAAAAAGAAGAGTGTGCCCAAATGTACAATTGGGACAAGTCTGGGTGTTTTGAGGCGAGATCAGGAAGATTCACTAAAGTAGCATCGGGAGTGAAGACGTTGGTGATGGAATGGCCGCCGGCCGGAGCTTACAAGAGGAAAGAGGAGCCGTCAAAGAACCACCGGAGGAGTATAGCCGATGATGAGTATCTGTGGTACTTCAGAAAGCTGAAGAAGCAACAAGGAAATTTCGGTGTCGAGTCGCCGCTGGAGAGGGTCGTACTCAAGTGGGGGTATGAAAGGTCCTGGGCGGATGAAGTAAAGGAAATCTTGGAGGTTGAAGTTGTTTGGGAATAATAGCTGACACTCGTGGATGATCGAAGGATGTGATGGGCGTTGTTGAGAGGGCACTTTGGCGCGTATTGGGTAGTCCGGGGACGCAGACTGCAATTCCATATCAACTTCACCAGCTACCCGGTACAAGTGGCATTGTACTACCGCGTCATCTCGCAACGTGCGTTGCCGCTTCGAAGTGACACTTGACGTCGTGTCTCGTACCGGCATCCTCTGATAATCGCGAACCCAACTGTCTGGGCCGTCCAGTTTTCATGGGCAAGCTGCCTCACCTTCGCACCCGCCAGCCTGCACAGAGCCACCCCCACAACATCCCCTGTCTCAAGGTCATAATTGTGTGGTAATGAAATTCAGGGGCTCGCCCGAAGGAGTTGGAGAAGTTACTGGTTTGGAGCGATCTTCCTCATAGCTTCATGCATGATATGCACGGTACCACAAGATCAACTTGCCTACATACGCTGTGGTGTATAACAGCTGAATGGCCTTAATAGCTGAGCTCTGCGTGTAGCTGAGGCCGGGGAGAATAGCGATTAGCAGTCCAGACCGCGCTGGGTCAGGGAAACAGGGTGGGCATAACTTTGTTGTCAGTGAAATTGGAATCTCCGAGGAGTTTAATGATGAACGTCGACTTCATCTTCTCGTCTAGCCACCGGCTATCATGATGTCGTTCGGGATAAGGCGTGATCTCGTCGGTCTGGTTCTCTGGCCAGCAAGCGCTTCTTCTCCGAATCTCCTCCCCCCCCATTCAGCGCGTCGCGGTGCTCGCCACTGCTGCTATTGCCCCCGAGTGAGATACCGGTACATATCGCACTCACTTCCTGACGACAATGTGCTTCCGCATTCGGTCATCGCTCGTGTGAGTGGCTGAACATATCGGGATGGGAATTCAAGACAAACATTGGTGTAAGGCTGCGAGCAGCAGTGTGTTTCTTGTCCTCGCCAAGTGCTCTCCTTTCCGCTCTTTGTTCCACATCACTGGGCTAGATGGCGCCGCTGCCGACCCTTCATATTTACCCAGGCGTACATCTTGACGTCAACCAACTGATATTTTCTTGTCCCGCGCCTTCGAACCCAGCAATGGGTTACCCGTCTCGTCTCGATGGATGTTTGGATTTGGGAATCCCGTTGATCATGCCATGCGATTGCACGTAGCTTGCGTGCACCAAAATGCCCACCTTTTACACGTGGTCTGCGTGAACCTTTGGCTCTTCTGCTCCATAGTGTGGTCTGGACCCGTCTGCTCGTGAAGCTGAGGAAAGCTGAGAAGCTCCATCCGTGTCTTGCAGCTCTTTGCTCCCGAGGAGGCTCGAATGTGGGAAGCTTGCTCGTAATGGTCACCCGTCGAAGTGGGGGATCAGAAGCTTGGTTCCTTGTCGTACTGTACAGCTCGTTTCTTTGGTTGTCTGGAGAGCTCGAGGAGACAATGGAGAACTCAAAGGGCCAGAAATGCTGTGGTTGTGATTTGGTGGCAGAGTTGCGCCATGAAACCCCTGGGATGTCGTCATGTTAAAGGTGGGCGGGCTGGACCCTCTTATAGGCCGAGCCAAGCCCGCTAGCCTCCTTCTGACGCGGAGGCTTCTAGGCCCACTCACAATGCAGCAAAGACACAGCTTTCTGCGGGTGAGGGGAAACTCTGGAAACGACAACTCCCAACGACAACCAACTCCCAAGACAAAGACTCAGCAACCACAAGACATCCCATCCTGCAACGCAACCACGAAAAGTGGAAGATACATGCAAAAGAGACATGGCGATGACAACCTCAAGGCTAAAATCACAGCGCACGGCGGCGGCACCGACATGCAACCTCGCTTGGGAATGACGTTTCAGTCCAAAAGACATGCAGGCAAGACACTCTTTGCCAGTGATATCAAAATGGAGGAGGATGAGGTGTTGCGGCTGTATAATCGGTACATTTTCGGTACACGTCTCTGGCCACGGAGGAAAGGGGTCCCGCGTTGAGCACATTGAGCACATTGGCTCCTCGAACTATCATGTTCCAGCCTTCTCGCCAGCGGAGTGAAGCCGTGGCTTGATGATGCGAGATCTCGTCAACTCGGCGTGCGAATTGGCGTCGATTCGTAGCCTCTTGGCCCTTGTTGCCCAGGGCTGGGCCATGTCGACGTCCCCGAACCTCCATCAAGATATCCACATGTATAGTATGCCACGGACGGGACGAACCCCCGATTCAGGTCTCTGTGCCGCATGTGAGTACGCGGCGTGAAGGGGTTCCCCGGGTGCGGGCTCTGCAACTGCATACCACTGCATAGACTTGCAGTCCGGGACCGCACCAATGGTCAAGGGCCCAAAAGCCATGTGTAGGAACTGAACGACTGGTACCACATGGCAGGGATGCATACCTCTGTGCTGTAGCATCCGAGTCTCACTGCGTAGGTATGTGCTACCTCTACCGAACGGTAGGGTCTGGGAAGAGTTTTGGGAAAAAAGAAACAACAGGCTCAAAGTCTCCCCACGACCATGCAGGCTGGCCCAGAAACGAAAAAAGACCCCCATGTTCGGTAATGCCGTTCATTGTCACCTACATTTCGGCAAGGTAACGGAAGCTACCGCATCTTTGTTCATATATAGCCAGTCCTTCTTGTCTGCAGGGTCTCAGCTTGGTTGCTCTCACAGTCCCGGCTTTGCTACATTCCACATCGATTGTCATACCCGAACGGCTGGAGAGTCCGTGACCCTCCATTGACACTCGGATGACTTCAACAAGCACAGCGGGAGACCGCATCAAGAAGTTCCTCGGCATTCCTGCCGACGAAAAACTCGACGACACAGCATACTACGACGATGGCTCCTTTGTTGAGTCGGAACCAACTACCCGGGACTTCCTCAACGAAATCCGTCCCACCGTCCAGGGCACACTCAACTATCTCAGGGAATTGTTTCCGTTTGTGAACTGGATCTTCCACTACAACTTGACATGGCTGTTGGGTGATTTCATCGCGGGAGTCACGGTTGGCTTCGTCGTGGTGCCGGTCAGTTCGGCGATTTGATGGTGTCCAAACACACTCAGCTTCTGAAGAGACACTGATAAGATATGAGAGTAACAGCAAGGCATGGCTTACGCAAAACTCGCCAATCTTGACCCTGAGTTTGGTCTTTACACTTCTTTTGTCGGTTTTCTGTTATAGTGAGTTTTCCTTAGGCTTTGCATCAGGAACTCTACACGTGGAAGCTAACCCGCGATTGCTGCAGTTGGGCTTTTGCTACGTCTAAAGACATCACAATAGGTGCAGTCGCTGTGATGTATGGCTCTCATGGCACGACTGATATCAAAGCCTTGCTAACGTAACACCACCACAGGTCCACCATTGTTGGAAACATCATCGAAGACGTCCAGAAAGATCATCCTGACTTTGTCGCCGGCGATATTGCACGAACACTGGCGTTCATCTGTGGAGCGGTGCTACTCTTTCTTGGCCTCATCAGATTTGGTTTCATCGTCGAGTTCATCCCCATTGTTGCCATCTCGGCTTTCATGACCGGGTCAGCAATTTCCATTGCCTCAGGACAGGTATCGACACTCATGGGCATTCCCAATATCAACTCCCGCGAGGAAACCTACAAGGTCATCATCAATACGCTAAAGGGGCTTCCCAATACACATCTGGATGCCGCCATGGGCTTGACCGCACTATTTGGGCTCTACTTCATCCGTTGGTTCTGCACCCAAATGGGGAAGAGGTACCCCCGTCAGCAGAGGACTTGGTTCTTCGTCTCCACGCTTCGCATGGTCTTTATTATCATTCTCTACATTCTGGTCAGCTGGCTTGTCAACCGACACGTGAAGGATCCGAAGAAGGCCCATTTCAAGATCCTTGGACATGTCCCAAGTGGTAAGTTTGCACCCCCTTTTCCAACTGTACACACCCCTTTTGAAACCGTAACTTACGAATCTGGTTACGATAGGCTTTCAACACAAGGGAGCTCCCCGTCTCGATAACGAAATGCTCTCTGCCATCAGTGGCGACATTCCGACTACCATTCTCGTTCTCCTGATCGAACACATCGCCATCTCGAAGTCGTTTGGTCGCGTCAACAACTACATCATCAATCCATCCCAGGAACTCGTCGCCATCGGCTTCACCAACCTCCTCGGTCCTTTCCTTGGCGGCTATCCCGCTACCGGGTCTTTCTCCAGAACGGCCATCAAGGCCAAAGCCGGTGTCCGCACGCCTCTCGCCGGCATCTTTACCGCCGTCCTCGTTCTGCTCGCCCTCTATGCTCTGACCTCCGTCTTCTTCTACATCCCCAACAGCGCTCTCGCTGCCATGATCATCCACGCCGTCGGCGACCTGATCACCCCTCCGAGGGAGGTGTACAAATTCTGGCTGACCTCGCCGCTCGAGGTGCTCATCTTCTTCGCCGGAGTGTTCGTCTCCATCTTCACCTCGATCGAGAACGGCATCTACGTGACCGTCGCCGCCTCCGGTGCCGTTCTGCTGTGGCGCATCGCCAAGAGCCCCGGCAAGTTCCTCGGCCAGACCGAGATCTACACGGCACCCCGCGAGCTGGTGCGCGGCGGCAAGGACGCCGGACTCACGCAGAGCCTGCTGCAAAAGTCCGAGCACCACACCGCCTTCTTGTCGCTCGACAGGGACGACCTCTCCAACCCCGAGCTGCAGATCTCGACTCCCTGGCCTGGCATCTTTGTGTACCGCTTCGGTGAGGGCCTGAACTATGTCAACTCGGCGAAACATCTCGACAACTTGACCATCCACGTCTTCAAGCACACTCGCCGGACGGAGTTGAACAAGTTCGAGAAGCTTGGCGTACGCGTGATCTCCCTTCCCCTGTTGCCCTATTTCCTCCCCCCTTCCTCTTCTCCCAAGACATCACAACTAACAACCAAATCTCTCAACAGGACCGACCATGGAACGACCCCGGCCCACGCCGCGGCCAAGCCTTCCTAACCGACGAGCTCGTCGCCCGCCCGACCCTGCGCGCCATCATCCTCGACTTCTCCGCCGTCAACTGCATCGACGTGACCGCCGCCCAAGCGCTGCAAGACCTGCGCAACCAGTTCGACCGCTACGCACACCCGGATAAGGTCGAGTGGCACTTCGCCGGCGTGTCCAACCGGTGGACCAAGCGCGCCCTGGTGGCATCCGGATTCGGTGTCGACTCGTCGAGGACACCGAGGGTGCAGAGGGAGAACTACAAGGGCGATGTTCAGGAGGTGGATCAGGGCCCGTTGATTGCTATTGGGCCTAGTGCTTCGGCGAGTGATATTGAGGCGGTGGCGGTGGGCACAAGTGGTTCGAGCAGTACGGACGAGAAGAGGCCTGAGGGTGAGGGCGGTGCTACTGGTGGTGATGTAGAGAAGGGTAATGCTAATGGGGAGGATATCTCGGCGGTGCCAACTGCGAGCAGTGCTGGCGCTGGTGCGTTGGCGAGGGGCGCTGGAGGGAAGAAGTTGGTGCCAGTGTTTGGGATTAATAGGCCGTTCTTCCACCTTGATGTGGCGACTGCTTTGAAGAGCGCGGTAAGGAATACCGGGGTTGTGAGCGCGGATGAGTAGCGGGCCTACAGTATAGGCGGGCATGGTTGGATAGCCTGATTTTTCCCTTTTCTAATAACGAGATACCTACTACAGTACGTAATGATGAATGACATAAAAGTTCAAGGCACTGGCAGTTTCTCATCAAGTGGGATCAATATCATTGCTGACATTTGCTAGCCTAAATAAGCGCACCTCTGATACCCTAGGGTATGCCGTGAAACCTTTCTTTTGGTTACACCACCTAGTTGAAGCTCACATGGACGTGGTCCCTGAACGAAACCGGTCAGCACACATATCACAACCCAGTAACAAGCTCAGCCATCACTTACCAATGATTCTGGGTAATCGACCCACGATCCTCCATAGTCCTCCAAGAAGTCCAGCTCTTGACCGAGTCGATCGACGGGTTCCAGATCTGGCCCCAAATAACATACTTGAGGTTGAGGGTACTCCGGTTGTTCATAACCCACTGAGCGATCTCGCGACCGGATATGGTAAGAACCTAGGTGGTTGCTAAAGTCAGCTCTGTCCTCGCATACCTACCTTCTCGACTTCCAACCCAGATAGACCACACCACAGCAATCAAACAAAAACAGGGGACAGAAGAGGATGACTTACACCACCAGCATCCGAACACATAAAATCAATAGCCTTGCCCGTACAATGATCAGACGTCGCGCCCGCCTCGCAATCGCGAATGTAGTAGATCTGCCTGACCATTCCCGGGAAAGCCGCAACCGCCTTTTGCGCCCCCGTCACCGACACCTGCTGGCACGACCCCACGGCCGGGTAGGTGGGAGTCGAGTAGCCGCCGAAGCCGGTGGCAGTTGACGAGCAGCACTTCATTTGCGAGGGGCCGGGGCGGTAGCCCGAGGCGGAGGAGCCGGCGCAGTCGGATTGCCAGCGGCAGTTGCCTGTGATGTGCTTTTAGTATCGGTAGAAAGATTGAAAGTGTGGAAACTATTTTGTGGGCATAGGGACATACCGCTTGTATAAGCCGTGCAAGACGATTTGGTGCAACACTTGATGTCAGCGGCGTCGGCGGGGCAGGCGCCGGAGATGGAAGTGCCGCCGGCGGAGGAGCAATCGACGGAGCTGATGCAGACGCCTACGGTAGGAAGAAAAGGTTGGAATTAAGAGACACCCGGAAGAGGGCAAAGTTGGGGTTGCTTGCCTGCTGCGCCTCCGGAGCCAATGCAGGGCTCGTTGACGGCGGCCATGGCCACTGAGGCGGCGAGGAGGGAGAGGAGGGATTGAGTCCGCATCGTGAAGGATGGTTCTGGTGGTTTTTAAGGTGTATGGGGACAACACTTCGATGGAAAGTTCAACCTATCGAAGGTCGATCTTTTCAACCTTTTATACTTCCCCGTGTCTTCTTTTGAGTTTTGGGTCTAGATCCATTACGTCCAAGACCCGCCTCCTCCCCCAAATCCCGTTCTTGGCTTGCAGTAGTTTCCAAGGGTGATCGACGCGGTTTATTGGTTTCATAACACCTTGACCGGGAGGTCATGAAGGTGTTATCCTTGTTGGGGACAGACCCCACGATGTGATGTTTAGTTTCGACATGGTCGATCTGTGGCTGAAAGTGTTCGACCTGCCTATTGAGGATGGCATACCCGTCTTCCAAGTCCGCCATGAACAGCGGGCGTCTAGACGTCTGTGAATGCTAAGGTCGGTATCCGATAGCTTCAACTGAATGGTGGTATCTGAGCTTCCTGGCACGTGGCGGAGTGACGTCTCGGCGCGGCATATCTATCGTCAACATATCAAGATCGACTTCCTCAAAACGCGGGGTGCGGGACTGGCAAAAGTTGGGGACATTGATATTGCAGGAGCGATACATGAGATCTCACAAAGTGTTTCTGAAGCTAGCTCGCTCTAGGTAAGAGAAAGCCGGGTTCTTCGCTGCTATCAAGCCACTAGAGGAAGGGACAACCGTGAGGTACAAAGACCCCGATCACCCAAAGAGTCTGGGGATTTCCCAAGATGTCGATACCGGCATTGTTTGGATTTGTGTATGTGAATGGTAACTGACATATAAGCTCACACAAAGCTGCTTGTATGCCATCATTAAAGAGATTCGTTTGCCTTGGAAGCGCTGGATGTTGCTCGATCTTCGAACTATACAATCGTTAATGACAAAGGCTGCATCACTCATGGCAGCAAGCAAAGGACATGGTCAGAGACAACTGGACACCTAGATGGTTATACCCACATTGGTGAGAGGCATTGAAATAATGACGGAGATTCGACGAAATGTTCAACAACACAAAACACCAGAATACGTTTTGTTCTGGCACGCCCGACGACGAATAGTTGTCCGCAGTGGATACTGGACAGTCAGTGTACAAGTGATTAGACCAGGAAACAAGCGAAAGCTCTTTATTCCCAATGGTATCTAGTTAAGTGAAAGAGGTAGTTAGTCGTGGCAGTCGTGCATCTCTTGGTTGTTGTTTCTTTCGCCCTCTCCCGGTGGGGTTTTCCCCTTCTTTCCCCCTCCTCCTTGTAGGCCTTTGTAATTCTATTTCCATGTCACTGATATCAGTAAAGGTTCTCAAGATCTTTGGTGTATTAACAAGCAGCAATTGACCGGCAAGCAAATCGTTGAAAGGCTCGGGGACAAGGAGGTGATGTTGTTGAGAAGGACAAGCGGCAAACAACTGCAACAACAACAAACCTTTTCCATCTTCAACGCTTGACTTCCACATGCTAAACGTAAAAGGGTCGCAAAAGAGGTTGGAGATATGTATGCCGCTTGTCCCGGGCGGCGGACGATGCGTTGCGGCATTGGACATCACCTACTTCTGAGCAACTGCCACCGACACGTGCAGCGAATATGCCATGACACTGTTTTCTTGGGAAGTGGAACCATCTTTTCCCGTCAATTCCCATGCAGTTTTCGGACAGTCTGATATTTAAGTAGTCTTTTGTTCCGGTCCTCAAGCTGGTCCTCCATGAGTCCCATACTCCCATCGTCGGAGGGCCACAATGGGAGTTGCATGAACCATTTGTTCATGACATTGTTCCCAGCCTCCCATGCATTGCTGCATGTACTTCCAGCAAAACCGCCCAAATGCGCATCACGGGATTATGTTCGACAACGCAAACAGGGCTATAAATATTCCAGTACATTGTTCCTCTTCCGTCCACTTTTCCTCTTCTTCCTCCTCATCCTCCTCCCTACTTCCGATCGTTTTTTTCGCAACAACACTTTCTCTTCTCTGCGACAACCACGCCCTTGACCTCGCCACGATGCCGGTCATCAACGGCGTCATTATCTGCAACGGCACCAATCCTCCTAGGAGGAGGAAAGGTGACCCGCTTCCCAAGAGATTGACCCCCCTGGCCCCAGAGTTCGTCCCCAAGAACCTGGAATCCACTCCTCCGAGTTCCGGAGAGACCGCCTTCGCCGTCCCGCATCATCCCCCCCATCTGGGCCCCTGTCCCTATCAAGTACAAGGGCGTCAGGAGCCCTACCAGCCCCAGGGATTTCAAGGGGTCTACCAAGGGCACCATCGCCAGGCCTCCGTGGCCTCCTATCAAGGAGGCTATGTGGCCTATCAGCCACCTGCCGCCGCCTACGGCTACGAGCATCACATGAGCTTTGGTCGTAAAATTACCCGGGAGGTGATGGCGATGTTGAACGGTCCATCTCCGCCGAGGTCCTCGACATACAGGTATCAAGCGCCTGTCTACCCGACTATCGCGGGCTGGCAAACAAGTTGAGTTGAATCCCCTCTATCAACGACCACTGAGAAGTCAGTGCATCAAGCTCGTTTTTTCAACCTGCTAACCAACGTCGTGCATTTCCAGGCATCTGGACGCGATTTCCGTTTTGAGAAGTGAAACCACCATTGAGTAGAGGTACCCACGGCCAGAGGGAGTAAGTCCGACCCGCGATAACCAGGCTCATTCCTTCACATGTCCGACGTGATCTGGTTCTGACACAACATCATAGCTCGCAGAAGGATGGGTCAGACCAGACGGCCGGGGAACACATATGGGGAGGAGGAAGGGGTGAGGCGAAGGGCACAACAGGACCATCCGTCGTCACCCCGTCCATTCTTTACGATTGAATTTGCATCATATTTCTCGCTGATCACCATCAAGCGACAAGCGGCATCAAGCGCATTGCTTAGGTTCCCAAGCAGCAAGCGATAAATATTTTGTCTTGATAAAGAAGATATTCAACTGTCGCAACCAGAATCATCTTTTTGTTCTTTTTTTCGAGTGGACACCTTTGACGTGATGATATGCTGCATAATCTGGGTAGAGGTACATATGCAACACTCCCCTCCTTTTTTTTGCTCGGAATTCCGAATTAGGTGAAATCTAGGCAATGCGGCGCCTCGCGCGCGTATGTTTCTTGGCTACATTTCCTGTTCTTCTTTACCTCTACACGAGTGCGTTTAAGCAAGGGACTAGGCAGTGACCACTAGAACTAGGTCATGAACGTTGCGGACTATACCAAAGAAACTCCCGGAATCCGCAAACCACTCTGCGCAGAAGAACACGAAAAAGGGTTAATGTACAGGTATGTATACTGTATAGTGGTGCATGCCACAGAAACATGAATGGAGCATCAGGAAGTGCATGCGTCGGGGTGTACATATGCAGTGGAGGCGGGCACAAAGTCAATCTCAAGCGGGTTTAGCTCAGTTGGGAGAGCGTCAGACTGAAGTCCACTTCACTCAATAATCTGAAGGTCGTGTGTTCGATCCACACAAACCGCATCTTCTTTTGCAATTTTTTTTCTTCGTTCTGGACCCATATGAAGTGGGCCTAAGGGCGGCGGCGATTCAGGGGGAAAGTAAACAATGGTAAATTTTGCACGTGTCGCTTTCTGCGTGGCTTGTACAAATAAGCAAGGAACAGCCACATGCGCCAACCGCAGGAAATGCAAGTACCTTTTTTTTTTTTTTTTTCTTTTTTTTTTTTACATACAGTGAGTGCATTTTCTTCCAGGAAGACACATAATGTTGTGAACGGTCCAGAACCTTCAGAAGTAAAGTAGATAGATAGCTTATGTACATGAATGGCAAATGAATGAATGATGATAATATGTCCAAGAGAATGATTGAAGATGTCGTTGAAAGAACGTGAAGAAGTACCAAAATCGAAAGGAGTGGACGGGTCCCTAAGCAGCGCAAGAAGCGAGCTCACCCAAAGAAAATGTGCGCATGAAAAGAACAATATGATGAGTAAGTAGCCCACAAGGACTGGCAAAGGAGTGTAAGAATCCATTCTCCTCCTACCGTCACCTAATGCAGCTCAGTAAGAGACGTAATGAGCGACATAACCAACCTCCATCATCGACCCATACCCATCCTGAGTGTTACCGTTCGGGTAACCGGGCTGTAGATATCATGTATGTCGTCAGCATCAACGCAACAGTTTGGGTAATAAAGAACCAGAACTAGGTACTCACCCAATTCCCACCAACAGCCACATTCAAAATAAAGAACAACGGCTTGTTGCTAATCTTGTCAAACGCCGTCCAGTCATTGAGCGACTGTCCCGAAACCTCATGGAACTTGACCCCGTCCATGTACCAGGTAATCTTGGAAGTATACCAGTCGCCCGACGTGCGATCCCACTCGATCTTCCACGTATGCCAGTCCTGGTTCGGGATCACGGTACTAGCCCCCTTACCCGTCGGCTCATTGCAAGGCCCGCCGGGATTGGTTCCGCAGTGGAGGGTTCCGTAACCCCTCAAGTCGCCGTTGACGGTCTCAAGGATGTCGAGCTCGCCGCAGGCGGGCCAGCTACCGCCTGTCCGCAGCTCTTGGCCTAGCAGCCAGAAGGCCGGCCAGATCCCGGCCTTGGTGTTGGTCGGGTTGCTGCCGAAGCGGATGTCGGCCTGGGCGACGGTCTTCTTGCCGGCTTGGGGCGTGAAGGTGTAGGTGGACTCGATGCGGCCGGAGATCCAGTCGCCATTGCCGTTCTGCTGGCGCCAGGGGACGATCTGGAGGGTGTAGCCGCCGCTGACCTGGACGGTTCTGGTGGAGGAGGAGTATGTCTCGAGCTCGTTGTTGACGTTGAGCTTGCCGTTGATGATGTTCCACCGACCCGTGTTGGGCAAGGTTGCAGAGTTGCCTTCAAACTGGTCGTACCAGACCAGGTTGTAACCCTGGAGTGTGGGAGGGTACCAGGCTGAGACCAGCGTGGGGAGGAAGGGGAGGAGGAAGATGGATGAATCGAAACGCATTGTAACTATACTGTGTTTGTGGTGAAAAGGAACGCGTGAAGTGAAACAGGAAGCAATATAGACAAGTAGGACAAGATGCTGTCAAAGTATGTACAGACAAGGTTGAAGGAGTGTCGGGAAGCTTCTGCTCTGATGAAGGTAGGGATTGGGCCTTGAGAAGGGGGACTTATGTTGCAGTTAAATATCCATCTCCAACACCCCATAACTGTCTGGTCTTGGAGAAAACGGCCGCACTGCGGCGGCATAGTACTCAGAGTAGGATCAGCAGATGATAACGAGGACTGCTGAGTATGAGAGGTGTGCCATCAGGGACATATCACTTGAACGGTTTTCAAGCCTTTCTTGGTGCTTGACCCGAAGGTCTGGACGAGATTGCTGGCATGGATAGGACTTCGTCGGCGACATCCGATTTTGGCGGAAATCACAGTGTATCGACATAGCGGATAGGTCCAGAATGGTGCCGGGAGGAACAAAAGATCCTTTGATGAACCATTGAGTTCATGTAAGTTGCCGTTAGAGGGCTATGTGATTATACATGGATCACCGGCAGCCTAGATCTTCGTCACCATGTGGCCACCCTGATTATTGAGGGCCTACCTCCAATAGCAGTCAGTTATCGTGCAAAAGCTCTATGATTCTGGGCTTTAGGAGTCTGGCTGAATTGTTTTGGAGTTGTAGATAGTTAAGGTCCAAGCAGAAGTTGATGACGAGCAAACATCGTCCCGCTGTCTCTATTGGGCCACTTAGACGACGTCGTTAGATGAAAGGTCCCAGGGACGATGCTGCTACCGTTACAGTACCAAACCCCATGGGGATTGGCGTCTGCCGTGCTTTGCCTAGGCGTTGTTCCTGCGTTAGTCGAGGGGCCTGTGGCGTTGCATAGACAGGGGAGATATTGAGCGCAGGGACACTACCCCGGTCCTGCGGATTTTGGCGCCCTCTTCACGCGGAGTTATCATTCTTCAGTGAGTGCATAACTTGGGTGGTATCGATGTCAGAGGGATTGCATGGTGCCAGGCAAGTAACCCATGATGAGGAGTAATACCGCCGAGTATGCTGCCCACGGGTCTCGGTTGCGGCGATGTTGTCGAGCAGAAAAGGCAAGTGCTTAGGCACGACGGGCTTTGTGTGACGTTGTATACTCGGGGCTGTCTTCCACTTTGACACATTTGTCTATAAGATTTTCCCATCTTACCCATTGCCTCTGGGTTTCAGGGCCGTGAGTGATGAGATCTCGGGGCCGCCATGTCTGAGATTTTTCCTCCAATGCTTGCGTCAGATGCATGATATTGATCGTTGACCTGGAGTATTGACGGGGATCTTGAGCGTCTGCCTAGTTTGCAAATCCTTGCCGAGGGGTGTTGACCAAGGCCTTGGGTCTCGAATGCAGTTGAGAATCGCGGAGGTTTGAGCAGTAGATGGTAACTCGATCCTACATATGTCGGGCATCCCAGCCTTCTTAGACGAAGGCCTTGATGACGTCCCACTTTTTCTACCCCATCATTCCCCCCCCCCAAGGCCTTGGGTCTCGAATGCAGTTGAGAATCGCGGAGGTTTGGGGTAGCATTCTCATTGGCTGGATGATTTCCAAGTTGAGATTGCCAGGGGCACATGCACCGGTTTCCGTGCAAAGGAAAAGGAGGAGGGATACGACCCTATTCTCCAATATCAGCCACGCGTTCTCATCTTGTGGTTGTTTCTTAACTGCAAGCACTTGCATTCGATGAAGTCGAAACAACCCGTTGAGTTTTGGCAACCGTCTTCTGATTCCAAGCGCTTTCGAGTGTAGGTAAGATCCAGACTCATTGGCAAGGCGTCAGGTAGTTATTGTTTCACATATGGCCCGCAGTGTCGCCAGTGTCCGGCTCAGTCAACCTACTGTTCGACGGAATAGGAAGCTGTGGTGATGAGCGAAGGATGGTAAAAAGATATGTGATGCATATGACTTCGGCACCTGGGAGAAAAAGGCCGTTCATGTCCGCCGTAGAGGGCGTGGATCATGAAGGAGGTAAGGCGAACCGACCGTCGGTGTTCAAGATCCGGCGAGTGTCCCGGATCAGCGGCGCCCATCCCTTCCGCCTGACTGATGCAGGTAGTGATGAAAACCCAAAGTTATGCTCATTGACAGGAGGGGGTGTGATCATTCGAAATCCCGATGGCCTTGGCTGATCATTGTTCAGGTCACTGGAACTGTGGTGATTTCCTTACCCGGATTGGTCTCATTTAAGAAGACGAGAGCTCTCCTTCCTTCAACGCAGGTTGACGATGAGCTGGGTCCCATCTTGGTGAGCTGATATTCGAATACAAGTAACAGAAATTGGACGATGGGGCAAGAGGGAGTCGAAGACAGACAAGCAACAACGCAGGTAAAGAAAGCAGGGCGAAGGATGGGGAATTGGCTTAAGTGGATGCTTTCCAGGCAGAAGAGTCGAGGAGATGGAACGCCTAGCCTGGACGGGGAGAAATACAGCATTTTGGAGTATGGCCGGCCATGACTCTAATGTGCTTCATCCTTGGACGAGGTGAGTCGATAGGCGAGAAAGGCCTTCTGAGTGAAGTTTGCAGACCCAACGTTGAAGAGGCACGGTCATCACGCCAGCTATTGAAAGCCAAAGATATATGAGCGATTGTAGTGAGCAAAAGAGGAAGGAGTCATGCCTGTTGGTGATGTGGTTTGAACAAAAGGCAAAACTAAAATGGAAACGAAGAAAAAAGGATATGACAACCTCTGAGCAGGAGATCGTCATAGGACGGATAAGCGGTCCGCCCCACTATAATGCTTTGCCGGGTGGAGCACGGAAGCGGCACAGCTCCACCTGCCGGCACCAACCTTACCTCCAGAGGTAGCGGCCTGCTGTGCTGCGCCATGTGAACTTTAAACCGTCAACCTTTCAACAATCGCAGCATCTTCACCGCGCACAACAATCTCGACAACATGTTCCTGTCTTTGACTTTGTTTGTCATTTTACTACATTAAGGTATATACATCAAGGGTATCCTGTCTCATTATGTGTCTTTATACATTCCACGACATGCAACCATCATCATCATCATCATCGTCATCATCAACCCCGCACCGAGACCTCGACCAGGCCCGGCCCATTTAGATCTCCTCACCGCCGCCGCAAGGTCCAGAGTGGGTGTGAAGATGGGCCTCGTTGGCGCGCTTCTTGTTGCGCTTGAGGGTCTGGGCAACATCACCGTCCCACCGGCGCTGCATGAGGTTGATAGCGGGAAGCGACTTGAACGAGCGGGCGTACTTGGCCACGCTGTTGGCGATGGCCTTGGTGTTGAGCAGGAAGGCGTCCCAGGCAATGTTGTCGATGGTGTCACCGGCCTGATGGTAGTTGACATCGTACGAGATGCCAGCGGTGCCACCGACGGCGGCAGCCTCCGCCTCGGTCTTGATGCCCTCGGCACCGGTGAAGATGCCACCGGAGGGGATGCCGTTCTCGATGAAGGCGGCGTAGTCGGAGCGACCGCTGAACTCGGAGGGGACTGAGGCGACCTTGTTCTTGGAGAAGAACTGCTCAAAGTCCTTCTCGATGACGTCGGAACCCTGGGGCCCGGTCAGGTTGAAGGCGCTGCCGTCACCGTCATAGATGCCGTAGACGTAGTTGGGGCTGGCAATCTGGTTTTTTTTTTTTTGACCGTTAGCATCGTTATTTAGCTGACATCTCAAAAGGGGAACATACCATATCGAAGTTGAGGTAAGCACGGATCTTGGCGAGCTCAGTCTCGGAACCGTTGAGGGACTTGACATAGTACTCGGACCCGAGCAGCCCAAACTCTTCAGCGGACCAGAAGCCGAAGCGGACAGCGTTCTTGACCTGGAAGTTGGTGAGGGCCTTGGCGACAGTCAAGATACCAATGATACCAGAACCATCATCGTTGATACCGGGGCCGGCGGCAACGGAGTCGGAGTGGCCACCAACGACGAGGACGTTGTTGTGGTCACCGCCCTTGGTCTCGGCAATGACGTTGAAGCTGACACGGGGCTCAGTGATAGCGTCGACCTTGAACTCGGCGTTGATCTCCTCACCAGCCTTGATGGAGGCAATCAGAGCCTCGCCATCCTCCTTGCTGAGACCGACAACGGGCGCATAGTCCTTGAAGGCCTCGCCGAGGGTGCCGGACAGAGAGCCGGCAACGTTGTTGTAGATGACCAAGCCGACGGCACCAGCCTCCTTGGCGCTCAGGGCCTTCTGGCCAAAGGTGCAGGTGCCACGGGAGACGAGAACGATGTTGCCGGAAGCCTCAGCAGGATACTCGGCGGCCGAGCAGCCAAGGCCCTCGGCATAGACGATAGGACCAGTGGCAGAGCCAGCAGGGGTGTAGGTCATGATCTGGACATCGAGAGCGTTGCCGTTGACGCTCAAGGAGCCGGTACCGGCCGAGTAGGTCTCGGTAAAGGGTTGCTTGTAGACGTCATAGTAGCCGGTGTCCTTGAGGGTGTTGTAGAGGAAGTCGACGGTGGCGTTGTGACCGGTGCTGCCAAAGACACGGGTGCCGCTGTTGGCATCGGCAATGTCCTGGAGCTTCTGAGCACCGGCGCGGATGTCCTTCTTGGTGATCAGGTGCTGCAGGGCGTCGGAGCAGACATAGGGCTTCCTGGTAGGACCACCTTGGCTGGTAGCAGCCAGGGCGGGAACCGCCAGGGCGAGGGTTGCGAGGGAGGCAGCGACAGTTCTCATTTTGGCGGGTTCAACACCTATGTTTTTTTGAGCCGAGAGAGGGTTGCAAAAGACAGAGAGGAGGACTGGTAGAGATGTAAGACAGGAACGTGGGAATCACCGTCAAGATATAGGAAACCAAAACCACCAGCTATCGAGCTCCCATCATGTCGACCCCTGCCTGTTGTTGCTCTGCACCGCGACTCAGTTCACACGACAGCGCATTCCAATCCCATGTCATAACTCACAATCACCACCTTCTCCGTTACCTATCGACCATCACGTCAACGAGGCCTTGATAATCGACAACACGTGGGACAAGGCTCCCGAAGTGGCAGTTGATGCAACGCTTCCACTAGTCTTCCCCAGTTTCGCTGGGGTTTGCCAGCCTTGGCGGGCTTTAGCCTGTGGTGCAGGGGTTCCTCTGGGCTAGCCAAGAAAAGCCAAGCGTGATATCGCGGGAGCTGCCTCTTTTAGCATGGCGTTTGTTGTCGGCAGCCCACGGGCCATTGCCGAATGTCGTGCTCTGCTAAATCCAGAATGGCAGGTCCTGGACGGCCTGGACTTGGCTACGAGGATTCGGCATTCCATCTTGGGATCTTGGGATTCTGGGATTCTCTCTTGCGGCCTTGCGGGGTGGAGCTGGGATTTCATTTTCGATCTGGACTGGTCTATTACATTATACATCTATCGACTTCACGAAAACCTGTTCAACGACGACATCATCATTCGGGTCGGAATCTAGACAACCGAACCAAGAAGCTGCTGGCCAGTGTTGGATCCGGAGAGATATCGAGCAAGCACGCACGCACGAACAACGTAGGATGTCAATTTTGACAGCATGCGTGCCTCGAGAGCGTGCGTGCCTTACATACCCGACCCTCCACGACAAGTTACGCCTTGCATTTTATCTCTCCGAGGTTGGAAGCTGACCAGAGTCAAGACAAGAAGATAAAGAGAGGTGATGCCAAAATCTCACACTTTAGTGTACACAATGCGCGCCCCCAGCGGTGAGTACAGTACATATCATCTCCGCCATCTCGGGCATAGCAACCCAAGTAGCGAACTTACCGAAGTCCGTTGAGCGCTGAGCGTTGGTGTCTAATTTCGATTTCGATAGCATGGAAGTCTGGGAAGGGATTAGCCCAGTTGAGCCTGCTGAGGTAGTAGACCTAGCTTTCTGTATCATCACACCCAAGACACCAAGAAAACCACCCCGAACACGAACTGAACCAACATGATATCGGACGGTGCATATAGGTAAGGTAGGTAGGCCAAGGCCACCATCGCAATATTGGGCTGAGGTGTCACTCATATGACCGTGTCTTTGAGCTATCTATCACCTTCCATATCGTGGGGGGGGGTTGCATGCTGAGAGAAAAGTAACGGGAATCCTGGCGGCGGAAACATTGGACATCGGGCACTCAGGGATTTCATCTTGGATTGATGGTTGTTGGCATCCTGCGCCGCCGACAAGCTTTATACTTGCAGCAAAATAGAAGAATGAGTGGAATAACCGACTGGGAGACTCAATGTGAATGGCATCAGCATATAATCCTTATACTCAGATTGAGGATCTTATCGAAATGCAGGCGTTCAGGGGCAGGTACCCCGCAGAAACATTGCAGCTGCGTCCAGAGGAGAGGCCCAGACATCGGGCAACCAAGAACAGAACCTCTCAAGTCAACAAGGTTGGTGCCGTCAACGTTGTCGAGCCGAGGTGCCTCAGATACTTGGTATCCGAAGTATCCTCCCCATCATCTTTACACTTGTAAAGAGAGTAAGAATTATCCAATTTTTGTCTACCGTCTTTACACTTTTAAAGAAAGTAAAAGAATGATCCAATCTGCGTCTACCTAGTCAAAATCGTTTCCAAGCATGAGTCTGGCTCCCTATGGTGAGAATCTAAACAAATACACGACTCTATCGAATGACTTCTACATGCTGATGATGCAGTGGGCATAAATCTATGCAGCCCATCAACCCCATTTGAACCAACCCACGGGTGTTTATTTCGCTTTACAGTCTCTTGAAGACACACACAAGCCAAAACCACATAAACGCCTAGCCTGCTTGATCTTCTTGCTCCCCTTCGGAATTTTGGGTCCGCCAGTGCGAAATGATACCGCCATGCCGTGATAATGTAATGTTTTACACCGAAAAATAGAACGCGCTGCTCCCAAATCCCCCCCTCAATCGTCGTAGCTTAGTAACCTGGCCACAGCAGAATGCCCAACTCACCCTTCCCAGGAACGTACAATACTGATACAGCCAATGAAGCCAGATACATGGCAGAAACCACAAACAGGTCAGTGACCTTGGTCATAAAGAGGATCTACTTCTTTTCCGAATTGCTGTCGATCTCCGACTTTTCGCTAGGCTTCTCGTCGGAAGCCGCGGTCTTGGCCTTCTCAGCGTCACGTCCTTGATGGTACTTATCCATCTTTTCGGAGAGGTAACGTATCGTGCGCTTGAAACCGGCCGTAAGAGGGCCCTTCAAAGACTGCATGGTGGCTGGCCAGCTGATGGTCTGCTTGATGACCTTCCGGACCACTTTGCGAAGCTCCGCAGGGTCGTCGCTGGCAATGCGCTGTTCAAAGCCTCCACCCTGGCGACGCTTGAACGACACGGCGTCCTCATTTTGACTTTCCTCCATCATCTTGTTGAACTCGAGCTGGGGGATCGCAAACTTCTTCTGGTACTCAAAGTAGAGCTTCGACCGGAAAGCCTTGGGCAACCGGCGAACCATGTTGCCGCGCTTGACAGGGTCCATATCTTGCACGAGATTGAGGCTCTTGTCGTTCCAGATCCAATCCCGTTCGGTGGCACCGGCATCATTGTACTCCACGTTGGGCAGTGTCTCGATCAGGGGGAGATACAGACGTCGGAAGTTGGTCATGTTGTTGCCGACAATGTTCTTCACCTTGCTCGGGTTCTCAGTGGGAAGAGACATGCGAGGGTCGCCAAGATAGCTGATACCAGCGATAGTAGCAAAGAGCTCGTCTTCGGTGAACTTGGGTGGCAGCAACAACAGGGCTGTCCGAAGAGCAGACAAGAGGTTGATCTGGTTTGCCAACCGAATCTTGGGATCGTCACGGAGAATCTTGACAGGCTTGTGCAGTCGTCCAGCAAGATAAAGGGTGTCCCACTGGGTGAGATCCCGCTCTAGCGTATCCAGTTGTACAACACCGTACTTGATCAAGATGCCATTGACAATGACGTAGGGGTTGAAGTATACTCCAGCACCTATTTTGTCCTGAACGTATGAAACCGCACCCGAACCCAGACTCGCCAATGCTGAGTAGTGGTCACGGTGCTGCTTCATGTTGAGGGAATGCCAATGTTGCGTATGGGTGACGCCAAAGATGAAGTCGATCATCTTGGGGGTTCCATCCTGGGCTCTTTTGACGGCCTCGGGCGCCTTGGGGTGAATCTTGCGGAGCTCTTCGTCGGTAGGCACCCTGCCGCTGGATTTGGACTGCGGGAAAACGCCAGAGCCGTAGGCGAACGCGTAGCGAATTGGGGCCCGGAATTCCCAAGGTATCTGCTTAAGAACCTCCCTGAACTCGGGATCGAAGGGAATAAACTGGTTGACACCGAAATTCGCGTGGGGTAGTTGCTTGAAAGAGTCGATGTTCATGTTCACGTTCGTCTCCCAGTCATTCGTGTCGTTGAGAGTCGTGGTGCTGGAGGACGCAGAAGAGCTCGAGGCCTCGTCTAGCACGGCCTGCTTGGACTTTGTGTCCTTGGATGCCGTATCCGCGGCGGCGTTTGCGGCGTCTTCATGCTCGACACCCTCCTTGGTGTCCTTCGCCTGATCGGCCGCATCGTTGTTGTCGCGTGCCGTGGCATATCTGCGCCGTAATAGGGGAGTTTGTCTCTGGTAGTATAGCGAGCTTGGGGGCAAGGCAGGTTGGGAGCGGAAAGGGCTGGCGCGAGCGAGCAAGGATGACGCGCGCGGGTTGAGCCGACCCTGGAGAAGCTTTGGTTAGGTCCGTGGGTATGACATGGGAACACATGGGAAGAAGCTGGGGCCAGAGCTGGAGACATACCGTGAGGATTTGGGGGAGGACCCCTCTGCTAGCCATTGCGACAGACGGGAAGCTTTATGTATACTCTAGACGGGAACAGTGGTGGTGGAATGCGAATGGAACTTTGTAAAGAGGCAGCGGAAGCTGCAGGTGGTCACCTTTGGGTATAATCCATAAGCTGGGAGAAGTGGAAGGGTCGGGTCGGGCTGGAGCACTCAGTCGAGGCGGACGTGGTGGGATGAAGTTGTGGTGATGGGATTGGAGGATGGAAGGTCGGAAATGGCCGCTGGATCAAAGGAAAGAAGCTCGTCGCAGCTCCAGCTTCCAGGTCTTCTACCGGCATTCCACTCTTCCACAGGGTTGCTTTTCCACTCCATCGGTGGGCTCTTTGCTGTCATCTGGTGGGGCATCGCGATGTGATAGCCGTGGGCTAACTGCAAACGGCTTAGGTAGACACACAGACCATCTGGGGGGACTTGCATTTCTGACGTTTTCTCCCTGTCTTGGTTTTGAGCCCCACACTCATCTTGTCATTGAACTTGAGCTCATCTCTTCCATTTCATGTTGCCATTGATAACCCTACCTGTAAGCTTTGATTTGGGAGTCTTGGTTTATCTCATCTGGGCTTCATGGCCATGAGATTGAATGTCGAAAGAGCTATGGGGAGATAGGAGCTTTTCAAAGCACGATTGCCCAGTCTGGCGTTGGCATGAAAACTGCCATAGTACGCTAGGTACCTCTCTCTACTTTTGGAGGGTAAATGTCACTTCTTGAGCCTCATTATCCAGGGCACTTGTACCACGACACTTGCTCCTGGCAATCAAGTATAGCACCGCCTAGTTATTGGGTACTCCTGAGGAGCATCCCCTTCAGAGCCAGATTCTAGCTTGGAGCGTGATGGCATCATACTGGTATCTAGCAAGCTATACGTAGAGCTTCATCTATATACAGAATCTGAATCAAGGGTGATCGATCTCGGACATCTGAAGATCTGGTTCACCAACTGGCCACAACTGGACCACCATCAAAGCCAAGCTTTCCAGTCAAGCTTTCTGAGTGACGCTGGTCCATGCCCTCTTCAGACATTCTCCCCCTTGTAACTGCCAGGTTCTCCAGACTGACGTCGCGAACCGTTTCCCGTTTCCCCTGGTCCTAGCTGGCCTGTCCGTTCCACCTGCAGTTGAAGTCTCCAGTCTTGGCAGACAAGTTTCCGTGTTGGGTCCACTGAAACAATTGTTAAGCCAACCAACAGAGCCACTGCACCACTGCTCCCAAACAGCCTCAACGCCGCGACCGCGATCTCAAAGTAAACACAACATCAACACCACCAGTCACTTTGTCGCATGTCTTCGGTCCATACGCCGACTGCGCTCCTCACGCCATGCCGCCGTCGTCAATCCCTCAACCCGGTCAGGGCAAGCCGCCCTCGCGACGCGGTTCTGTAAGCGGTCCCTCAGGCCCGCAGGGACAGTTTCGCGCCAGCATTGGAGCCAGCGCCATCCCACGCCCACAGACAGCGCTCAGAGGATGTAGGGTACGTTTCTGCCTGTCGCAAATTAAAGAAGATTATCGATCCAAGATGAAGTCTTAACCACTATTCCGATGCGTAGCCCGGAAGTTTTCGCGCTTCGATTAGTGCTCAGCCGTCTTTCGCCTCCAACCTTACCGGCGATTCGCACATTCCTCTATCGATTGCCAACTTGAGCCGTTCGAGTTCGCGGCAAGGTCGCACGCCGACCGGGCCATCACCGCCGCCCGCTAACGATGAAACCGCGGCCAGCTCTACGAACCCGACGCGCGATAGCAGCAAGGAGAACATTGCGCCCCCAGATGCAGCAGAGTACGAAGCCCAGAGGCGGCGAATCGAAGAGCTGAAGGCCGAGGTTGGCACTCTCAGCTACCAGATCAGCAACTATGAACAGGAAAAGGAGTTGGCGCGACTGCAGATGGAGAACGAGATGCGCGATATCCGAAGACGCGCTGAGGAGGATTTCAAAGCAAAACAAGCCGCCGACGCCGAAAAGTCCAAGGCGTTGCGACACGCCGAGTCGCTGCAAGCCGAATTGGACGCCCTACGAGCCGAGAAGGGGACCCAAAAACGAGAACTCGATGCGAAAACAAGGGAAGCGCAGGAAGAGGCAAGGCTTCTTCAAGAACAGGTTGAGGAGTTAAAGGCCGGCAAGGAGGAAGCGGCACGACTAGCGGAGCGAGAAACTACCGAATTGAAGGCCAAGGTTGCTCTGCTGGAGAGAACCGCCCAAGAAGCGGAGGAGGAGAACAGAACACGAAACGATACCCTTGAAAAAGTCAATGCCCAACTGGTAGAGCGAGACGACACAATAGGCAAACTCGAAGCCGAGGTTCTTCGACTCAAAGCCCACACAGGCGATGCCGAGACAGTGTCCGTGATTCGCAGGGAGCTCTCGGACCAAGTCAATCACATTCGGATGCTCGAGTCTAAGAATCGCGAGCAGATAACAGAGCTTAAACACTTGCGACAGATTCACAAGGCCGTGGAGGTGGTAGAGGAGGAGAAGCGAACACTACAGAGGAAGTTGGAAGCGGCGCAAACTCTGGAGACCGAGCTGGCCGAGGAACGAAGGCAACGTCTCAGGTTGGAAGATGAAAGGAGATCATGGACCGCGTACTTGGAGTCCAATTCAGAGGGCCCCGTCGAGTTCGACTCACCAGAAGCCGTGGCGAGGGCATTGGTAGAGGAGCGTTTCCGCTCTGCCTCGCTCACCGAGCGGTTGGGTGCCCTCCAACCAGAGATTGCCGACCGTGATAACATCATCAAGTCACTGGAGGATGAGAAAGCCAGACTCCTCGACCAAATCGAGAAACTCAGGGCGACCAGCGGTCCTACTGCTAACGACAAGGCCCGCGCCCGTCTCGACAGGCAACGCGCACTCGCCGTCAAGGAAGTCGAATACCTGCGCGCCCAACTAAAGACCTTCGACATGGAAGACGTGACCATGCAACCAGAGCAGCTCGACGAGCAAAAGGCCAAGCGGATCCAAGAGCTCGAGGACCTCGTCGACAAGTACAAAGAAGAGGTTAACACCCTCCACGCCGACCTGACCTCGGTCGAGTCCGCGACCACCAGCCCCGTCCAACCCGTCCTGGCGGGCACCAAACGGCCCCGCGAGACCGACGAAGCCGAGTCCGAACAACTCGGTCAGCTGGCCCGCAAGAACCGCAAACTCCAATCCGAGTTCTCCGACCTGCAAACCGCCCACCGCATCCTCCAAAAGGAGCACGAAGTAACCACCTCCCAGCTCGCCGCCGCCAAGGACCAACTCAAAACCCGCATCCTCTCGCTGCGCGACAACCCGACCTCCGAATACGAAAAGATCAAAACCGACACCCTCAAAGCCCTCAAGCTCGAGAACGCCGAACTACTCTCCCACCTCGAGCGGCAACCCACCTTATTCGCCACCGTGCCCGCCACGCAAATCGCCGCGCTCAAGCGCGAGATATCCGCCGCGCAGGCCGAGACGGCCTCGGCCCAAAAACGCGCCGACCGCTTAAAGCAGGTGTGGGCAGCCAAGTCCGCCGAATTCAAAGAAGCCGTTTTCAGCACGCTGGGATGGACCGTTACATTCATCCCCGGCGGGAAAATGCGGGTGGAAAGTGTTTACTACCCTTCCAAGACCGAGGAGCATGAGAATAGTATTGTTTTTGATGGCGAGAAGGGCACGATGAAGGTCGGCGGAGGACCGAGGAGCGAGTTTGCCAACAGGATTGCGGATAATATTCGGTTTTGGGTGAGGGAGAGGGGGGAGGTGCCGTGCTTTTTGGCGGCGTTGACGTTGGAGTTTTATGAGGAGATGAATCAGAATGGGGCCGCGAAGCAGTTGCAGGCGGCTGGGGGAGGGCCGGAAAGTGGGAGTGGGAGTGGGACGCCTATGGAGGGTGTTGTGACTGGGACTGGGACTGGAACTGCTTAGTAGGTCATCAGCTTGTTCGGTCTGATACCCGGACCTGGGGTAGACGTTGTTTTGGGAAGCATCAATATGGCGTTGGCTGTGAATATGTTTTGCTTTGCTGCTTTGCTTTATAAGCTGGTCAGTGCCCCTTTCAAAAAAAGAAAGTGACAGACTTTAACGAACCGGATGCTTAAGTTCCCCTCTATCAGGCAGGCCCTTTGGCCTTTATATCACGCAGAATGGAATAAGACCAACATGGTACTACACATACATACATACATACATACATAATTTGACTTTATAAAACGTGCGGAAAATGGGACAGCCGCAAGGGATGACTACCTACCCACGCTAATGACAAAAAAAGCTGGCGGTTTTGGGTGGTGGTGAGGTGACCCGGACGAAATGCTTCCAACCTTTTTTGTCATCAGCGTGCCACCTTACTTTTACTTTGTTGCTACCCGACATATCAACAACGCTCGAATTTCGATTCCAAGCACAGTACCTAATCACAGGACGTCGTAACGAGTTTGAGAACGATATTCATAAGTTACGAGATAGTAAATACCGAGTGATAAACATTCTCAACCAAAGGTAAATATGTACGTATCAACCACCAGTTAGTTAGTTACCATATGTGTCGATTTCTGCTTTATTTTCTGTATCGTCCTACTGTAGTGACCCAGCTTTTTTTCCTAAGCACCTCCATATAAGTAAAAAGTGGAACCCTCAGAGAGAGTTCCATGTTATTGCTGGCCCTTGCTGGTTACATACAGTATGTAACTCTATGGGGTCTGGCGATCGGAAAGAGAAGTCTGGTTTCTAAATAAAGAAATGATGAAGTGGAATGTCGATTAGCGAGATTACCCGAGATCTCCATCGGCCTAATAAGCTCAAGCCCCTTTACATGCCCCCCCTTATCCGTATGTTTCTCGCTATCAACCTTTGTTTTTTCTTCTTCTTTCTATTTCTAAACGGTTAACCGCTCATTGCCACGATGACGGTGGGCATATAGGTCTGTCATAAAATATGTAAAATCACTTGCTTTCCAAAATGGTTTGAGAACCAGACAACTATATGCAAAACGCCCACAGTATCTGATCTGAGTAAACATGAGTGGTATTTTTCGGAGCATGATGGTATGGTAGTAACTATAACAAAAAGAAAAGATAAATGGGTAAAGCAGGTTACTAATGAAGTGCCATGCAAAAAAAAATGTGACAGGCCAACACCGTACCATAGGACGTTAGTTCAAAACCAACCATCAAAGACAAAATAAAAAGTAAGATGATATCCATTACATGGAGATAGATTGCGGACAAGACAGATCGAGTAGCCATATTTTCCTCACATGGGCTAAACAGATAACCGCAGTCTCATTCCCCCAATTTTCTCCTCCTGTTACCCTCCCCAATTAAATTTCACTTGGCCTCATACTTCCCGCCGCTCAACTTCATTGACAGAGGAACATTAGCCCACGTCCTGCCATCCTTGCCCAGCGGGGGCGAAATCGGTCCCTTGTCATCCGCAAATGGATCCTCTTCCTCCGACTGTTCTTCCGCCTTTTCCTTGCCCTTGCCTTCCACGAGCCTAGATACCGAAATGCCGCTACCCACTTCTGCTGCCGCAGGAGCCGTGTATTCCCACCTAACCTCAATGTGCCCGGGCTGTGGTTCGGCGTTTTGCTCACCGATTACCCGGCAGATGATCTTGGCCCAGTCTTCCGTCAACGTCAACTCGGGGATTCGCCAGTACACGAGATGCTTGTCCTTCAGGTGGGTGCCGGTAGGCTTGGTCTGGACACCACTTGCGCGGGCACCCTCGTAGGTCGCGACGAAGGTCACGTTGTGCAGGACGATTGGGCGCTGCAACGTCACAGAGGGGTTGAGACGGTACTGGAGCAAAAGACCGAGCTTATCGCCTTGGGGTTTCCAAACGGGGTTGATGGTGATGGGGCAGTGAGAAGATACGAGGGCGGTATCGTTCTCGGCATGGACTCGGTAAGTGAAAGCGGGCGTGGATACAGTTGTGAGGTGCGATGTGTTGATGGTGAACTCATCGGGGGACGTAGCGTCGCTGGTAACAAAGAGACGATTGGGTCCAATAGACTCAAGGCGAGCGAAGTGGTTGAGACGTATTACTTGATTATCTGCGGTTACTGTTAGCCAGATTGGACAACTTTGATCACATGTTACATGATACTTACCGGTATGGAGGCTATGCGGGTCGGACTTGTATGAGAGAGCAATTTCACCAGTAACCTTCACGGACTTTGCCTCTCCATCCTGGAAAAGAGCGGAGACGGTTTCGATAATGGACGAGTGCAGGCCTGGTCCAAAATCAGATCCGTGAATGTCCTGGTGCTTCAGGTGCGCAATACCACCGTAAGCTGAGCCCCCTCCATATGACGTTCCAGACCGGATAGACTGATTGTCGGAAGCATGCGAGGCACGGCTTGGCTCTGAGCCCAGAGTTGTCGGTGGTGTAGGCCTAATGATGGATGAAGCCGTAGCTGGCAGGGATGGCGATGAGGGGAAAGGACTCTCGGAGTGCTCCGGTACTGGCATAGCAGGCATAGCAGGCATGTACATGGTATGACGCACATCTCTTCTGCCTCTAACAGTTCCTGCCTTGCGATTCGGCAATCCCATTGCCGTGAGTGTATGGGCGACGTTCGACAGGGCCGCTTGCTTCGCATCCTGGTCCTCTTCCGCAATGGGTTCGTTCTGAATGTTGAGCTTGAACAAGTGATCAGGCTCTTCAGCGGCCGCCTCCCTTTGGGCCTCGGCGATAGGGTCGTGGGAATACTGAGGAATGGTATAGCCCTCGGCATCCTTTGCAGGCTCCTCTTGAGATTGAGACTGCTGGGTAGAGGCGGGAGGTACCGAGGGAGCGGCATCGAAAATATCCTCGGCTGTACCATTGGTGAGGTTGTTAGAAGTCGGTCGTGGCTGGCTAGACTCGGCCTGTCTATCCCCAGAGTTGAATCCATTTGTACCGCCGTTATGCAAGAAATCGTTTATGTTGTCCCTCTTCACCCGCTCATCTGAGGTGGACGGTCTTTCGGCCAAGGACGACAACCGGTTATGCTGGGACTCTGCCAGATTGTGAGAAGACCCCCTTGGAGATAATGTCTGGCCATGACTACTTCCAAGGCCGCGAGTGAAGGAGCCAAGGCCCTTGGGGGGACCCAACTGTCCGAATCCCCCATGAATGCTCTGCCTTCGGCGTCCCAGCATTGTACCAATACGGCTACGCAGCTTCGAATCTGGTTTAACTGGTTAGTAGGCCGATAGCGCATCGCCCTGAAAAGCGCCGCACATACCTGACTGATCTCTAAAGCCGGAGTGTTGACTCATGCCGTCATCGTCGCGCAGTGGAGTGCCCGGAGGGGGTCCCACGGCCGGGCTTCCTCCACCAGCAGAGCTCGATTGTCTAGCCGTGGTCGTCCTCCTTTCAAACTTGGGCCTTCCAGCCGTAACCTTGTTGACGAAGTTGTGGATTTCCAGGCCAGTGTTAACCTCGAGCATCGTGTTCAACACCTCCTCCGCTGCCGCCTGGGTCCGAGTGGCTTGGTCGACTTCGTGGGTCTGGAACTGAGTCAAGACATCGCGTAGGTGGTTGGTTCTTTGCTCATCCAGAGCCTGGAGGGTTTCGAAGATAAACGGCGCCTGTGATTCCCATTGTTGCGAGGCAGCTTCCAGTCTCGATGCGGCCGCATCCACCTTTTGGCTATTAGCCTTTCCACCCTTCTTTGAGAGCTTTTCGGACTTTTCGGCAGCATCGTCGAGCTCTTTTGCCATCATTTGGAGGTTGGAGTTGATGGTGTTGATGTTCTGCATCTCCTTGCGGGACTGGAAGCTGCGAAGGGGTTGCTCGACATCAACATCGATGCGCTGGGCGTATAGCTGGTGGGAAGCCGCAATTCCATCGGTCGACGAGAGGATCTTGTCCCATGGTGCCTGAAAGACTCTATTCAATGGACATTGTCAGTACATTGTCAGTGGAGTCGCAATCGGGATCGGGATCGGGATTGAGAGGGAAGGAGAGAGAGAGCGGGAGTGGTGCGACGAACCCTAGCTCGGATGCGGCATTGGGAACCTTGAAGAGAAGCAACTTGCGCAAACCGGCAACATATTGCTCCTCGACCTTCCTGCGTTCCTGTGGTTTGTTTCTTCAGTTTCGTTGTCCTGTCGGGGGCGGTTTGTTCTCGGGCGGTCGGCGCATTCGTACCTGAAGCCAGTCCGCAATTTCCTGGTTGACCTTTGAGATCCGCTTGACCCGGTCCGAGAATATTTGTACCGCTTGGTTCGGCTGGAGGCTGGCCTGGAGCAGGTCAATGGTTAGAATTGCTTTGGGAGGAGAGGAACTCTAGGCTTACCAGCATCGCCGGGTACTCTGCTCTCGAGAGGTCGTCCATGGTGGGCGTGGTCATGCGATGAGCTGCGCAATTGAAGGACTCGCTCGGACTGGTGAGGGGAGGGGGGCAACGGCACAGATCAAATCAACAGCAAGAACGACATTAAGATAAGACGCCGGCGAGGGCGCAAAAGGGGAGGGAATTAATGATTTGTACAGGTAAAGGTAAGGTAAGAAAATGGAAAGGAGATGTGTAGAGAGCCGGCCTGGAACTAAAAGAAAATGGAAGCCGGGTCTGTTTAATCCAATTTGCGCGAGATGTAATGTTAAACTTGAGTTGGAGTTCTAGCGGGCTCGGCGGGTAGGTTGGTCGGTTAGGTAAGGCGTCAGGGTGCGGGTTCGAGGTACTGTAAGGTACCGACGCTTACATGGAACACACGGCCATGGCAGCAAGCACATGGATTCCTCTTGAGTTCCGAGGCCATCCTGTAATCCGTGCAACCAGCGCCAATTCGTACTTGGGTAATTACCACTGTCCAGGCATTCCAAGCCCTGGCACCGGCGGCAGGTGCTGTGGAACAGCTTTGCTGATGTCACGGGATGGAGCCTGTGCAGTTGTGGAGATTTTTCTCATTTGATGGAGCCTCGATGGAGTGTGCACGTTTCCCTACCAGCTGTCGGCAAGTGCTTGGTTGGTCAAGCGGGCCAATCAACATGAGACGTTACAGCCCAATTCGAGGAGCTCCGGGCCGGACCACCAGGTTGAGAAGTGGTACGTAAGGTACCTTTTCCTAACCCCTGAGTCCCAATGCCTTCGTATAGCCTGCGTAATCGGGCGTACCTCAACCAAATGCTGACTTTCACCTGACGCTAAGTCCAACCCCAGATTCGAGATTCGACGATCTTTCGAATCTTCGATTGGTGCCTGTCGCAAGGTCCATCATCTTTTCCCACTCTGTGTCGTAGATGGTGCGTTGAAGGGTGACTGGAAAGTAATTCAACATGTCCCATTCTCCCGAGAGTCCAGAGAACACCTGGAAGCAAAGCCTGACGGCCGCAGAAAGATATGACAGTATCCAGAAACTGTAAGTCGCTCCTTGAACACCACCTCAGACATATGCTTATCAATTAACAAGACAGCAGTTTGTGGCCGCGGCAGGGCTGAGTGAAAACGCCTTTGCCCTGGAGAAAAACGCCTATGAATCTGCACGCACCAGGGAGGAGTACGATGCATTTTGCAACCAGTCCCCTTTTGGATCTTCCGAGGCAGATCAGGCCGCAATGGCTGTTGCTAACGAACAGAGTGAAGATGAGAACGCCGGAGTGGATCATGGAGTTACCATCGGTGACTATCACAACTGCCACTACATCACCAGCGGTGTGACTGCCGATGTCTACAGAGCCGGAGACAGGGCGCTCAAGGTCATCGTCGAGACCAGAAACATTGAGCCTCATAACCCCACACGAGAGGCAAAGCTCCTGGGCCTCTTGAGCAAGCCTTGCATCCCTCTGCTCGACACCTTTCGGGACCACGAACAGCGTCTGGTCTTAGTCTTTCCATACATGCCGCTGACTCTTGAGAGCCTTCGGGAGCGGGTGCCTCTCACAGACAGCCACATCCGCATCATCTTCAAGGATGTCTTTACTGCCTTGGCCTCTTTACATAGCCAGGGAATCATTCACCGCGATGTCAAGCCTTCCGCTATTCTCCTTGAATCCCCCACAGGGCCAGCCTACCTTTCCGACTTTGGCGCCTCCTGGCATCCGACTCTCTCAGCAGCCACGGAGCCCGCAGACAACAAGATCTTGGATATTGGTACCGGCCCCTACCGAGCCCCTGAAGTCTTGTTTGGGAATCACTCCTATGGGCCTCCTGTCGACATGTGGGGGGCAGGCGTGATGCTTGCCGAGTGCTGCAGAGAAGGGGCGAACAAGCAGCTATTCGAGTCACGAGCTGTGCATGAGGACGGGAACCAACTGGGCCTCATTCTCAGCATATTCAAGACGATTGGGTCGCCGACGAGGGAGAGCTGGCCCGAGGCTGTGAACTTCAGGACGCCGCCCTTTGACATCTACCGCGAGTTCGAGTGTCGCTCATGGGATGAAATACTTCCGGATGTGACTGAGGAGTGGAGGGAACTGATAAGTGCCCTTGTGAAGTATGATAGTGGAAGAGCTACGGCTGAGCAGGTATGTGACCTATTCCTGGTATAAACCGACTCGGTGCTAACGGGTTCAAATGGATTAGGCACTACAATACCGTTGTATGAATCAAGTGTGATTCAGGGCGCAACGTTGTCTAAAGAAAATAATAAAAGTACACATCATAACACCACATATTTAGTATCTCTTCCCATGATACGTAAGTCGCTGTCACTGAAAAGGATACGCATCTAGGAGCCTACGCCTTTTCGTAGAAGTAAGTTTATAGGTTCACGTTTTGCATTACGATCTGGCCTGGCCCCCAACTCCACTGCAGCCTACACCTCTCTGCCCAGTTGGGCTAGTTCTTACCTTTGAGCCTTAACGCCACAAAGATGCCTGATCAACCAACCCAGAATGTCATTTCTTCCATCGGCATATAATCAAAAGTCTTTCCTCCATCTGTAAACTTACTTGACGTTTTCATCATCAAAAGTGTTATCGCAGGTCTCACCATGCCCCCGAAGAAGAACGAGTACATCCGAACCATTCCCAACGACTACACCAAATACTCACCCCTAGGCCGTGACGAAATCCGGCTTCTGAGAATCAGCAAACTGCCACACGCACACCCTACCTCACCGGCAACCTCGACTAATAACACCGACGACCACACAAGCCTTCCACCCGTGCAATGTGAACTCTACCGTGTCAAACTCTCCGCTTCCCAGCGCCCGCCCTTCGCCGCCCTCTCCTACTGCTGGGGTGACCTCCGGCACACGCTTCCCATAACCGTCATATTCCGCGACGCTGAGCTTCTTCAGGAGCCCGCTGAGCACGACGAGGACCCATTAGGATGGAAGAAGCTATCAGCTACCTCCCCAGCCCCAGTGGTAGTAGAAAATTTCAACGTCACCACAAACCTCCACGCCGCTCTGCACGCCTTCCGCGCCGACCCCTCCTCCTTTGAGGAGCTGCAGTTTCTCTGGACCGACATGCTCTGCATCAACCAAGACGATCTCGCCGAGCGGTCCTATCAAGTTTCGCTGATGAGGGACATATATGATGGGTCGAGGGTGGTGGAGGTTTGGTTGGGCGGCACCGGCATGCAGGGCACTCAGGGCACTCAGGCCGAGGGACAAGGACAACCTGGTCTTGATCTAGGATCTAGTGGTCTTCTGCGCCCGGAAGACGATTTGTTGACGGATGAGTTGATGGTCTTGGTAGATGATGCTGGGAAAGCGATGAAGGAGGCGGAGGAGTGGAGAGAGAGGAATTGGGAGGGGGTGATGATGCGGTTGACGCCTGAGAGGTTTGTGGACAGGCTGGGGAGGGATGAGGTGACGAGGTTTGCGTGGGTGGTGTTGATGCGGTCGGGCATGGTTCCGGTTGGGGAAACGGAGGTTGATGGGACAAGGAGGGAGGAGTTATTCGAGAGTCTGGCAGGTAAAAGGTCGGAGTTCTTTGACACGATCATTTTCCTACTTCGGTATGCACTTGGTGTTAACGACTCCGGAGTGGATGATGAAGACACTAGGTTATGGGTGACGGGCAATAAGTTCTACCAGCGGGTGATGCGACTCAATCAACTTGACTGGTTCAGGCGGATCTGGGTCATCCAGGAGGTTGTCTACAGCAAGCAGACATTTGTTCGACATGCGAACACGCGTATCAGGTGGAACTCGATGCTCAACCTGGTGAGAATCAAGGGAAGATTGATGGCGGCGCGGTGGAGTAAGAAGATGGTCAAGGATATGAAATACGACGACGACGAGCTACATGTCCCGCGCCTGTGGAAAGAGGGTCTGAAGCCGTCGGCCCAGTTGGACTGGAACCCGACGCCGGGGTACGCGATGCTGCCTTTGCTTTCTCCGTTGGAAGTAATTTTCCAGACCAGCGCGTTTATCGCTACGGACCCGAGAGATCGTTTGTTTGGTATCTTGTCACTTATTCCATCCACCTCTGGGGCCAAACCATATCTGCCGGACTACAAAAAGTCTATTGCCCAGGCTTCTTGCGACTTCACCAAGTGGCATGTGGAAGTGCTAGGGTCGTGGGATGTCTTGTCTCTGTGTCGTCCTAGGGGCCAACGTTCTTTCTTCAGAGACTCAACGCTCCCGAGCTGGGCGATTGACTTTAAGAAGGACTACGGAGAGATTCCACCTTTTGCACTACAAAAGTACGCGGATGGATCGCCCATGTTCTCCGCTGGCATATGTCCGCAGTCTTCAAGTTGGTCTCCTCGACGTTCCTATCGCGTCATCAGAAATGGTACCGGTCGCACGCAAGAGGAAGAAGACAGCAACAAGATCACGCTACCAGGCTGCATCGTTGCCCGCATAACCAAAGTCTGGTCCCTCAACTCGAGTTCAATCTCCTGGCTTCCTCACCCCAGTCTGTGGGCTAAAGACGAGTCACCACCGCCACCGCCGCCTAAGCCAGAACCAAAGAAGCCTACCGCTTCCACTTCCCAAGGAGAAGCCCCAGCAGTCAAAACCCTCCTTGACGCCCTCCGCTCTCTCAAAGCAGGCCTCAACCCCACACCCACATCCGCCTCTCCCTCCTCCACCGCTGTGGGAAACCAAGATCAAGACCAAGACCGCGAAGTCGACCCCCTCCGCTGGAAATCCGCCATGGCTTCTCACGCCGCCCGCATCCTCCGCGAGCTATGGAAGACGGTCTTCTACCCTTGCTCAGGGCTTCAAGCCTACCATCACCGTCTTCATTCCCATCATCACTCCCATCCCTACTCCCTAGACGACACCAACACCACCCTCCTCACCACCCCCCTCTCAAACCTTCAAACGCTCCTCACCGGCGTCGCCCTCTCCTCCCGCCTCTCTGTGGCGGACGTAGCCCTTCTTTTCCGGGATAGTCTCCTCAATAGCCCCCTCAATAGCCCCCTCAATAGCCCCCTCAATAGCCCCCTCAATAGCCCCCTCAATAGCCCCCATAGCCTTAATGCTAAAGAAGATAACTTCCCCTTCTTCATCCAAGCAGAAATCAAACGACTAGCACGAGAAGCAAAGACACCGGTTGAGTCATCCTTTGATCCGTTCATCTACCAAGCTTTATCGTGGGGAGTATTCGGCACAGATGATGGGAGGATTGGAGTCGGGCATGCGTTCGCTAGGGAAGGTGATGGGGTATTGGTTGTGGAGGGGGGGAGGACGGGGTATGTTGTCAGGCCCAGGTCGGCCTTGGATTCAAAGGAGGAGGATGGTGGTAAGGGGAAAGGGCTGGTGAAGAAGGAGTGGCAGCTTGTTGGGGAGTGTTTGTTGGCTGGAAGGATGTACGGGGAGGAATCGCTGGTTGGGGATCCGTTATGTGATGATTTGCTTGAGGCGGATGTTGTGGGGAGGGCTAGGGGTAGGTATCGCGAGGAAGGGCGTAAGGGGAGAGGAGGGTGGAAGTATAGGAGTTCGTTTTGGATGGAGCCTGTTAGTTTGGTTTGAGAACCGAGGAAAGGTAATCAGACTGATGTCCTCTTGTCTTTGCCTCAATATCTAGCCACTCGAGCTGAGGAGGTTGCGGTTGCATTGCGCCCGTAGCGGCCCATCGCCAACCCCGACCCTAACCGCGACCCAAGTTTGCCGAATTCTGTCTCCAACCCGGGGCTCGACTGTGGGCTGGCGGCGACGGCGGCGACGGCGGCTAAACGTACCAGAAAGCAATATGGACGAGTTTGCAAAGGAGAATCATTTCCTCTGGAAATTGAACGGCAATTATCACATACTAATAATGGGAATAAGCAACAAGAGAGCACAAGAAGAAAAGATACAGGAACGTCGAGCAGACGGCATCTTCATCTCAGAAGACGGGATGTCATAAAGTGCACTAAAACCCGGGGGCGTCCGTGCGTGTGACGGGCGCTCTGCCGCTGTGGGCTACTGCGGGCTACGGGCTCACCCCTGCAGGCGGCGTCCACAATTCGACGCAGGTACAATACAGAACCGGTGGAAAGTGACGTTCATCCAAACAAATTGCGGGTGAAGCGGGGATGTTGGACGTTTATGGGGGTTGTGGTTGACCATTCAAAAGTTGTGAAACACGCAACTTGGCTCCCTTTCATCTTCCAGTCGTTTGTTTACCCTACAAATCTTAAAGGACAACCGTCGGGTTTTCCATCGCGGAAACGGCCTCCTCGTGAGTACCGAAAAAGACAAGCACACAGGAGAATATTGTCCGCTGATTGCAACCTCGGAAATGAAGACGAACAGAAAAGGAAATCGCGAATGTGGTGAAGTGACGTCTTGCGATTGACCTGGAATCAATAAACTAGCCCGTTGTAGGGCAGGCAACAGGCCGAGCAGGGGCAATGCCAAGTTTGTTTACAGGACAGTATGGGGTAACAGGGCTGCTAGTTCTGGATGGTTGCTGGGTTCGGTGCTGGGCGTCGATCAACCGCCGTCTGGTCACCCGATTCACCTCACCTGTGGCAGCTCTGGATTTTGAAGTCTTGGATAATTTTGCATCATACGGGATAGACCATGGAGAGGTATCAGAGGAGCATTGGATGTTGTTGTCGTCTGTTCCATCTTTTCTCTTTTAGATCGCGCCTTCTCCCTTCCCTCGCACAATATTCTTGCTGCAGGATCATCGCGCATCGTCCATTCCAATCTTCAGGTACCGCTTCCTCTCAACCAATCACGAGCTACCCCAGGCACAGGCTGTTTCACCTTCACCCATCAACGACAGCCAACGGTTCAGCAACCCAAACAAAATCATTCATTTCACCCGACACGAGCAGCACAGATATATACAGTTCGGAATTCTTGGTCCTCACTTTGGCCTTCTTTTTCAACTTCAATATTTAATATCTAATACAGTACCTGAAGCATCCGACCGAGCTCGGAGCCGCCCGTCTCCACCTCGAGGTTGTTTATGTTCTAACCCGCAACCGGCGCTTGACCATCTTGCCACCTACCCGGCATAAGCGCAGAAGATCGTGGAGAGGAAGACGAAGCTTGAAGCCTCGGCAACGACAAGGACAAAGGAGCTTCCAAAACAGGATATCAACTTGTTTAAACCCCTGAAGATGCCCGCCCAAACCAAGCTCGCCCCTCTCAGGCGCGCTGCCTCCACCAGGTTCGAATTTCGCGACGACGACAGCGACAGCGAAGACGTTGACCAACCTCCATCTGGACCTCACCCGGTTACAGGCTTAGGCATAAGCTTGAAAGGTCCTACGCCGCCCCCAGAGGCTGGAGTGTCTGGATAGTAAGTATTTGTTTTTTCATTTCCCCATTCCGCATTTCCATGGCACATTCATTCCCTTGTCCTTCGTGTTTCATGGATCAAGAATTCCATCTACCGGCATTTTGTTGTCTGGTTGTCAACGCTCAGCTGGAAAAGCTGAATCGGTGCCCTTGACACAAGCTGCAGGGCGGATTCCTTCACTATACGCTAGTTGTCTCTAGTGGTGGATTACACGCCTGAGTTGGACAGCTTCCATTAGCCGTTGGCTGCTCGTGTTCGCTGTGCCACGATAGGTTTCCGGTTGACGGGATGCTGCGCGCCTGTCACTCACATGCCACTACCACCCCCCCTCCATCACCATACATCATTCATCTACAACCTTGTCCCACCTTACCTGCTTGAGCGACATCCGTCAGCACCATAAATCAGGCGAGGCGTAGTCAAGAATCCTTCGAGAAGAACGACAGCTCTCCCTGACTTCCTTTTCACAAAGTTGGCGCAATCATCCTCTTCTTCTCTCTTCAACAAACTACTCGATAAGCCAACAAGCGCCCATTCGGTTGGGGGGCTTTGACTGTTACAAGCGCGGTAAACTAACCACTCTCCGGCGACTTATAGCGAGACCGTCCCGGTGCAACCCCCGCCTAGAAACCCGCGACGTCTCACAGTTCAGCAGAAGCAGACCTTCCGACCCACCTCGTCAGTCTACTCGGGAAACTCTCCCCCTCTTGCGCCCCACGACCCCGAGCAACCTAGCACGCTGGCGTCCCATCACTTTCAACGTTATCGAGGGGGCGAGGAGATCTCGCCCCCCAGCTCGCCAGAGCCAAGCTATACCCAGCCCCATCGGCCTCCCATCCTCCCGCCGGGCGATGTCTCCCCGATTGAGGAGGAATATGAGGAGACGGCGCAAGGAGCTTTCGAACCTCAGCACTATGGGCGAAACCAACATCCATACTACCATGGTCCGGGGCCCCGCTCACCTCCACCGAACCACAATGCCGCGGCCAGTATCAACATGATGCGCCGCGGTCAGCGCAAGCTTTCGGACGCGGCCCTACGCGATGCCCATGCGAACCGTGCACCACCGGCCCAACAACCCCGGAATCCGGGACCGGGTTTCCTCATGGTTGATCCGGTAACTGGTGAACGCCTGGACAGCGCGCATGGCCGTCCGCTGAACAGGCCTCCACCGGGTACTCACTATGCGCCGGGTCCGGGTTTCCTCATGGTTGATCCGGTAACTGGTGAACGCCTGGACAGTGCGCATGGTCGTCCGCTGAACGGGCCTCCGCCGGGTCATCCCTATGGCTCGGGTCCGGGATTTGCTCGGCAGCAGTCGCCACCACCGTTCGCAGGACCACAGCCGAGAATGGCTTCTGTTGGGGATAGGATGATGAGGATGGCGAGCCCGGGACCTCGAGAAAGCGGACCAGACCTGGCAGCAGGGGCTTTCACTGCCAATCGTCCAGGTTGGCGTGGACCAAGTGGTCGAACAGCTATCGTTGATCCCGTTCGTGATAATCCTGAGGTTCCGCCATTGAGGATACCCGATCGCAATGGTAGACGGGTTGTGTCGCAAGCTCCTGGACCTAGTCAAAGACCTGAGTTGTCTCTGGGTATTCCTAGACGGGATCAGATGTCCCCTCCACCTCGTGTTGGCGCACAGATGGGGTATGCGCCACGGGACCCCGGCCAGAGAGTCATGTCCTCGTCTCAGGTTCACCCGCAGTCCGCAACAACACCACGTCCTATGAGAAGTCCAGTCTATCCGAACCCACCGCATTCTGCGATCACCCCACGAGGAGACGCGCCGTTCGTGGCAGCCCAGCAGCTCCAACGTGACGGTATGGGTCCTCATTATCCGAGGGCGTTCTCCCCCGTTTCACCCACAAACGCTTCTCCTGTGAACTACAGCCCACAGCCGAATTCGGTCAGGAGGAAGCCAACCCCAACTTACGCAAACCATGAGCCACAGGACTCTGTCTCCTCGATCTACTCACAGCAGCAACCTGAGGTGTCGATGCCAAAGCAGCAGCCTCCTGCCCCCCAACCCGCGGCTGCCAATTCGCTTCCAGCCGACGAGCCCTGGGTGCAACCCCCTTCGCGTTTCAGCATGACAAGCTATGCAACCAGCATATCCACCACCGCCACCCCACGCGAGTCCCTGGACGATTTCCATGACAATTACCACAACCAGTCCCCGGTTCCCAGCATTTCACAGCAATATCGTCCAGAGAGCCCCAAGGACGAAGAACCGGCGCAATCCATCATGAACAGGAGCAGACCCAAGCTCGAAGGCTTCGACTACAACAAGAAAGACCAAGCCCCCATCGTCATCTCCCTCAAAGACCAAATCATCTCCCCCTACGAGACCGTTATCGAGCGTGAATCCCCCGCCGCCCGCGACCGCCGAGTTGCCGCCACCGGCGTCGGTATCGCAAACGGATTCAAACCCGCTCCCAGACGCGTCTCCGCCACCCCCTCCGACATCAACAAATCCCTCCCCCCCGCTCCTCCCGAACTCGAAGTCCTCTCCCTCTACAACGGCGCCGATGGCAAGTCATCCACACCCAAATCACCCAAAGACCTCACCGCATCCGAGCGCGTAGCGCTCTACGACGCCCAAATCCAGGCCCTCGGCAACCGCCGCATCAACATCACCCGCTCCATCAAGCAGATGACGGAGCTGATGCCGACGGACAACATCTTGAACAGCGAGGCGGTCCGCCGCAAGCGCGAGGTCGAAAAACAGAAGGTCGAAGCCCTGAAAACGGAGCTGGCGGAGGTGCAGAGGGAGATGTACGAGATGGGGCTGAAGCTGCATCGGGCGTATAAGAGGCAGGAGAAGGAGGCGAGCTTTGAACCTACTACGCTTTGGGTGAGGAGGGTTACTGGGTGATGGGGGAGGGCGAGGGTTGGTGGGAAAGTTGGTTAACTTCGTTTGGTGAGTTGTGTTTGAACATGTGAAAGGTTCTTTTTTCCTATGTCTTGGGAGGACGGTCCTCTTTTTCTTTCTGTGAGGAGCATGCTACAAGCGAGCGGGCAGTGCCGCGGTGCAGTACAAGTGGAGTTTAGGTATGCGCTGTGGGGTTTTTGTTTCTTTTGCTCTTCTGTTCCCGTCTTTTGCGATACCATATCAGGGAGGGCAAGAAAACAACCACCTTTTGTATTCATTTGTATTTGTATAACTGGCATCTTGGGACAGTAACGGACGGGTATTATTGACAGGCGAGAGAAAATGCAACAGTATTCGGGATCTAAGCAAAACAGACTTCCTGAATTGAGGTACTTAATCAAGGGTGATTATTTCCTTCGCCGGTATAAATCGTTCGCATATCCACCTACCTACAATATCATGCACATAAACAAAAAGCGCACTACTCTCTCACCACCAACAATTGAACGCTATCGATTTGCAAAAAAAAGGCCAAATGAGAGAAAGATGTGAAAACGCCCCCCCCAAAAAAAAACCAAAAAAAAACCCCAAAAAAAAAAAAAAAGACATACAACACCTGGGATTCGCTGGTCGTCACCGACCCAACTACTAGTCAGGCGATTGGTAGCTTATCTATGGGAGAGCGGACGGGATCCCGAGTTTTCTACCATCTATGGTCGTATGTGCTTGAACTGTGGGCAAGTGATGTTTATCAACATCGGATCCGAAAAGCAATGCAATGCGGTGTACGTAAATAGGTGGTTGAAGCGTTTACCTACGCTGTGAGTGTGAGCACGTTCATAGCCCACCCACCACGAAACCAACGTTAAAGGTTCCATGTCAAAGCCAACATTCAGTTTCTCTGCTAACTTAACTTGTAGGTACGCTGACGGGTTTCCATTCTCTCTTCTCTGTCTTTAAGTAGATGGGTAAGTATCTAGGGGAAATGGACCTTGCTTGAATTCCAAGCGTTCTTAGAGCATCTTCGTAAGGATAGGGCAAGGATGATAGATAGAATGTGATGTCGTAACCCATAAGCTACAGCTTTTTTCGGCTTTCCTCAACGGCTAATGCCCTGACTATCTGTCTGTCTACTTCTCCTTCTCTCTTCGAAGCCCTTACGTCCCTTAACTGCCTCAATAAAAACCGTCTTCAATGTGCGTATGTGCCTGTGTATGGGCAAATAATATCCCGCTTGGAGTTGGGGCAAATAATATCCCGCTTGGAGTTGGGGCAAATAATATCCCACATGGCGCAAAAAAAACCCTTATTTTCTCTCTGCTTCACTCAGTCACTCCTGTAAAATTCCCTTTCCCGCCATGCGATGATAAAGATAACGATGTGATATGATATGCAGTAGAACAAAAAGAAAAAAAGCACACCGAAACCGGACCGTGAGTTGGGATACTGATTTGATGATGGTTGGATGATGTTAACGAGGCAGACGAAAAGGGGCTTGGTATAGCATATGAGTATGTGAGCATCGAAAGGGTGAAATAACGCAATCCTTTTCTTTTCCTTTCACGCCACACAGTGATGATGATGGAAGAACAATGAACACCTTTTCCATCAAACCATGCCGACCATTTTGACCATTGGAATCGCCCATCCCACAACTACGCTCCGCCATGGTTTGCCCTTTAATTCGGCCACCTTGATCTGCGTCTCCGACCTGATCGTTGCACCCGTGTTTGCGAATGCCAAATAGAGTACCCAGAACTCTCCTATGCGTTTCTCGTTGCCAACGTCTGCCTGACATGCGCTGGTAGTGTCGACGGGATATCCTCGTCATCTGAAGAGTCGGAATCTTCGTCATCGTCGTCGTTATGGTTATTGGTATTATTGTTTTGCACTGGTCGCGAGGTCGGTCCACTTCCCGGTTGTTCATCGACATCCATTTCGTCGTTGGCGCTCCCTGAGCCACTTTCATCTTCATCCTCTTCCTCTGACTGGCCGCTGCTATTGGCAGTCTGATAACCCGAGGCCGGTGGCGGGCGGGTAGGGTCGTGAGTCTCAGCCGTGGCCGCGACACCAGCTAGACCACCGCCGATCTCGGATACAGATAGCGTCGATTTAGTAGGCGTCTGGTAAGTTCCGCTTGCGTCCATCCGCCTTCTCTTGGCCTCATGTTCCTCCCAAACGGCATTGGCACGCGGCGCGTTAGCCGCAACCCAACCGCTACCGGCGGGACGAGGGGGAGCCGACCCCGCGGAAGTAGAAGCAGAAGCAGAAGCAGGTGCTTGCTGGGCCGCCGCTTTTTGCTTCTTCTTGAGGTTCTCGAGACCCATTCTCTCCTCCTCTGCTTGAATCTCTGCCTTGGTCCGGCGTTGGCGAAGGCGGACTCCGTACTTCTTCCTAATCATCGATTGCTTGGTACCGAAGCTGTTTCGGAGTCCATCGATCTTGATGCGCCGCTCGTTCTCGTCGGGTATCGCGTATGCCTCGGCAAATCTCGGCGCAAATTTCTTTTCCGCTTCCTTGAGGTCCGCGTCCATCGCCGCTAGTTGTTCCTGGGTCAAGTGGCCATAAGGGTCGGCTGGGTTAGGGGTTTTAGAGCCAGCGGGAGTCTCAGCAGAGGGTGTCGAGCCAGCCGAGGTCAGGTCAATCGTCCTAGTTACCGCTGGTGTTGCCTGTGCTTGAGAAGAGGGGAGAATGGACGAAGGGACCGGCTGGGGTAGCGGAGCGGCGCGAGGAGGACGACCGGGTCCTCGAGCTGAGGCTGGCCCAGCATGGAAGCAAGTTTGAGCGCGTTCGTGCGATTGGTGCTCATCACTTCTGGTGAACCCTTCACCGCAATACTGGCATGAAAACTCGAAGCCCTTTACGCTCGCCGGGGGAGGTACAGTGCAGAGTTGGCGCGACGTATGCTGATATGCGTTAGCAACGGGACATGTTGAGCTTCACCTGATAGGATCTTGAGGCACAGATCACTTACATATTCATATGGAGCTTGATGGGTGAAAACCCTGAAGCACCCCATACATTGCAAACGGCCAGGGGGGTAGGTTGACTGGGGTGGAGGAGGAGGCCGCGCAGCCTGCGAGGTAGGCATGACCCTCTCATGCTGCTCTTCCACAATGTCTGCGGGATTGTAACCAAGACGCTCGGCCTTGGCAAGGGCCGTGAGCAAAGGTTTCGCCTCGATCGTTCGGAGTCGTGCATTCAAGCACTTGTCCAGAAAGGCTTCGCTTGCCTTGTTGATGATGACATCAGCGACATCGTCAAGATCAGCTGTCGAGAAGTGGCTGATCAACTCGTGCTTGGACTCAAGAACCATCTTTTGCCCGAAGTCTCTAACTGCGCGGCGTGTGATGGATGGTACGGCGTGATGTATTGATGCGTTGAGCTATAAAGATAGGGTCAGGTAAGGGCCTTGAAGGTGAGCTGGTAGTGAGGCTACTGGAGTAGTGGAAGAGTGAAAGAGGAAAGGAGGTCAAGTGGTAGTAGTTTGAGGATATATATCGAAGGCGTAACCCAAAAGTAGGCGGGCTATCTACGCAAGATGGGATGAGATGGAAGACAAATTACGGCAAACATCGATGAGATATTATGATCCTGGTACCTTGGTATATGGTATCTCGCCGCAAGTTCCCCATATATATACACAACCACCTGCGCAAACTCCCACGTTGTAAAGGATGCTGCGTGGTGAGGCAGAGCTCAGAGCATATGATACGGACATAACGTCTGAGATCTACCTCGGCCACTTTTGATGTAGGTGAGATGTAGGTGAGGTAAACCCGATGTGATTGGACGCTTGGTGACTTGGAAATGCAAAGGCAAAGCAGATGAGAGCAGGTGGACTTACAATAAACGCCTGGTGAAACTCGGTGCCCAACATACACTTCTCCCAGTTATCCCGAAATACGCGCCGAACCGCCTCGGGTGTGCTTTGTTGGATCGCATAGGTCAACCGCGTGCAGTCGTCTGCGAATTTCTTGTTGAGGTGGGCGTGAGTTGTTGCTGGCGAAGGGAACCCGGAACTGGGAATCGGCTCAGCCGGTGGTGGCGGCTGGCTCACGGGCCGCGATCTAGGCGGGTCCATAATGATAGGTCTTGAGATCAAGCCGTCGTTACGCGATGAATATCGGGGCTCGTGTGGGTGGTATTGCTGCTGGGAGGAGGGAGGAGGAGGAGGAGGGTGGTGCTGAGGGCCCCCGAGAAGATACGAATGCTGGTAATGTTGCTGAGGATGCGCGCGCGGCGGGGCTTGATGTTGGTATTGAGAGGCTTGAAGGTGATGCTGGTATGACTGTCGTTGAGAAGGTGCAGGCGGCGGCGGGGGTTGGATCGCGGGCACCGGCGCCGGGGCGGGCTGGAGCGGGGGTTGCGTATGGTGAGGTTGAGAATGGAATTGAGATAATGGTCGGTGGTGCGAGCTAGCTTGTACTGGAGGAGCGTGGGCCGAAGGTTGTGGTTGCGCTTGAGCGGGAGGTTGCGATTGGGTTGGCAGTTGCGATGCGGGAGGCTCTTGGTGTTGGCGGCTCGGTTCGTACTTCAATTGCGCCGGCGGCGGCAACTGCGATGATGATGATGATGATGATGATGATGGATGCGCGGGCTGAGCGTGGAGTCTTGCCGGGTGAGCGTGGCCACTGTCACTGTCGTAATGCACCGTTATGGGGTCTCTCCATCGAATGGGATCCCTGAAGTTGGATCGAGCAGAGGCTGTAGTCGTGATCGTCGTGGTCGCAGGGTCGGTCGCAGAGAGAGTCGCGTTCGCAGGAGTCGAGGTTGAGGTCGAGGTCGCGGCAGATTTTGTCGCGTCTGGAATCGGCGACGGAGCGGGTACCTGGGGCGGTCTCTGGGACTGCTGGGGCTGCCCATTCAGTGCAGGCGGGGGCCTGTCAGCGGTCGGAGTGGAGGACCCCGGCACTCGGGTTGTGACGGTCGTTGGCTGCTCGCTAGAGGCCGTAGAGGTATGGAAGCTTCCACCTGGCGCCGGCGTCTCTACGCCACCGGTAGGAGCAGGATCGGGGATTGTCCCGTTATTTGAGTCTTGAGGGATGTGCGCAGGTGCTGCGGCGGCTGTTGGTGATGGCGATGGGATTCTGGGCGCGTCTGGCCGTGGTGGTGTATCTGGAGCTACCGGCGCCGTTGGTCTTGGTGGTGGTTGAGGCTCTTGGTGTGGTGACAACGGTGCAGGTGACTCTGGGAGCTGTTCCTGCAGCCGCCAATGCGGGACGTCTTGGGCTGTTGTCATGGCTCTAGATACTGCAGGTGAGACGACAAAGAAATTGAATTCGACGGCGTCACAGGGGTTCAATGCCTGTTTCTACCGGTTTCTGATTATCCAACAAATAACCAATGGATGGAGGCTTTCCCGAGACCGTAGAATATTCTTTTGCCTACAGGTAGTGTAGCCTGTGTTTCGCAGAGGGAAAATTGTAGAGTCCGAAGAGCTCCACGATGGCAAGCGGGGTTGGACGCGCCCAGGGAGTATGCCCGAGATATACTGACTGCTGAATGGTCCGGCCCGTACTTTCCTAGCCGGCCGTTTGATAAGTTCTTGCCAAAACCCGGGTGTTATAAAGATGTTAGGTACTGATCAATTGCCGCGATATAAATATGGGCATGTTGGAAATTCGCCAATTCTCGTCTCTTTGGTGTCCCGGTGCTGGATGTCAGCTTTTTTCTCTGTTGACTTTTTCGTGTCCCGGAGAAGGACTACGATCATATGGGTTTGATGTTTCAATATTTCAAGGACCCACATGAGCCGCTGCGAGGATTATCATGTACGCACACCCCTGTACGTAGACTTCTATTCCATTTTCAAGTTGATGAAGCACACAGGGCACGGTTTGAACAGGTCAAGATGAAAAAGTAGCGAACATCTAGTCACGGACATTTCTGGCAGCTGGAGGCCATGAGATCGTGCATAAGAACGTGTAATGCGATGCACTGAAATCAAAGCCGTTTCTGGCTGAGCTCTGTGTCAGAGAAGTCGATTAAAGTGGTGACCCACCCGTTATTACATACCGTACAGTAGTACATCAAGGTTAATTACCTTCAGATTACCAAACGGGCTAGTCTTCCGTGACTTATAATTACCGATCCGCAACCATGGACAATCAAGTACTGCGTACGGCTTATGTGAGTTAATGTAGAAGCTCATTTGAAGCAAATGATATCTGGTTAGTTATGATACTCTGGCAGAAGTTTCAAAGTTTCACTCTCTCATCCGTTCTCGGAACATGTGATGTGCTTCCTTAGCCTGTTCCAGCCTATGTCCAATGCAGTGTCTAGGCCTGAACAGCCTCTCGTCGTATTCTCAGATGATATTTTTCTGTGAGGATTCGTTTGTCTCCATAGCCGCCGAATGTACAGTTCATGCGTTTGTAGATCCGAGTGACTGTCAGATTCGAAATCCTAGATCTGTTTCAGCGCCAGCTAATAGGAAGAAATGTAATTTACGGTATTGGTTCTGTTAGTGTCGAGCCACACACCCATTTATAGCTTTTATATTGGACCACGGTCCCTTGTCATTTCTTACTCCGAAGCATAACGTGATAGCATTTACTTTGGTCTTGTTAATATACCAGATGATTGTGCTGTGCGAACTGCGAAGGAGCGTGAATGATCAGTTGTAAGAGAGGTACATCAGGACAGGTAAGGGTATGTTTGACCACATACAAACGCCATTATGCGCTCCTGTGGCCGTTTGTTCTTCGCATTGATGAAATGCCCAAAAGAAGCCGTGGTTGGCACACAACATGTGGAACGAGCAATGAAAAAATACACTCTTGTCTGGAAAAGGGGTTGCTAAAAGGACGAGCATATCGTATGCTGACGCAGATAATATCCTGAGCCGCTAGTCCTTACTCTATTATACATGTGCAGGTGTTATATCGCTTCTTTTATCCGTAAAGCCATTCCCAAGGACTTTAAACCAGGACTGTCCCTCGGACCAGTCAAGTAATGCACATAATCTCGCTTCCAGTGTTGTTAAAAGCCTGTTCAGACAAATAATCATCGATCATGACTATGACTCGGTGTTCATTAGGGTAAGTATTAAACAACAACACACGGCCGAAGCACGATGTATGTAAACGTCGCTGCAAAATTTGAAGCAAGTAACTCTTGAAGGCAATACACCTTTTGTGCGTGCCCTCTCAAATAGGTTCTCCACAAAGGGCCATCAAAAGCCTCTGGTAATCGCCGCTGGTCTCCCCCATCACTCTCTTAGCGAGCTTCTTCTTGTAACGTTGCTCGTACGCGTTCCTGACGTTTCGCATGTTGTCGCGATCCCAGTGGGCCCGGACCAGACGGCTGGTGAGAAGACGGTCTTTGGTGCCCATTCCTGCCATGGCATCCTCGAGCAGCCGGGCCTGCAGCATGTACTTGTCTGTGCCGTGGCGGAGCTGGATAAGAAGGGCGTTCTTCATGTGTCCCGAAAACTCCTGCTGGGGATGTTAGCTCTTGTTCCTAGAAGCCTTTTGGTTGTTGTATCAGCAGTTCGCTAGAGTTAACTCACCTTTTGGATCACGGTATCGAGGTCCCTGGCGTACTTTTGCTTGTATTCGTAGGAAATGGCACGGATCTGGTTGTCATTCCTCAAGCTTAAAATGCTGCATACGCGCATCTCATCTGTGCCAATCTTGCCCTCAGTTGCGTTGTAGATATCATCGACATCGCGGTCAATGTCTGCCTTCATCACTGGAGCCGAATCTTCTGCGCGTGTGGCACCGAGCACAATCATAAAGTGCCGTTCTGTCTTCATGCTCAGTTCACCGCGCACCATGTCCTCCAGGGACCGGCGGAAAATCCGACTAAATTCGGCTTTGATGGCCTTCAAGTCGGCGTTGGAACGGCGGAGTAGGATATCGTTGAGAATGTCTTCGTTGGTGCCTGCCCCGTCCATGGCATTGAACAGCATGTGCACGTCATTGAGAAGAGGACCTCGGGCAAGCATGACGAGCCCTTCCTCAAACCAGCTACTCGTCTCGTTCTTGATATCGGCGACAAGCTCCCGGCGATGGCGGCGTTGAAACGCATCGCGGAGCAGATTGATCTGGAGAGGGTCCTTGTCGGCCAGAACCCGGATTAGCTCCTTTTCATCCGTGCCCCACCCCTTCATGGCTTTCCTTAGCCTATCCGCGTCCGGGTCGGGGTTCCATGGGATGGTCATCGCAGGGCCATATCCGGGAGAAGGTGGTGTCGGCGGGTACTGCACGGCGTAGGGTTGGGGCGGGTACGCTGTGGGTGTGGCCGGTGCGGCTCCATAGGGTTGCTGTCCGTAACCGTGAGGCGGTGGTGCGCCGTAACCAGCCTGCGGAGGCCCGGGCGGGTAATACGAGGCGTTCGGGGGAGGAGCACCATACGGCCCGGGTGGTGGGGAATGAGCCGGAGCACCATAGGGCTGTGGAGGGGGTGCGCCGTACTGCCCCGGCGGCGGCCCGGGCGGTGGTTGTCCATATCCTTGTGGTGGTTGCTGGTAGGCGTTGTATTGAGCATGAGGCGGAGGTGCACCATATGGGGGTTGTTGATGATGCTGCTGAGGAGGAGGCTGTTGGTAATATCCGCCTCCCTGTGGTGGAGGTGGCTCTGCGTGGTCCAAGGTCAGCCGTCAAGACATGTTCATGTAACTGTACTTTTCTTTTCACTTACGGCCATAAGGCGGGTAGCCTGGGTAAGACATTGTGGGCGCGGCTCCCAACACAATGATGGTCGATGTTGCTGTTGGTTACGCGCTGCTTGGCTCGGCTAGAGGTGATGGTGATAAAACGCGGGGGCGGGGTTGGTGTTCAAAAACCGATAGATGGAGAAGTGAAGAAAGCAAACTACAAGATGAGTGGTTGTTTGATAGGGTAAAGCAGAAAGAAATAGTTGAGAGTCGAACTGCTATAAAACCGGGTCTGGCACAGAGGTACTTATCAAGGCGGGTTGAAGTCCGAAGAATTCCACTGGGGCTTGCCATGTGCATGCAAGTGGAAATGTGGAATCGTCATCCTGCCCTACATTACGGCTTTATCCAAGCCATCGGGGCAAAGTTTCTGTCTGCGCCGCGCCGTCCAACTTGGCTGATACAGAGACATTACTACTTGGCGAGCTGCGACCTACCTAAGGTACGAAGCATGGTGCAGGCGCACACTGAACAAGGCATGACAGTACAGTCCAATACTGGTTTGTTTGTTAGCTCGAGACCTCGGGTCAACTTCCCTAGGCGTTTTCATGCTGTGAATATGCTTTTTCCAAAGTAAAATACACCGTATTGAATCTTATTGATGCCTTTCATTTAGTCCTTGTAAGGTTTGGGACAATTCGGAAGAGATCTCGTCCAGTGTACCAGGAGTACCAAGCTAACAAACAAACCAGCACTAGATTGTACGTCAGATGTGGCTGAGCAAGCGGAAGCCTTGACGGGATGAATCAACTGTCTATGGCCATCGCCATCTTGGGCATGAAAGGAAGCATGACCTTGGGATGGCCATCTCGATGAAATACCTGCAAGAGCTGTGGGCGCAAGAGAACCTCAAGCAACAGATACCGGTAGTTGCCGTCGAGGCCTCCAATGTCCTGACAGCTGATTACAAAGATGGGATGAACCACAGGCAAATGTCAGGAAAAGCCTCGTCCAGGTGAATTACGACTGATGGAAGGCGGTGTTCGCACATCGGGCGCCAAGGAAAAATGCCTTGACGGCGACGCTCTCATGTGGCTTGGAAGGAAACGTTAGTCAAGAGCAAAATCGACATGATCGTACCTGCGCTAGGTTTGATGGACGATTGGGATTGTCAGGTGGAAGGCGTCGTAATGAGCCGGCGGTCATTCCTCGAACACCTGTTGGCCGGGAAGTTGAAGATGGTGGGTGATGCAGTGTGGCTTAGCATCTTCCAAGATGTGGCTTACGCAGTGGCAGCGCGGCTAGGTACCTCGAGGGTACGTACCTGCCCCTGGCCAAGGAGTGGATCAACTTTAACCTTCAGCTCGACGGGAGCGCCCGCCGCTTCTCAAACCGTGACCACTCATGAGACCGACTCAACTCAATCCCTTCAACCAACTTGGGGTTCAAGCGAAGCTCGGCGGCGCCAACTGCTGCTACCCATGGAGTTATGAATTGCTTCAACCACCCCATTTTCTTTGTGGAGGACTCGACCAACATGATGTTCCAGCCTCGGGGGCCACAAGCTCGGGATGAGGATGCCACCCTTGTTTGGCAGTCCTCCACGCCAAGAGGTCCAGCCATTCGATTTTCGACCTCAAGCGGGCGCTATACTAGGCTCATTAAGTCTAGGGTATATCGCCAACTGCATCTCTCAAAAAGGCGGCCGTGATCGCTGACCGGGTTTGTTCTTGTTCTTGTTCCACTCAAGTCAATTTCAACGTCTGCTGTCCTTCCCCTCTTTTCACGGGCTTGAAGCTATTCCGCATCGTCGGAACCCGCTGCTCTCACCCACGCCGTCGTCAGCCCTGTGGTTTGATCTCTCTAGATGAGAGCACAGCCGACTCGCACCACAGATCCGTCAAAATGCGCGTCCATCGGGCCCGTCTGCCCACACTCGTGCTTGCTGCCCTCCTTGCGGCCTGTCAAGCTCTGCCGCTCATCGAGCACGACAGCTCTCCTAAGCCCTTGCTGCCGAGAGCAACATACTCGGTAGTCCCGATCAACGGAGGGTCGGGTACGGAACATGGCCCTGGAGGTCCGGTTGTGACCAAGACTGTGGTGCAAACCGCTCACCAACCGACCACTCACTCATCCACTCACTCACCCACAAACTCCCTCACGAGAACGGTTTCGGTGGTGCCTATTCAACCTCAACCCACTCTGACTTTGACCACCACCGTCGTCCACGTCGCACCCACTACAACGACCACGACCACGACCACGGCCGCGGCCACGGCAACTTCAACATCCCCATCTTCCTTATCGTCTTTTGCGGTCACGATATCTTCTCGGACCACATCGGCGACCCCTTCATCAACATCCAAGACATCGAGCCCTACCGTCACGTCGACCACCTCTCCCTCTCACCCAGCATCTTATACATCAAAGTCCGTGTCTAGCTTCAGCGCAAGACCCTCGCCGAGTACCACGTCGACAGAGTCCTCCATCTCGATCATGGTCACGGTACCCACCACCACCGCCTCTATTCCACTTCGAACGACTTTCACTACCAGCACCTCGAGCGTCTCATACGACGACGGCATGTGGCACACGACATATCCACCCTGGAATGGCACGACGACTACCTAATGCATATGCGCCGCTCTTCTCAGCCCGGATCCCGCGCTGACCTGATCGATCTTGGCCGGGCTGGCTCATGTTCTATTCTTCTTTGTCCTCAGATGTCTGCAGGACTCTAATCAGATTGAGTGACCACGAGATGCCCAGTTAGGGCCCGATGAGTCATCAAACTTTCTTTTTTACCCTTATGGACGGAAAGGGAGCGAAGCGTACTACAGCACTCCAACGCCAACCAAGAGCTGGACAGCGTTGCTGGAGGGGGGAACGGAAATTCATTCATCTTCGGTGCTAGTATACCTTAATATCTAATCTTGCAAAACGATACGATGTTGACATCTCCTCCGCCTTGCCTGACCACTGATTTCCTCTAGTGAATGACCTCCAGCTGAGAGCTATCGCTTTCTAGGCTTAACACGAACCGAAGATCTCGATCACAGGTGGCATGTGTCACCTGTGTGCCATCTCTCGGGAGTGTTCGCTCCTGTTCAAGCCTTGCCAATCAGGAACGGCTCCTTGGCGGAGACAGCCAATCGAGTTCGAGGCAACGCCAGGATAAAGATGTCCTCTGCCAGGAGTCACGGAAGGCGCACTACGACGGTTCACAGAAACCCTAGTACAATACATCTGCAAATACCGACGGTCTTTTCGAGAAATGGAAGCGAGTGAGTTGCGTGAAGTCCATCTCGATCATCTAGAAAATCATGGTGACATTGTCATGCTCACGCATTCTCTATCGGAATTGCTGACTGGGCGTGTTTGAGCTTACAAAATTTCCGAGCGATTAACGATGCGTATTAGGGCGTGCCGAGATATCGAAGCTGTCTTGAGGTTCCGAAACCCGAAGAGTGCCATGGTTGCCCAGCAGAGAAAAGCAAGGGCCCGGGGGACATAGAATGGCCATAGAAGATTGAGACCAATCGCCAGTTCACAATCGTTTAATACCGCGCATAGCAGGTTTGCGACCGGGCAGAACTCGGGGAGTCGTCGGGACACAGCCACGGGTCTAGAATTTTATCGCCGCCGGTTCGGACTCTCTTGCCGCTTCGATCATGCAGAAATCTCAACCAGTTCAGCTCTTCTCCCGGAGGACGGCAACCCCGGTCAAAAGCTTCAACGTCCATGTCTCCGGATTGTGAGGGGAGATATCACACCAGCGGCCTGGTGACAGATTTGCAAAAGCCTACTAGCACCAGGCGGGCCATGACTGGTCGACATGCACCCTACACCTACTTTTGAGGTGAGTAGGACGCATGACTTTGTGCTCAGGCAACCGCTGGCCAACTCGAGTCCTTGCGTGTAGCTGGCTTGTTGTGTTCGGGCCATTTTTCCCCACATTACCGTTCGCTCACCACTTGAAGGCCGCCTGGAGCCAATTACTGGGGGTTCACGCATGCCACAAGCACATTGAGTGCTAGGTCCAGATAGGAAAATACTGATGCTCCTCTTTCTCTCTGCCATACACACTTTGTGCTTGTTGGCGCGGGACCTTGGCGTCAGTACCCTCACATCTTAACTACTAAAGCCAGCCTTCACTCTGGGAAAACGAGGCAGCAAAGGGCAACTCTGTATCTGTACCTTTGCTGCGAGTCTCTTCTTCGTATCCTGTTGTCTTCTTGGGCTTGCCACAGCGTCCCTTTGCTTTCAGACAGGCATTTACCCAACAACAGCACAAGAACGGGCGTGCGATGGACAATCTGATGTCTCAGCTTGTTAACACGGCAGCACAGATACATAGCAACTCTGCCTCCCCACGAGATGCTGCGCGACTCCGTGTACTACCGGCCACAGCTTTGCGCCAAAAACGGGGCAGGTCGATTCGGCGTGGGACCGGCAGTCGAGCAGCTCACTAGGATGACTAGGTTCAGCGCTCGGCAGTGAAGCACTTCTTCCAAAGGGGGTTCATCGCAGGACACTCCGTCCGATTGCGGTGGTCTCAAGCATGTCTTTGGGGATGGGGACTAGCACCTATGCTGGTCGGTCACAGTCTTTGGCTCCGAGAGATCATGATGGTCGTGCAGCCCCCCTGTTTGGCAACTTTATCCGATCCACACTCGGCGGATTGCCGTGTAACACGGCGGTCGTCTGAGTCCTCCGGCTGCAAAGACAGGGGGGCCCCGATGATAGCTCTTGCCGACAGTTGCCCTCACACACTCCTCACCCACTTGCCCTCGTTCGGCCTTTCTGACCTGCATCGTCGCGCCTACCATGTGCGATCTCCAATCAGTTTTGGGAAATCCTGGAACACCCGATGTGCTGCTTCCTGTTGGTCGCCTGGGGGATGTTAGCACCGAGGCAAGAGCGCAGATGGTCGCTGGCGATAGATGTAGGACCCGAACATATAAGGAAGGGGTCTCTACCACTTCAACTCCCGTCCATCACCACCATCAACATCATCATCACTCTTCCCAAGCATCGCAGACATCCAAGCAATCTGGGCTGAGAGCTCCAGTATCAAGCTCACATTACCTTAAATCTCGTTTGCAACCGCCTTTCACTCACACATAGTCACACCTTACCCAAACTCTCAAGATGAGTTGCCTCGCTACCTCTACCCGCTCTCTCTTGCCTCTGGGCCGCCGCCTCATCACCAGCCGCGCTCGCCTTAGTACTGCCGCGCTTGGCTCTCTCGACATTGGCAACAATGGCATGTCCATGCCTCCCGGTTTTAACATCGATGTCGCCCGCCAACCCAACAAGCAGCCAAGGATCCAACCATCCAGCAAGATCGCTGCCGTTGCCGGTAAGATCCGTGCTCGCGATGATTTGGGCAAGACCATGCCACCGGGCTTCGAGGCCCAAGTCGCCCACCTCGACACCTTTGAACTCCCAGAAAAAATCACTGGATCCGCCAGCGACCGCGCACTTGGCAAGGCCATCATTGACACCTGGCGTCGCGAAGGAATTATCCAAATCGCTCAGAGTGATCTGCAGAAGAAGCTTTGTAACGACGCTAAGGCCGCCAGCAAGCGCTTCTTCCGGAAGCCCGCGGCCGAGAAGGCGGCGTGTGTCGACTCGCAGAGCTACGCCGGTTACATCGCATCCGGCGAGGAGGTGACGGACGGCATCGCTGACTACTCGGAGATTTTCACCATCACCAAGGATCTCGACCTGGAGGAGCCGCGTGTCCGGGCAAAGTGGCCCTGCCACGGCCCTTGCCCCTGGCCCGATGTGGAGATGAAGGAGCCCATGATGAGATACGTCGACAACCTCGGACTTGAGGGCGAGAAAATTCTCCAGTTGGCCGAGTTCGGCTTGGGTGTAGCTCCCGGTACACTGACACAGTACACCCGTGATGGTTGGCATCATACAAGGGTCCTTCGGTAAGTCGTCAAACATGAGATTTCCACTCCTGTCATACCGCCCAACCCTCCAGCTCCGGGGAGGAGCGGGCCGTTTGCTTATCGTTTCACACAAAAGGGCCATAAGCTAACACTTTGTTTTCCTTATCAGCTTCCCACCCCGCAACGCTACCAACGGAAAGGGCAAGGAAGGCCGTGGCATCGGCTCGCACACGGACTACGGCCTTCTCGTCATCGCCGCCCAGGACGACGTTGGCGGTCTCTTCATCCGCCGCCCTCGGGACGACGAGAAGTTCGCAAACTGGCAGAAATCTGCCGCCGGCCACAAGGAGGACGCAGACGGGTGGTTCTACATCCCGCCCGTCGAGGGGGTGCACACGGTCATCCTCGGCGACATGATGCAGTACCTCACCAACAACTACCTGACCGCGACACCGCACAAGGTGGGGCTCAACACGCGCGAGCGCTTCGTCATGGCATACTTCCATGAGCCCTCGTTCCAGGCTGTCATCAAGCCCATCAACGAGGGTTGCAGTGGCATGCGGACCGACTCCGAGCAGGCCGAGGAGGGCGTCCATTACGGAACCCACTTCACCAACATGTTCATGCGCAACTATCCAGAGCGCATCACCACCAAGAGGCTGTTGGCGGAGAACCGGTACTCGATGCTGTCGAAGCCGGAGTTGAGGACCATGGATGCCATGCCCGAGCCTGAGCTCGATTAAAGACTTTCACTTTTCCCCTTTTTTTCGTTTCACAACCCCGAATTTCCTTTCGTTATGTATACAAAAGCATTACCCGGGCGCTATGTGGGGGATAAGGAGTTCTAGGAAGGAAAGGCGGCTACAGCACATGGCTTTGTTTCTTTCATGTTTGACGATACCATTCTCCTAACGTTTGACTATTTCATGTTTTACTTGATTTTGCTGCTTTTAATAATACGCATACAATACCTTACAAAGACAGACAGACCAGACGGGGGAAGAAAGGACGAAAGCATCTTTTTGTTATACAAGCAAGCGTCCGAAACCACTACACTACACTTTTTACATACTACTTCTTTAAGTTGTTTTGAGATGCCTAGCAATAGGACAACGACAAGTGGGCAAGGAAACAAGAAGGATTCACTTCAGGAGAGCAATATCCAAGGGGCTTATCTACCTTTTTACTTCTGCACAAGTTTTAGCTCAATCAAAATCACTTCTACAAAGTTACTTCATGTTTCCCACCGAGTGAAGATGATTTCAGGCGTCAAATGAGAAAGGATAATCTGTTTCAGCTGATTGAAAAGGGAAGAACATGAGCTACCTACGGTATTCAAATCAACCTCCGCTCGGTACCACAGTGAGTACTATGTGACGGTCGATCTCTTGCCTAACCCGCGTCAGTCACGAGTAGTATCTCGTGGTCAGTGACCACCTACTGATTGATAAGACTGAACCCCTAGCAGGACCTTTGGCCTATGATCTGAGACTTACGCATACACATAGGTAGACTGTGCTTGTTGAGGCTTCATTGAGTGAGCTGAAGCAAAGGCAAGGACTGGAAACACTCAGGCTTCCGGTCATTTTCCCATTCAACCATAATACAAGAGCAGACACACAAAGACCCTTAGAATTCGTGCCAGCGGCCAGTCGGCCAGTCAAAGCCGGAGTCGGATGCTCACATGAGGTACTCAATAACTCCAAATCATGATTTTGTATTCCGTCTAAACTGTACTAAACTTGATTCTAGTGTCCAATCTTTTGCTTGCCCCGGAACCCAGAGGTAAAGAGGGACAGAGGGACACAAGGCATATGAAGGACGGACATAGGATGAAATATCGAATAGTGTAACTCAATATTGGATAACAACTCGACGACTCGACGATTACAACTTGACTCGGCGAAATGTCCCAAGCCCCACTACTCTTCCACTTATTATCCTTCTCTTCTTGGGTACACTCTCTCGTGCTTGTGCTTGTGTTTGTGTCTTTTAGTTCCACTTGTTACAGAATCCTGATAGGGGACACGGGGGCGGGGAACGGTTAGAGGCCCCGGTAGGTAAGGTAGCTTAGAAGCAACCTACCTAATACCAGGAGCAGGAAAAGGAGGAGAAAGAGGAGAAGAGAAGCAGCCGCAAAAAGAGGAAAGAGGGGAAATCTGCCATTAACGGCCAGCAAATGGAAAGTGAACCCTCGGTCGTGTCACAACATCGCCGACGACGCTGCCAACGTTACATGTTCCACGACATCACTTTGTCTCTCGCTGGCTTGCAGGCTTGAAAGTGCAGTGGCTCGCACCTTCCTTTCCCAGAAATCCTCGACTTGGACACAAGTCGCCTCCACCTGCCTGCTACCTTGCCGCCGCCCTCGCCGCCGCCTACCGCCTGCCACCCGCAGCTCGCCGCCCTGCGCGCCTCTTTTCTCCCTTTCTTTCCTTTTCTGCCGCTGGGACTTGAAAAGTGCTGGAAGAGCTGGACTAGGTTGCCTTGTCTAGGTAACCGTCACCGCCGCTCCCACCGGTCGCCCTGCCCAGGTTACCCAGCGGTGCCAGCGGTAACTCGGCACCTCGCCGGTCCTTTTAAGATCTTGATATCTTTGTTGCGACTTGATATGATAACTGAGACACGAAAGTAGATACGAATGGTGATGCTGGTGATGAGAAAGATAGGAGGGGGGGCAAAGTAGTAGGTGAGACACTCAACGGTCAACATTAACAGCTACCTAGCTGCAAAGAAGAAGCAAACCACCTCTCTTTTTTCTCTCTTTGGTAAGAGCGGGTAGTTACGTAGGTGGTCGTAGATCAGAGTCAAGCCTCAAGCCTTTTTTGCGGGGAAGTCAAGCGGCTACCCGTCTATCTGGGCCGTACTGTCTGACTGTCTAGGACAGGAACCAAAACACCGGGAGGGGGCTGCGGCCGTTTGAGCCGTTGAGTCGTTGAGATTTCTTGGGACAGGCTGACAGAAAAGCAAGATCGATGAATCTGAGTCAAAAGAGTAGGTGCCTAGCCGTTCGGTATTTGGGAGGTTTGACGGTTATTGCCGATTAACAATCTTGTTCCAGCATCTTGACTGTCAAAATCCGGCGCGTCGGCCGAGGAGATGACCGGATCTGAACCATCCCTAACGGCGATGCATGTCGCCGTCCGGGGACATGCAGCTGTTGCCCCCTGAGCGGTCAACTGAAGAAAAGGGGTAAGAGTGTCCGAAGAGCGGGATTTCGGAGAAACTCGGAGTAGTTCGCGGAAGAGCAGATTGTGCGAAAGCGGTGGGAGGGACTACCATTTACCGCCTGAAAGGTAAGTTAGGTAGGTACTCACGATGCGCTGTACGATCATGTCAGTATTCTCTCGACAGCTATATACATACCATCCTATTGGTCTCGGTTTCCAGACCTTCAAGCTGGGACTGGTATGTGTACGGCCTAATCCGCGGGCAGGCTCACACTACAGAAAGGCGGTATGCCATTTCGAGAAAGGGGTGTCAAGCGAGGGTGCCGCCGAGGTGGTATTGGAGGTGTCAACTGCAAGTTGCTGAAAAAGGAAATCTCGTACGGGCTTACCCTTGGTAGCCGTTGAGGGCAAGTGACAAGAAGAGAGGCGGTGATCTTCAGCTGCTGTGCTATACTGGCAACTGGCCTGCTGTCCTCGCTGCATGTCTCGTCTCGCCACAAACTGCTGCAAGTGTAAAACACAGGTCGTAGATCATAGTCAAGGATGAAGTGGACACTGCTGACGATGATGGTGATGGGTTGGGGGAGTAACTGACTGACTCTGTCGATGAGGGATACTGGAATAGGAAGCAGCATGGGGGTTAGTCAGGCCAAACTCGTTGTTGATAATGTCGTTGGAGATGTGATAAACGAAATCTCGGACGTAGACGGAAATGAAGAAAGTTGAAAATTGTCCAGAGTAGGAAATTCTCTGCGGCTGTGGTAACGCGACGTGGGGAACTCACCAAAGATTTGGAGGCTGCTACATGCGATTTTCGTTCATGACTTCATCTCCATCGTCATTCCCATTCAATGTAGTATCGGTACATTCGTCGCAATTCATGAACTTGCATATGTTTGTAGAGGAGATGTAGATGTTGATCGTCTGGAGAATGATGTTATGTCCGACACGGGTAGATGATCTGATAGCGGTGATGGAACCAATGCCGGTGACATCCCTGCCTCGTGGGTGATTGCCATTTTTGTGAATGGTGATGACCTCAGATGTTACGGATGATCTCGAAACCCGGCAACCGGTGACAGTGACGGGGCGGAAAGAACGACGGGATTCGGCATGATGGAAGCCGGACCGGATCAAGTGCGATGCCGCAATTGCAATTTTGATGCAAACGAGGAAAGTACGACCAAGTCCCATAGCTCGTCACGATCCATTAGCGCCGTGCTTCCTGCCACCGCAAGGCTACAACCGGAAGTCCGGAAGGTGGGGATGTTGTACCTGACACTCCGTCATCCCGCCTTCCCGTCACCCCCGTGGTGACCGTCGTTGCCTAACTTTCCATCCTCGACGTAGATGGAAATCTCTTCACTCCATCTTGCATCGACATTTGCAACAATCGCACTTGACGTCAAACTTTACTCCGAAAACCGCAGCACCGTCGGACACACTCGTTCGTCCAACCGAACCGGACAAGTTGCACCAATAATTGCAGATCGTCTTCTAATCTACACAAGGTCCCCCCGTTGACGTCAAGGCACCACCCCAACTCTACAACATGTGAAGATATTGCCAATCTTCGAAAACAAACAAACAGAAATGACATTATTGGGATATCTTCTTTGCGTCATCAGATTTGCTGATCCCCAATTCCTCATCCGCTGCTCTCGGTTGTCCAGGTTGTGCTGACTGTTGCTCGTCTTTCTTGACGTTCCCTGCAGGAATCTTCCCAATGATACCAGAGCCTCGGAAGGCAATTAACACGACAGCGAGTGAGCAGAGTCCCAACGCCATATGGAACCAGTTGGCGGCTCTGATGCCGGCCAGGGACGCGTCTTCCCACTCCTTCATGGACCCGGCGTCCTCAACACTGACACCACGTTGTTGCGCCATCACCGCGGTTTGGATGGCTGTCGCAATGGCAAGTCCTATCGCGCGACCAATTTGCCCACAAGCGTTGACAAGAGCACCACCCAGAGCCTGATCCGCTTGTGGGAGCGAGTGGCTCGTGAATAGAATCAAGCAGGGCCATGCCGTGTCCGCGCCAATGACAGACAGGATCATGCCTATGAATGCCCATGCCCAGTAGGATGTATGGGGAGGGATCGGCGCGGCGAAGAGGATGCAGGTGATGGCCACACAAGCGTTTCCGAATGCCAGCATCATGTAGGTTGGCACGCGCGAGAGCAACTGAGAAACGACAAAGGCGCAAACGAGACCCATCACTCCGGTTGGCAGGAACCGAAGCGTTGTCTGGATCAAAGATTGGCCTTGGTAGTCCTGGTAGAAGTAGGTCGCAAACACCATCCATCCACCGAAGCTACTGAAGAACAGAGCCATGATGAGCATTGCCGCGCTGAAGCGCTTGTTGTGGAACATGGACACCTTCATGATTGGCGCCTGCTTGCCTGTCTTCTCTAGGTGTCGTTGCCAAAGAACAAAGACAGCCACCAGAGCGACAGCAACAACGATCAGAACCGGGACCCAAGGTGTCCTCCACCCGACCACATTGCCTTCGGTGAGCGCGAATAGCAGGACAAGAAGGCCGGCAGTAATCAAGACGGCTCCAATCCAATCTACAGATCCCTTGACTGATGCTCCGTCTTGGTGAAGAGTATGCTTGGGTGGCGGGATCACAAATATGGCGGCCACCGTGATTATGGCTGCGAGGATGGCTATTACGCCGAAGACCCATTTCCATGACGCATATTCGGCAATGAGCCCGGCCATCAGATTGCCGAAGACACCGCCGAGTGGCGATCCAGCGGCTATCGTCGTTGGATAAACCGTTAGTTATTGTGCAACAGCAAACACGCGGTGGTGGAACATACCATAGCAGCTAAAAGCATAGTTCTTTGCCTTCCCAGGGGGAAAGGCTGTTCCTAGAATGCCAATCGCTGTAGGCACGTTCGCCGCCGCCCCCTTTTCCGCATGTAGGTCAGTTCGTGTCCATGTTTCGTGAGAAGTCGCACGCTAACATACCAAGCCTTGCAGACCTCGAAAAAGGTCGAATGCGATCTCGTTTGGCAGGAATGGATTGATGACGGTGGTGATAGCTACCCAAGCAGAGCCCCATATGAAGATCTTGCGCTTGCCGTAGATGTCGGCAATGCGGCCCCAAAGCAGGAGGAAGCAACCAAATGCAAGATTATACGCAGACACCACCCACTGCAGCCGAGAATCTGGAATGTCCAAGTGCCGTCCGATTGATGGCAACACAATGACAACCGCCTGGCTAGATAGAGTCTGCCAACATGGTCAGTACATCAAAATATCAACAAGTATTCCGGACGAGTTTTACTTACATTCAGGAAACTAGCTCCCGCAACCGTTGCCACGAGGGCTATGCATCGTGCCTTGGAGAAGGGAAGAGCTGGTGGCTGTTCCTGCACAATCTCGTCGACAGTGCCTGCGTCATCGCTCGTGATAGACTCATCCGAATTTGGCTTGCTGGCAGGTCCTGTTTCCCTCTTCTCCTTCGCCCACGCTTCGCTTCTGTCCGGAGCGGCCTCAATCGACCTTGCCATTGCCGTTGTTATGTCTGTTGATATTGACAATGGAAACAGACACCGACAAGCGATCGGCGGGTTGAACGTGGGAAGTCATGGAGATAAGCATAAAAAAATCCCCCGGATTTGATACAAGTAAGGTTAACCACATCGACTTGCCGCATAATCATTGGTTCGCTTCCGGAGAGTCTTGGCCGGTTGGGGTAAAAGCTTCCAGGGGAAGGATGCGGGAAAGCTTCCCGCCACCGGAGATGTGGTGCCGGAGACCGGCAAGCGGGGGAACATTGAACCAACAACACTCAACTACGGGCTACGGCGTCGGGACCGCTTCGACTGCCGACATTTCTAGCGTGGCTTGCGTGACTGCTGTCGCGTGCCACGACGCCCAAGTTTGTTCGGGGAAACGTGGCGCCTGCCTGTTATCTTTGAAGCATCGCGATAATCCTATGATTTTGGGATTAACAAAAGCTGATATGAGGCAGGTCCCAGAGGGATGATGGACTAACTTTCTTCAGAGGATGACTCTCTCTTTCTTTCACAAATCCTTGGCACGGGGTGCCAAGCCGTGACAACAAACCATCTCGACTCATTGGGCGGTGATCTGCTTGTCCATCAAGGTTACCGGAGAATATTCAAGAGTCAGGTACGTTGGACACTGACTGTCATTCAAGGGAAGGAGGATGTTCCAGGTGTTGCTCAGTGTTCGGTATGTGAAAGTCAGAGCTGCCCGGGAAACCACGGAGAAAACCTCAGAAACGACAGTGGAACAAAACGTATCCGATCCTCTCGACGGCGAGCTCACCGGGAACTAATTGTTTTCACCATTATACGATTTCAGCTGCCACTTGCCATCCAGTTCAACAAGATAGATGTCGAGGTTGGTATTGGACAAGTTGTTCATCGGGCGTTATGACCAGCTTTTCAAGGTCCTTTCAGTCATATGTCCAATTGGGCAAAATGTCACAAACCTCGTTGCCCCTGATCTTCATCAAAACTGAGTCATGCTCTTGTTCATCGTATATGTACTTGATGGTCGACTTGTTTTCGACCTTTCTACAGGCTGTTTTTTTTTTTTTTTTTTTTTTTTTGTCTTCTCTGTGCCTTTGTGCCTTTTTTCAAGTTCCTTTACCGAGAGGATTCTAGAGGTAATTAACAATTTTTGTTTCATGAATTCACTTGGCCCAGCGTCACACATCTCTGGTCTCGATTTCTCTCAATGGTTCTTGACTCAAACTGTTTGTTCTCTTCTGTCCCATATACGATTTTCTTTTCTTAAACGGCCAGCAAAGCTTCATGGATTAGCCGTCATGAAGCCCGTTATGAATGGAGTTGAGTCAGTGGATGATACCTCCGAGTGAAGGCAAAAGCCAAGCAAGTCAGGCCGGACTGGACAGTCACTCACAAAGAAATCTGCAAGCTTGAAGTCATAAAGCAAGCAAACTTGGATTAAACTTATGAGTCGGAAAGGGAGAAGCAGAGTCTACCACGAAAAGTATAAAGTCAGGTAACCCTCCCTTTGAGTCTGCCATAGTATCTCTTCTACATCCAGCCACGTTAAATGAGTAGAGATTGAACGACAACAATGGTGGATCTCTTAACTGTGGTAAGACCTAAACGTATGGCATTGAAAAATGGTAGTTTTTTGTTCTTCTTTCTCCGTCCGCGCTCTCGTAAGAGGAACTTGAACCGTTGCCAGTTCACTCTACCAGAATCATGAGAAAGTTCCACGTATCCATCTTCTTGCTACCGCGAGACTTGGACCTCTTACGCACAAACACAGTCTTGCCGTCTTCCTTCTTGACGACAATGAGTCGGTGTTCTAGTTGTCGGCCGCGATTTCAAGACAACTCGTACCAATAACGGATATCGTGACTTTGTTCTAGAGCACAGTATTACTGAAGATAACCAGTGGACTGGGGACGAGTCTGGTTATAGAGGTCATGTCATCACCCGAATCGTCGCACTTGCGATTTTTCCTGACCAAAAGATTTATCTACATCGGCCTCGCCATCCAGGCCGACACCCCCAGCATCCTCGGCTACCTCTTCAACCTCCCGGACACGAAGACCAAGTTGCTAAACACCACCGCGTCGGCCTCGTACGCCTGGTACAAGTGCATCTCCACCTTATCCAAAGGCCTCTCCGAGCCCGACGCGCTACAGACCATCAAAGACGAAGCGCTACACATCGCAGCAAAGTCCGCCTTTCCGCGCACGACTCGCCTCCTCCTCTCCAAAGGCGCCGACCCTAACAGTCCCTGCTGTCCACTACCACTACCCTTTGCCGGACATGGACCGCATACAGGCAGGGGAAGTTGGCTATGTTATCAAGTCACACATGGTCTGGATTTACGTTGAAATCCCAACTACTCATACCCCCAACCTTGATTGGTTCCGCTACCAATATAAATTTAAGGGAAATTGCTTTGGCTTTTCAAGGATCAAAAGGTAGATCGAAAAAGCGTATTCGTCCTTATAAGCAAATTCCGTCAACGACTTCAGAGCAGCCAAGGTTGGAGGGTTTGGTGACTGGAGGAAGGTTGTTTTGAGGTTTTTGTCGAAATTCAACTCCAAGTCAAAGTATGTTTCCCAGAGTGATGTCGCAGTGGGAAGGTGTTCCAGGTTGCTTGATTTGAAGTGGGCGATTGCCGGCCAATTCAAGATATGCTTTGTAGGCTTTGTTGATGAGACTTGCTCCGAACGTTGATTCTGGTGGCGCCTGGTCGTCCTTATCCTTGTTCTACTCTTCCTCCTGGTCATCGTCAAGGTCGTCGTCGCTACCCTCGTAGCTTAATGCCGCTTGGTCGTCCTGGTTATCGTCAACCTCGTCGCTGCTACCTTCGAGAAACACATCGACAACCGCATCCACGACGATATTGTTCTGTCTACCTCACCAAAAGGGTATATTGACGACCAGCTTGCGTTGCACTTGTTTGATCACTGGAACCAGCACACCATGCCCATCAACAAGCAAGAGAAGCGGTTACTCTTGTTGGATAATCACGGCAAAGCCGCCGAAAAAGGGGGAGACGTAAGCACAGGGTTGGAAAAATGGAGGCTATAGGGTTGTCTTCAGAAACCCTTTTCACGACACAGTTCGGTTTGTGTCTCGAGACGACAGCCCTGGCTCACTCCTTGAGAAACCGACAATTGTGGCATACCAACAGGGCGTCAACAATGATATGCTTCTCGAGGGAGATGGATCTTTCATTGCTTACCAGGGGCAGAAGCGCGGTTCTCATCGCCCGCGGGGCTCTCAACGCGACGACGCTTGCGCGTGTGGTAATGATTGTTGTAGTTGTTGTTGGTGTTGGTGTTCCTTCAAAGGTCATGGACACCGGCATGGGCTGTACATGTTGGGCTGGTTGCTGCTGGACGAAGGACTGGCTATGTCCGTCCAAGGTCCTGAATACCGGCATGGGCTGTTCATGTTGGAAAAAGGGATAAGAAACATAGAGTATAAGAGGGGGGGGGGGGGGGGGGGGGGGGGAACGTTGTTGCTATCAGGGCATAACCTTGTGCCACGGTCGATCTAACTACCATCATTCGAGCAAACAACCCCTTTGTAGCCCCCTCGTAACCGTCAGCGAACCCTTCGATAACCATCCGTTAAACCTCTGATAACCCAGCGCCTACGCCATGCTATGAGCCGAAAAACAGCGCTCCAAACTCCCATCGAGTCCCTAGTAAAGCATCGCAAAGACGCTTACTCAGCATGCTCATTATCGTCCTCGGGGTCGGGATAGGGCAAGTCAATGCCGCGGTAGGCGCAGCGCTCGTTGATATAAGCCTTCAAACCGCCCTTGCTGGCCTTGGCGGCGGCCGGGACCTTCGCCTCCTCCCAAACCTCATCGTCGTGGTCGTAAAGCTCCAAGCCGACCAAAGTGCCGAACGGCGAGACTAGGTCAGTCTGGGGAATGTGCGACCCCAGTCCCAGATGGTGTTGGTCGGCAGCTTGTAAAAACGGCGTCAGCATCCGACAGGGAAGTTCGCGTGGGCTATGCCGCAAGAGGTACGATTCCCTCGGGTATCCCTTACCAGGCTGCGATTTTGGGACGTACCCAATCAATGTGGACAGGCGATTTTTTCTCCACGGTGTTTTCGGGCCGGTCACATGCAAGAACGACTGGGGGATAGGAAACTTCCTCCTTGACGTTTCCGGCTTGGGATGGTCGAGACTGGACTACTCTTGATCGATTTCGCGAACCTGGAAGATCGCCAGACGATTTTTTTGTGGTGGTGAAATGTAGGTGGTCTTGTCTACCAGCCGTCTGGTAATACATTCATTCTTAGACTGCATTTGTTCTCGTACTGCCGCCGTACAGAGAATCTGGTCGTATAGTTTTATACTGCAAAGCTCGGGCCACTTTCCACATGCACCGTACAACCATCTACACCCCCCTTATACGACGATGTCAATTGTCGCTTCGTTTGCGACGATGAATTTTTATAGGGGGTTACAGCGCTTCAAGCGCTGGGCGAATGCGCTGCAGAAGGTGCATCGGGGTAGATGTACGGTATTGACTACATTTTTGAGCGTGTATACATTTTGTCGTTTTGTACGATCATGCCGAAAAATGTACGATTTTTTAGCTATATATAACCCTAACCCGGACAAGGCTATACGAGGCTAACATAAGGGGGTCGCAGATTGCATTTTCTCACGGCAACCGACCAAACGACACCACTTTTGTACGGTTTTCGTACAAAAACAGTCGTACAGACCCCTTTATACAACAACCGTACGAGAACAAACGCAGTCTAATTACACTCATTCCATCCTCGGCCTCTTCGCAGCCCTCTCCTGTTCCTTTTTCTCAAGGGCCTTCTGCCTCTTCTTCTCGAGTGCCTGAGCGTGCTTCTCTGGATTCGCGGCCCTCCACTTTGCCCTGGACTCCCTCGCTTTAGCCCTAGTCTCCTCCAAATTGGCAACTCTATTCTCGCGCACATTCGCATCGAGGTGATTCTCAACCCACTTCTGGCCTCTTCTTCTCCAGTGCTTCAGCATGCTTCTCTGGATTCTCGGCTTTCCACCTTGCCTTGTGAGTGCAGATTGGACTTGATATCCGCGTCCATGGTAGGAGAGACGGGGTTTTCAATGCTCTCCGAAGAGGTATACAGTTGGTGAGACACCAGCGGACTGGACCGGGCCAGGGGCAGAAAGTGGTATTGGGGCCGGAGGTGTTCGTACGCGTAGCTCATATCACCAACGACAGGATCAAGATACCAAATGAACATTCCGAGTTTTGTCATCCCAACTTACTGGACAGTTCCAATGAAAGAATGCCGTCCTTTTGAGAAGATTTCATCTTTCAGCTCAACTTTCCCACTGCTCCTGGAAGCATATCGGTTTGCGTGGAAGGCACCAAAGACCCTTCACCACGTCCAAGAATGTTCTTTTCCCTTCTGACGGGAAGAACTCCACCAAGAATTTCACAAAAGAACAATTCACTGCCATGAATGAGCATCAAGAGCTTTCATCTCATCCATTTACCATGTCCAAGAAGATTCTTTGGCCTTCTGAGCGGCTGGAAGTCCACTAGAAATTTCAGAAAACTACGATCCACTGTCCTGAGTGAGTAACAAAAGCTTTCGTCTCATCTCTATTCCATTGACGATTCACCCATTGTGGTCTACAATTCACCTGCTTGTTCGAAAAGTGGGAACCATGGGAGAAGGGTATAAAATCTCCTCCAGGACCAGCGATTCTTCTTCCTTTTCTACTGCTTCAACACCACAAACTTTGGGACATCAAGTTGCCTGCGAGCTGACAACTTGATTCTCAACGAGCTGTCTTGCAACTATCTACAAAGTGGTGACAGACAGATCAACCATATCTATCTTCACCTTCTCGATTCACTTCGTCGATCAACGATCATCAATTATCACTCGTACAACTACCTCGAGGATCAAGTTACGGAACAGATCAAGTTTTCCTTTGCCTGAGATCCTTTGAAATAAGGTCTCAAGCTTCACCAGCAGACATAGTAAGTTGAATCTTTGGGCGTCATGATGAGATCTCAACCGATCGACAGTTTGGTAGTAAAAGATGCTAATCCATCAAACAGCTTCACACACAGTCAACCCCACTATATACTTGTTTTTCGCCATGGGTTCCCAGAACGGCTCCTCCCAGGCTGGCGGTTCCCAAGCCGGCGGTTCTCAGGCTGGCGGTTCTCAGTTTGTGGATTCTCAGGCTGGCGGCTCTCAAGCTGGCTCCTCCTCCGGCGCGGGCGCACCAGCCCGCAGGCAGTTCCGTCCTATGGACGCCATCGTCGTCAACCGGGCGGCTCTGACAGAGGAGGAGAAGGAGGCTCGGAAAGCCCGCGGCTTTTCGGAAAACTATATGGGTGACTACAACAACGAGAACAACAAGTCGGCAGACATCCCCGACGACCAAAATTGCTCGCTGTACATAACCGGGCTTCCCTTGGACATCACCGTCCGGGATATCTTTGACGATATCCGCAATATCGGCAAAGTTTATTCGCTGCATATCTCTCCCAGTAGGGACAGCCATTCCAGGCGTGCGGCAGCAATCGTGTTCTTCACCAGAGCAGCGGCAGGTAAGCAAACTCCAACTACCCATCGCACTCCTCTTCCAGACACTAACGTCCATCCCTATGTACAGAGCGGTTCTTCAACCGGTTTGCCACCAGAGACAACCCGGCCGTCCGCTGGGGCGGTGCCGTCCCCAACCCGGGTCAGATCCTCGGTCGTCTTCCAGTCAACGTCGTCTGGAACCAAGTTAAAGTGGCTCCCTTTAGCGACAGGGACCACGTCACTAGGGTCATCCAAGTCGAGGGACCCTCGGACATCGTCAACGAGGAGTTCCTCCTCGCATACTTCCGAACCAAATGCAGGTTCGACATGGAGAGGGTCTCCGTCCTTTGGGAAGGTTTCTCAGACGTACCTGTGAACGGGGGACAACCTCCCGCTGCTCCCGCTGCTCCCGTTCCCGCCGCGGCGCCCGCTCCTGCCCCGGCGAGGCGCCAGGGTCGAGCCCTGGCATCGATGAACTGGCGAGAGAGGTCGAAGCCAGTCACTGCTGAACCTGAGCCAGAGGCCCAGGGAAGTGCCGCTGTTCCCACCACTCGTCGGCACATCAGAATCATGGAGTTCCGGTTCGGAACGGTGAAGGGCCAGGCCCTGGCTTGCAGGATGGCCTTGGACTGGGAGTTCAAGGAGAGGGGTGTTCTTTGCCGCTATGGTAAGTCTTCTTCAGCTCTTGGTGGAGGAGACACATGCTAACATCCATTTCCTTGGTTTTTAGGCAGTGACCCTTGCGGTCCTTGAAGCATGGTCGGTGGAGAGAAGGACTCATTGGTTTCAACATAATGATAATCATAATGCTGGGTGCTCGAGGTTTTAAAGAATCGGAGTTCATGGGTCCATGAAGGGGAGAGACTTTGCACGGGGAGATTCATGGCGCAATGGAAATTGAAAATGGAGTTATGGCGTCGAGAAAATGTCGGCTGTGGCTGGTGTTAGCATGCTTCAATAATAGAATGATCACATACACCAGAACACCACTCCTGTTGCCCCAACCGAGGCTTTTGCAATCGTCTGCGAAATTGATAATGCGACTCTTTCCATCCTCGGTCAGATATCAATCCTTCCTCCAGCGGCAGGTTCAGGTAGGTAGCCTAGCCATGTTGAATGTGTCGAGTGTCCAAAGCAAGTTGCGGTTGATATTCGAAAGACACTTACCTCTAGAAGCGGAAGGAACAAAGGAGTCAACAAATGATGCATGCAACTGCCTGACAAGCACCCTGACGTTCCTCCGGATCTTCGATCGCTGGGCTGAATTCAAGATCTCCATGCCCCTGGTGAATCCTATAAACATCTGCATCCCGTACATCAAGTGGCTTGGGGCTTGAATCCTACTGATACCATGTTTGAGGGCAATTATGGTAGTATGAATGACAGCCTAGAGGTAGGCAAGATTCGTTGGGCTGGCGGGCTGGTAGTCGAATTGGGAGTTTGATGCGATTGGTTTGCATGCTTTGTAGCGAGCAAATCCTTTTAGTAGATATTGAACAGTCGGTATTGGTCCCAATACTCGATGTGAGTTCGTTAGGTATGCTCGAGAATGATTGAAAATAGTGTTTTCCAGCACTACAGCACTGCAGCATTGCGGCGTTGTTTCCCCCTGGCGCGGCTACTACTTGACTGCAACGCTTTTCTCGTTGCTGATGTTACTCCCGTCCGGCTATGTGGGGGTGACCAGGAGCAGAAATTCGGTAAGTAGGAGCGGGATGGATTCGCTTGCTTGCTTCTTCTGGTGGTGGTGGTGCCGTGATGACGGCGTCGTCGAGTTCTTGGTACCAGGGGGGGTCTCTGAATTGTGAGCATGCGAGTGAGATCATATGGTAAGGTAGTCAGTCAGACTGCTCATGTCATGTTGATGAACGGCAGTCGATCGCGGATATCTCTGTTGTCGCTCTTTCGAGATGGCTGCCTGCTGAAGTTGATCTTGAGGATACACCATGGCAGCACTCAAATTCCGGCTTTGAAATTCGGCAGCAAAGCTTGGGAGAGATCGCTTCGGCGGCAGTGATCAGCGGGTGTGATTTGGATATATATGTCAGAAGCGAGACCAGCATTGCACTTGTGTGTCCTAAGCCCCCGACTCGGAGCGTTTAATTCTGTGACACCCAAGGTATGATTGGCCCCGTTGTGCGGTTCTCTCCGCGCTTCAGCTTCCCGAATGGGTTGCTTACCGCAAGTGAGGGTTAGTTGAGCACGAGGGTGGCCATATAAATCTCAGTAACACCCATGGATACGAGTTGTCGTCGATGTCCGGCAGTTATGACGGATATACCCTTTCATGTATCCTATGTGATACAATGTGCTTCGTTATAAGCCCCTTGGAGACTGACTGTCATGAGCAGGTTTGACTCGCATTACTCCAGTTAACTTGTGTGTTTCAGCGGAAGCTTACCGATGCGTTGTGTCAGATGCCATATTCGACGAACATGGCTTCAAAGTGAATCCATTCGCTTGTACATCGCAATGTCATTGGCCACCTAAGCATTCCTATGCTCGAACAGTAGGGGAATCTAGACAATGCAGGTTAAGGTGACCATGGGAATCCTTCCGGGCGTTGGTGTTGTCAAAGGCGCCACGGAATGGATATGGTAGTCGGCTAATAAGCGCGACAGAGATATTATGGAAACGAAGGGCCGAAGCTGGCGAATATACAGTCTTGAAGTGATACATGATATGCGGGTACTCTATCCGGCTTACAAGCACGCGTGCCTTCAGGTACGAGTAGCTTGACTACCTGGATAAGCCATATGTAGTGTAGAAGCGAGCACCAGTCACACTCTGTGAACGCAGGATATCTGGGGATCTCTGTATTTTGAAGAGCCGCTTGTGTGTCGCAAAAGTCATACCCCCCAAAGGAGGTCTGGACCGGAGCTCTGCTTGGCTCATGTGTTCTGGCCCAGATCGGAGATGTCTTACACAAGATCCTTGCAGACGATGGATCGTGATGGTGGGCCGTTCTGCTCGTTATAACTTCCAAATTGATTCGGCCTCAAGCTTCTATACATCATACGGCCTGTAGACCAAAACGGCATGTAGACCAAAACGGCATCATGGCAGAACAGTGATGTGCGAAACTGATCATCACACACCGTTGAGTGTGGGCTAGACGTGTGGCCCTTGAATCTCCTAGGATCAGAGATTCTGAGATGTAGTGTATGGAACGGGCTGGTCGGTAGAACCCGAGGGCAGTCCAAGGGTAAGGCGTGGCGGCATGGCCCATGGCCCATGGCCCATGGTGGGTGCCTTCGTGACGTTCCGTCGATCATATGAAGCCACCCACGTTTGTAAATGTTGTGCGTAACCTCGGAGGATCCCAAAACGGAATATGATGTCGTCGTCTCACAAGAGGGCAACGACATTTAAGCTTAAAACCACCGACAATGCCATGCTGGGATCACCGCTCCTCAGTTGACTTGATAGGAGACCTGGGAGGGTGGTCAATATCAATGCCAAGAAGCACGATGTTGATCCAACCCCAGGCTAATGTCAAGATGACAGTTGACTTCGGGAAGCACAAGGTCAACACGGCAGGACCGGGTTAACGGATGCACGACATACCTGATTGTAATGAACTTGAAGATAAGCAAGACTCCGCTGGATGTCAGCCATGATCCCCGATATCGTTTACACCACGATGACAGACAAGACAGGCCATGATGTGCTCTTCTTGTTGTGCTCGCCGACCAACTCGAAACGGGCTCCGCTGTCTGAATGGTAACAGTATCGAATCAAATCAGCGGATGTGGGTGTGAAGCGGACGCGGGTTCTGGCCCGATGGACTCGACAAGTTCTGGAAGCTTGATGATGGTTGTTGTGGGGAGAAAACCACTTTTAATTTGGCCACCAGAATGTCCCCGGATTCCACTTGAAAGCGGCGGTAGGGGGGTCAGTGGAAGGATGTGGGTCGGGGGTATTGTCCCTCGGCAGTGTCCGAAGAACTTGGGCGGGCCCATCACACTGGAAAGACACTGCAAGAGCTATGATGCGGGTACTGTGGTTGGTCAGTGACACCTTGTGCCCAAGGGGGCGGCTTTGCATAATGGAAGTCAAACCTGTAAGTAATTCCAGCGACCCCTGGGGTCTGTACTTTCCAATTGCCCAATTGCCGTCCACATCGCCCGCACCATTCTTTGAATTCTTTCAATCTGCATCACCATATCGCACACTCCGCCGGCTTTCTTTTCAAGGATTGCAGCAGCCCTATCCCATCTGGAGGAAATTCGGCTTGCCACCCCCTTTCATTCGCCTTCATACCCCCTCTTCTCGACCTGTGACCATGTCTTCCCACAGCCGACTTGTCGTATCATTGGCATCCGGGCATCCTGCTATCCGTTCTGTTGTCCCAAAATGGGAGACCGCCCGAGCTATCAATACTCATCAGCAGTGTCGCAAAGAGATCGAACCCAATTGCCAATCGTGATAGCCGGTGGCCTTGTGCGTTCCGGTCTTACTTAGTACATAGCATCCATGCTCGACCATCAAGTCCATAATGATTTAAGCTTTGGGACCTGCCAGTGCTCCTCTCCATCCTCCATGTTTTCTGTTGTGAACTAATACCGAAAACATCCATTCAACATCACATGAATGTGACGAATGCTTGAAGAGAAAGACTCTCACTACACACCCGAACAGTCGCAACATATCCTCCGGGACATATCCACTCTTGCTCGACAAGAAACTAGGATCACCAAGCACAGCAAACGATCATCTGCCAGCCTCACATAACGACAAATCGCCACCGACGGCCTCGATAAAATCCCCGGACGGGGTCCTCCATTCAAACTGATGGCGCAACAACTCTACCTCCAACTTCATTACTCGGGCCTCAGCCCTACCACCGAGTTTCACTCACCCACGACAAGCTACCACAGGACATCGTCATCGTCCTTGTCACCATCCCCTGTGATGGTTGTCGGTACCGTCTTTAGGCCAACCAGACCTGAGGACTGGGAGCCATACCGGGATCTAATAGCTCATCTGTATACGACGATGAAGCTGAAGGATGTCATGAACGAGATGCACACCAAACACAATTTCAAGGCGACGTGAGTTTATGCTTAGCATTTCAAAATGTTGTCTCAAAAAAGCTGACGATAATTGTTAGCGAGAAGCAGTATAAGACGCAGATCAAAAAGTGGAACCTGGACACCAAGTACACCAAGGCCTCGGAGTACATGGCCATGATCAAGACCAAGAGGCGACGAGAAAATGAGAATCCCCCAAAACAAACACGCTTCATCCTGCGGGGGCGACCAGTGGATCCAAAAGATATCAACCGGTTCGAGAAGCGGGCATCCAAGAAGGGAATGATGAAGGATGAAGAGCTCGCCTACAACACCAAGGGTATGCCACATAACAACTATCACCACGGTTGTCGTCAACAAGTTAACACCGGGGATGAAGAAGCAGAGGATATTGAAGATTTGGTCTACATCACTCCATCACCCTCACCAGAGCCAACTTTTTCGTCATGTAAGAGCCCCCCTCACTGAGCGAGACCGAATCAGCCCTTGCGGCTGGACCAGTTGGGATATTCCTTGACGAACATAAACAAAACTAACATAACCCCTTCCGCAACCAAAAAGACGCTCCTCCCCCAGCTCCAACACAATACCAAACAACAGACTACCATCAACAATAGCAATCAATGGGAGTGGGAGCTCATCATCACCAAGCACCCACGACGGACGACCTGATTGGGGACTGGCTGGCCCGCGGGAGACTTGCTACTACTACTAGTACTAGTACTTCCCAGGCATTTCACCATCATCATCACCAGTCTCAGTCAGCAGCAGCATACCCGTCGTATCCGTCGTACGCTGCTCATCAGTACACGACGACGGCGGTCCCGAGCACTCATTCCCATACACAGCAGCAGCAGCAGCATCATGGCCATCATGGCCACCATCAACATATCTATGATGATTATAGTAGGCGATGATGATAAGGAGCTAAGAGGAAACAGAGGAGGATAATACCAACCTCAACTTTCATTCACAGAAGACAAAAAGTGTCTACGCCTGCCTATCCCATTCACCTCAAGAAGAGGAAATAGACGTCAAACCCTTCCATCCACAATGTCACAGCCACAGCCACAGCACAGTCACAACAGTCACTTCATCACCAACCACCGACCACCAACCCACTTTAGAGGCACCAGAAGTGCTGATGACAAAGAACAGATGACAAAGACAACATGTATATATAGAAATAGATTTCCTTTTTTGGGGATGCTCATTACCAATGATACCATAGTTGTTTTTTACCGTATGTCGTGTAACTCAATATGACTGACTGCTCATATGTATTTGACCTTCCAGAAATGCAAACACTAACTTCCACCGGAATAAATGAATGAGAAAGGCAAAAGGGAAGGCGACTTTCTTGCATCGTCACTTTACCTTGAGTGGACAAGATAATTAATCACCTTAGGTTGGATCTGACTTCCGGCCTGGGAACAGTAACGGGAATGAGAACGGCAACTTACGTAGAGAACTTGTGTGTGTCCAGTCAACCTAGGATCCGGCGTCTTGGAAGTTCCACGCATGTCGCTAATCCGGAGACTTTCAGGGGAACGGCAGGGATGTGCAGAAAGAGGGGAGAGTGAGGCTCGGAGGCACGGAGGACGGTTATCGTCTGTGAACTTCCTATGTTGATGGGTGATGATGTTTGAGCCGAATCAACAGCCGAGGGGTTCCATCAGATGGCACGCATACAACGAGGAGTCCACACAAGAGGACAAGCCCCTCCAGTGGTACATAACCATATGACATGACACCAACACACATTATGGGTAGGAGTGTGCACCCACATGGCAAATATCACAAATTATGGGCTTCAACAGATCGAGAGGTTTGATGCATCTTGAAAGAAACAACAAATGCATAAATAGTCATGGGTAACTGATATCAAAATAACGACAAACTCCAGGACTGCCTTGAACCCATGATCCTTTGTCCCTCCATTATCATTCATCCTTCCATGACCAATGCTAACTCGCATGACAGCCAGCCCATGACTCCTGCTTCCTTGTCATTTTCGTCCTCCGAATGGGGGAAATTATCCCCAAATTTTCCATCGACTGGAATTAGGTCGTGAGAGTTCTCGTCACTTCATCATACAAGTCATGAGTGTACCTTCGCCGTATGGCAAAGGTATCGAATCTCTCTTTGTAGGAGAGATGGGGTATCAAAAGATCAGTGAGGTGAACTTAGAGCTCCTGCTTGACCTTGTCGCCAGCCTTCTTGGCGCCCTTCTGGTAAGCATCAGCACCCTCCTTGACCTTGTCGCCGGCCTTGATGGCCTGCTTCTGGGCGGCATCAGCACCAATGTGGAGCTGACCCAAGACCCAATCCCAACCGGCCTTCGCGCTCTCTCCGATCTTAGCAAAGACTGTCTCGGTCGGTGTCGAGGTTCCGTACTTGAAGTAGGTCCACTGACGACGGGCCAGAGCACGGAGCTCGTTGAGAGTAGAACCCTGGGGAACAGGCTGGTTGAATGTGTTAGTAACTGATATGAGTATGGATGGGGTAATATCAACTTACAACGCCATAGCTATCAAGGTAAGCCTTGAGATCGCTATCACTCCAGGTCTCAAAGGTCTGGGCCTTGGCAGAATCGGTAGCCTTAGCGAGGTAGCTAGTAATGGAGGCGTAAGAATCACCACCAGCAGCGGAAGCAGAGGCATATCCATCTTGGACAGCCGCGAGCAGCTGGTCACGGGTAGCACCGGCCTGGTTGGCGACCTTCTTACCGGCGGCATCACCGTTGGCAAGAAGGTAGTCCTTCAAATTGTCGTAGGTCCAGTCATCGAAGGTCCAGGCAGTGTAACCAGAAGCAGCCTTGTGAGCGTGCTTGCGGACCAGAGCGCGGAGCTCATCAATCTTGGAAGCCTGGGGGACGGGGATACCGCGAGCGTCGAGCCAGGCCTTGAGACGAGTCTCAGACCACATGTTGATAGCCTTGTCGAAAGCATCCGCAGCCGCCTGGGAAGCGGCATCAGTGGCCTTGGCGTAGTTGGAGCCGATGTTAGAGGTAGCAGCTCCATAAGCCGAAGCAGCAGAAGCAGAGAGGGTATCACCAAGAAGATCGGCGCGGTGCTTGCGGACAAGGGCACGAAGCTGGTTGAGCTTGGTGCCCTGGGGGACGGGAATGCCGTTCCTGTCACAGAAGTCCTTGAGCTGGGACTCACTCCAGGCGTCGATGAGCTTGTCGGTCAGGGTAGCATAAGCAGCTTGGGCGCTGGAGGTGGCACTGGCCTGCTGCTCCTGCATGCGGAGATAGGCAAGGCGGGAGTTGCGGCGAACAGCAGCGATGAGCTTGTCTCTCTGTAATGATGGTTAATACTTGATCGACATGTCATGCACTCATGCATATCAACTTACGGTAGTGGGCTGAGGAGCGGGGATTCCATGGGTATCGAGCCACTCCTTCAGGTCAGACTCGGACCAGGTCTCATACAGCCAGTTACCAGGGTAGGCGGCAGTCTCGCCAGCCTTTTGAGCGATGGTCTCATAGCTGGAACGGGCCTTCTCGAGGAGGGTATCACGCTTGCGGGGTTGGGGAACTGTGATAGTCAGTATTCACAACTCTAGGTTACGGTAGATGTGAGTATAATGAAGCTTACCTGGGATGCCATGGCGGTCGCAGAAGGCCTTGAGCTGGCTGTCGGTCCACGAGTCCAGAATCCAGTCCTTCACATTGAGCCAGGAGTTGTGAGCCTTGTCCTCAGTCTCATACCAGACACCCTGGACCTGGTTAATGAGAGAGTCCTTGGTGGCACCGGCCGAGTCCTTGGTCTCGATACCCTTCTGCTTCAGGTAGTCGGTGAGCTTGGCAGTGTCCCACTCCTTGTAGGGAGCGACCACCTGGTTATCCCAGTTGGACTGGACGAGCTTCTCGAGCTCCTTGCGGTCTGCGGGTGTAGGATAGGGGACGTCGTGGTCGGAAAGCCATCTCTCGAGCTCAGTCTCGTGCCACTTGTTGTAGGCTATGAAGGAGAGGTCAGTTAGCGGGTGTCTTGTTGAGAATAGTAAAGCGGGTTTACGCACCAGCATTGGAAAACCACGAGCTGCCATAGACAGCGTCGGCCACAAGGGCCAGGGAGAGGAAAGTCTTTGCGATCCTCATCGCGGACTGAGTGTAGATGTGCGTTACTATCGTGGGGGTGAGCAACGTAGATGGCGTGGGTGTGATGTTGTTGTTTGAAGATTATGCACACGATGGTGAGAGTATGTGCTTGGGGTATCAAAAGTTGGTGTTCTACTAGAGAAAGAGCAAAAGAGGAAGTCAACGGAAGAAAAGGTTAAATCGGCAAAAGTTGTTTTGGTGTCGGTGTGCCCTGGATGCCAGAAGACAAAGGAAGGAAGGCAGCTGCGTTGGTCAAAACCAAGAGACTGGAAGATCTCAGGTGAAAACGAGGGGCGGTCATGGACGTCACTCCTGCCCAAACTGGTGCCAGGCAACGCAACGCGTCCTTGTTCTTTCACGAAACACAACAAACGAGCCACAACTGGCACCACCGTCTGGCAGCTGCCCAGTGTCACCTTTTTGGCAGGAACACAAACATGTCTACAGAAAACAAGAGTGATAGGCACTCATTATACGCCACCGGTTTCAAAGTTACTTGTACAGCCCCGTTTGATCTACAACTGGCAGGAACAAACTATCGTCTCCTTCCCTGGATGCGATGCTCTGCGAAGGCAAGGTGGACGAGTGAGATGGAGGGGAAGCAACCGATACAGTGACGTAATTTGGCAGAGTCGCCGCCTGGACTCCCGCGTGGATTGCTGTCAGTCGAAGCTTCTTTCCGTCTTCCTATTGGTCTTCTGTCAATCTCTCATCCCTTTTCTGCCTTTAACCAACGGAAGGCGAGCATCATCGTTTGCTCTTCCCGTCACATCATGGTGTCACAGGCCAAAAAAGTTCAACACCTTTCAGTGCCAAAACAATGACGTCATGCTGGCGTCCCTGGCGACAGTTTGGTGTTGAGCCCAGACCATTGGCGCCAAGACACGCTAGCAGGATAAGCTCAGTGATTTAACAGTCCGCTTATTCTCTAACCCTTGATCAGAAACAGAGGCGCGTTAAGAAGCTGTCACGACCAAGACTTTGATCGATGGCAGAAATTTCATGTGGAAGTTGTTGTTTCTATTAAATCTATCTGTTGCTCTATCATGGCTACGAGCTGCGGAAACGAAATGTGGTAGTCGAGCGTGACCCTGTGAGTGTGAGTTTCCCAACCACCTTTCAGTTTATACTTGTACAACACATCTCTTGTCTCTTGACAACTCTTCAAAACGCCATAAACTGTCCCCAAAGTGATGTTCCCAACCCAAACATCAGACATGTCTGAATCCAATCCATCGGAGCCACAATCGGTCTAGAAAGTACGATGCTTCCAGTCGGTCAACGACCCCATGCCCATCAACGCTTTCAGGATGATATCGAGATGCCGCCGCGTCCTGCAGCAGCATGCCTGCGCAGAAGATTGTCAAGTGTCCAAAAAGATGTCAGCACTCAACGTGAATAAGAGGACGAACTGACATTGATGCATGCCACGCATGCCAGGGCACCTCCTTGGTTTGCTTGGGTGCTTGGATTGAACTTTTAGTGAAGCGCATGTCCACTCGACGACCACTGAGCCAAGATTCCTCACAACTGCCAAAAAAAGTGCGGAATTCCCTCTCTCTCTGCCGTGGGTATCAATCCATTGTGATCATCTCGGGGTGTTGAGTAGGATGTGTTGGCATGCTACGCTTGATCGTAACAAATAGGGTCCTTTAGACATCAACGACGTGAAAGGATATTTCAACGTTGGTTGGCATAAGCCACCAGAAATGCTGAAGAACAGAAAGGGGCATTTAACATCAGTGATTGATCCATCTTGGATGTTTAAGTCAAACAGACTGAATCATCCTTCAGGTCGACTCAAAAGCTGGAGGTCTTCATCGGGATGCTTCAACAGATTGGGACTTAAATCTGGTATGAGATCGGTAGGAGGGAACTGAAATCGGTTGCTCTCTACAATCGATAAGATACTGGTTTGATTGTCAGTTTGGTTCTTCTGATGGGGCAGAACAGGGGCAGAATAAGTACAATTTAGAGCCCTCCGTCATTGGCCTCAGGAAGGAACAATTCGTCTCCGTTTGTAGAGGTTCGACAATGACCAGGGCTCTCAACGCCACAGAAGCATCTCTCCGTCCTCATCAGAACTTCAAGATACCAGTTCACAGCATATATCCGCGAGAATCTCGGCCGCTTTCCCAAGTCTAGTGAGATTTGGCTTTTTTATACCAAACTAACAAACAAACCAGGGCTGGATTGTCAGTTTGCGGCTTAAGCCGTGAGAGAAGGTTGAACCACATCCAAAGAGAAGCGTTGAGAAATGAATGGGTTAAGTATGGTAGACTACAACTAGTGTAGCTACGAAACATCAAAATATAAAGTAACGTCGGGGAACGTTCAAAATGGAAGAACAGACTGTGTTACATTGTCCACGAACTAAAGATGGAATGCTGGGAGATCAGCTTTACCGTTGTTTGGATGCTACTTTAGATATTTCAGCTTCACTAGGACGTATATAGGGTAGCGAACTTGTGGCCTGCAAGCATTTCTGCCTCGAGTGATAACACCGGGTAGGTAGCAAGCAAGATGATAGTATGAGACATTGACGGCTCAGTTAAGTCAACAAGAGAGACAAGTATGTAAGGTTCATCAGAGTCATTAAACCTCTGAATTATCGAGTGTTTGGATGGCATGGCGAGTCGTCAAAGTAAAACGCTTCATTATGATACAAGACATGCCCAACCCAACGCTAGCTCTATTGCATGCCAATCTCTATGAACCGTCCATGACCTCATAGTTTGCCTCAGGTCGGTCATCGCTTTCAGTGCGGTAGAAAATGCAATAACATTTAAGCATAGAAGTTGACAGTCTATACACGTGGGTTAGTAAGCAGCACACAAGCACGGGATTCCCTAGGGGATCACTCACCTCCTTCTTCTTGGCCTGCACCTCGGAGATAGCGTCAACGTAGTGTTCGTGCCCGATCTGGTTCTTGCCCATACGGAGGGCAATCATGCCAGCCTCGACACAAACGGCCTTCAGCATGGCACCGCCAAACTCATCCGTGCTGCGCGCCAACTCGCCCCAGTTAACGCCGGGGTTGACCTTCATCTTCCTGGAGTGAATCTTGAGAATTTGTGCGCGTGCCTCTTCGTTCGGAAGGGGGAACTCGATCTTGCGGTCGAGACGGCCGGAACGAAGCAAAGCGGGGTCGAGGACATCGATACGGTTCGTCGCGGCGAGAACCTTGATGCGGTCGTCGGAAGCGAAACCATCGAGCTGGTTAAGGAGCTCCAACATGGTTCGCTGGACTTCACGATCGCCGGACTTCTCGCTGTCGAAACGCTTGGTACCGACGGCATCCAACTCGTCGATGAAGATGATTGACGGGGCCTTCTCTTTCGCTAGGGCGAAGCAGTCTCTTACGAGCTTGGCACCGTCTCCGATAAACATCTGCACTAGCTGGGGACCAGCAAGCTTGAGGAATGTGGCATCTGTCTGAGCGGCGCAAGCTCTGGCAAGTAGAGTCTTGCCCGTTCCGGGAGGTCCGTACATCAAAGCACCTATCTTGAAAGTTAGCAACAATGGCAGCGAGTGTTTGCTCCCTTTCAATCCAACATACCCTTGGGCGCCTTGATACCAATCTTCTTAAACCGTTCGGCTTCCTTCATGGGCCATACGATAGCCTCAACAAGTTCGTCGATCTGCTTGTCGAGACCACCGACATCTGTGTACTTCTCCTGAGGCTTCTCGTCGACCTCCATGGCCTTGACTCTGCTATCGTACTCGGCGGGCAACGTATCCAGAATAAGGTACGAATCCTTGTTAACACCGATGAGATCGCCGGGCTTCAACTTCTCGGGGTCGACCAACCCGATCAGAGGGAGGAAGATGGTCTGTCTGGTTGATGTCTTGATGACTGCCGATTTGCCCACGCGCGTGGCGTCCAAGTCGATGTTGGCGCCCTCTTCGGAGGACTCAGCGGTCGGGTCAAGGTCCAAAAGTTCGACGACGTTTCCTACGAGATACGGGAGTTGTCTAATGAGGCCAGCGTTAGTATGGAAAGGTGTGGCGGCTACTCGGGACAAGAGCGCCTGCGAGCCTTGGGGGAAAGGAGGGGATGCTTACCGGTTGTTAGCGATCTTTTCTTGGTTCTCCTTGATCTTATCCTTCATAGTGGCCCTCTCGTGTGATAACCGCTGGTATTCGCTCTTCATGATTCTGGCATCGTTTTCGAGGAGGCGCTTCCGCATCAAGATGTCCTCTGTGCTCAGACTCAGGATCTCCTCATCTAGGATGTCATCGGCCTCGGGCTCGGCATCCTTCATCTCGGCATCGCCATCTCCCTCCTTCTTGTTGTTCTTGTCCTTGTCCTGATCCTTCTTCTTGTCCTCGCGCTCACGGCGATCGAGGTCGTCGAGTTCCTCAAGGGTCGACATGGTTGACGCAGGCGGTTGCGAATGTGGGGTATCGGTAGGGAAAGTCGCAAGGGCGCAAGGTACGGGTTACTGATGTCCTGTATGTATCCTCCACGAAAGATGAAAAAGGGCGACGCGGAGTAGTGGTGGTTGGTGATGAGGTGAAAATCCCCGATTGTTTGCGTTGGTGGTTAGGAAGACCGTCGGTCGTGATTGCAGTGCAGTGCGTGGATGGTGGCAGTTGCGTGGTCGACTTGCGGCACAGAGCTTCGAGTGCTGTGGTTGACCAGGAGCTGGGCTGCAGGCAAAAGCGCGACGTAACAAGGCCGGGTACCTAACGCCCCACAGTACTTCAGCTCTAGACCCCACTCTGACCCCAGAGTGAACCAGCCACAGCTGACTAACCACACGGCATCGGCCATCCAGGTGCACGGTTATCATTCATCTGCTGTGCTTCATCCAATTTCGATGTTCACAAACTCTGAAACGGAGTTAAGGAAAAACCTTGAGCTTGTCCCTGAAGTGGCTCTGCATTGTTTCAAAGCAATCATCACCGGACTAACAATGCACCAGCGCATTACATTAGAGTACGAATAGGCCGCACACACGCCTCTCGTCAAGTATCAAGTATCAAGTATCAACTCTTCTCAGGACAACCACGATGCGGGAGGTATCCCGATCTCCCTTAACATCAATGACCACCACCACCACAACCTACTCGTCGTCCAAGATCCCGCTTGCTATCGGCCCAAAAATCGGTACTTCGTATCTGGAAACCAGTCAGCTTTTATCCGCATGTTCGAATCTCGGAAGACATACCTGTCTAACGTGTCGGCGTCCCTATAAGCATTAACAACCAGCCATCCTACCAACGCTAAATCCGCTAGAAATAACACCCAGCTAAGGAAACTCGACCAAGAAATCAACAAATGAAGCACAAACACCGCCGTAAAAAGCAGACTGGACTGCCATGCGTGGAACCTAACCCTCCCAGTCTCGCTGTTAGCAACTCTTCTTCTCGCGGATGCCTCAACAACAACAGCAAATGATGGGCCATTACTTACCTAACAAAATCACTCTTCCGCTCCAAAATCAACAGCAAAATCGCTCCCAGCGGCGGCACCGCCAAATACGCCAAACAAGCTTCATAATCTAGCCTCAACCCCAAGCTCGTATCAAACTCAGACACCATCCCCTCTCGAGCGCCCAGCGCATTGAAATAGTCGCCCATACCTCCTCCTACTCCTCCTCCTCCTCCACCACTGCCGCTCCCATTGCTGAACCCAATGCCACTACCGATCCCATTGGCGGTGCCAGGAGTAGCACCCGGACTCTGATACCTGCTGATGCCCTCACCCGACCAAGCACGATGTGGTTGCGGGTGTAGAAGTGGCGGAGGCGATACCTGCGCCGGTCGCTGTTGGTACTTGTTTCCGCTGCCGGGGGAGTAGGAAGAGCGGCGGCCGTAGTCCCATGATGTGCGTGGGGAGGAGGTGGAGTCGGGTGGTGAGATGGTGCGCCCATGCTCGGGAGGTGCGGCTTGGTAAGGTGCGAAGTCCATTGTTTTTGTTTTTGTTTTGCTTCTCTCGATGCAATTGTGTTGTGTAGTAGGTTGTGATGTCTCGTGTGCGAGTATTGGAATGCTCGTTTCGGTTCGTAGGTTCGTGGGTCGTTATGTCAGGTATGTAGCGTATCGTGCGTGGTGGTCTCGTAACTCGTTATCGTCCCTTCGTTCCGGTCGTTGGTGGGCTTTTGGTTTTGCAAGTGACTGGTACTCTGCCCGCGGGTGGTTCTGTTGATGGTTCAGGTTGACGCAAATTTACCATTGAGGGTAAAGAAGACGTATATACGTTCCGCGAACGAGAGATCGTAGATGGAATAACACGATGTCCAAGTCCGTATCTTGAAGGGTGGGCTGATGAGGTTGAGTGGAGTTGAAGACAGCGGGGATTGTGATGGAGATAGCTTGTGATGTGTGATGGGGTTTGACGAACGGGAAGCTTTCGGGAGGGGAAGGAGTCGGTAGCTCGGCGGCGCCTTTTTAGTGAGAAGCGGCCAAGATCATCATCGTGAAGATGCAAATGCAAGATGCTGTCGAGGCGCTATGCGGCCCCCGTTCGCTGCAATGCTGTATGTCAGCAGGGGAGGATTGTAGTCGTACGAAATTTCCCAACGGTCGATTCTTTGAAATTCGTGGTTTTTGTGTCGGACGGCAGCCCATGCGGACCAGTGGTTGAGTTGCAATGTCCAGGGCAGTCACTTGATGCCCGGTCTGGATTCTGAGAATGATTGGGAGGGGACGAGAGACGGCGGCAATGACAAGGGAGCGAGTGCAGGGGTGTAGCGAACGACTGCAGGGACCACCTCCCTTACACCGGGCCTTAACATCAGCGGGGTCGAGCCTAGCTAGACCTCACTTGATCATCAAGGTCCTCTGCTAAGAACCCGAAGCTGCACCGTGTTTTCAGAGATCTTCAACCCAACAGCCAGCATCGCAAACAACGAGACGGTAATTATTTGCGCTTTTACACATGTCTTTGTTACATTGTATTGTACAACAGATCTTTTCTACTCGATCTCTTACAAAGTACCAGCAACGCATCACTAGGTCCGGCAAGCCCGAGGAATATAAAGGACCCAGACCTTTGGCGTTTGTGGAGTAGGTTAAGCTCCAGTGTTGGTTCGCAAATAGCTTCACGCCGATTAGCTCTACTCCTTCTTCTCCTCCTCGCCCTCGCCTTCCTTCTTGGGGTTCTGCTCCTCCTCCAAGACACTCTTGCGGCTCTCCATGGTAAGCCAGAGGCTCTTGCCAGCACCCTCCAAAACGCTGGTAAGACCCATGCCGGCGCTCTGCAGCATGTGCACGAGCTGGGCGCGCAGACCCTCGATACCGTTCTCGATGCCGCCAACCCACTTGATACCGTCGTAGTCGAAGGCCTTGCCCTCGATGCGGCCACCGACTAGCAGGAGCTTCTGCAGACCAGACTGGCAGGTAAGGTCATAATAACCGGGGTTCTTCTTCCTGCTAGGCGCAGGGAAGGCCGGGGGACTGGGGGCGAGGACGCTTAGGGCGGCACCGAGATGCGCCGGCGACACGGAGGGCAGGGTGAGGATGGCGACAGGTCCGACGAGGAGAGGAGCGAGCTGGCCGTAAACGGTCTTCTCAACGGCCTCCTGGTTCTTGGTAGCCTCCTTGACAGCCTTCCACGCATGCTTCGACAGATCGTGGTTGTATGTAGCGGGAACCTTGGTACCCGTGGCTGTTGTGGCCGTGGTGGGCTCCACTGTAGAAGGGTCGAAGAACTCGACGGTCTTGAGCGCAACGTCGAAGATGCGCGTGCGGACAACCTGGAGGTGGATCTTGGAGGTGATATCGGGAGCGCCCTCAGGGACGGGAACGTTGCTCAGGGCAAGGGTGAGCTCTCGCCTTATCGCGGCCCACTCGATAGCGGTAAGGTTGTTGTGTTGGAAGATGAGCATCAGGGGGGTCGAGCGGAGCATCGAGGTGTAAGTGCGCAGAAGTTGCGACTTGCGCGTATCGACGGGACGGGCGCTCGGGGGTTGGGTAGGCGGCACATAGTCGTCGGGTAGCCTGAGGTGGCCGGCGGCGGCAGCGCGTTGTGTTGAGGCCGTCGAGAAGGCGGATGTGAAGGTGGAGGGCACCAGCAGGGCGGCCGACCTGGACGAGATTCTGGAAGACTTGATGGCAGAACCCAGGCCGCGGACGGCCGGGCGACTTAGTCTGAGGGACATTCTTGTTTCACATTGTGTTAATCATAAAGGACGCAGACTGGTTGTCATATCCGGGGGGCCGGAACTTACTTGTGAAGTAGTGAACAATCTCGTGCTCCGTCAGTCCCCCGGAGTGATAAGTCCCAGTCCCCGTAATCGCGGCCGGGCTGCTGGCGAACAGAGTCCCGAAATTTTGGCGCCGCGTCCCCAATGCCGGAACGCACTGACCACCCGGTCTCCCGCTTCGCTACGAAATCATTGCCTGCCGCAGCTGTTTCAAGATGCCAAGACCTGGTAGCAACTCACCGTCCGCAATTCTGCCAGCCCATTCAGGCTCATTTGCGGTTGCGATCTGCGGCTGCTGGGTGCTGAACCCCTGCATATCTGCCCCGCTGGTGCCCGTTATCGCGGGGCACTCTGATGGCATTGGATGCCATGGATCATTGGGGAGAACAAAGCACACTGTAGATGGCATTCCCGCTGCCGTGCCGCAGCGACTTTCCTTGTGCTCGCTTCCGATCCACGAAATGAGTCAACAACAGCCAGACTCTCACTCTTCACAAGCTCCCAGGAAGCCGGTATTACTCAATTGGCCTCCCTGACCAGCCTGACAACTGTCAAGACCAGGCAAACAACTTTGATCCCGGAACACACTCCACCTTATCATCTCCAGAACCATGTCGGCGCAACAGCAACAAGCGGCACCGGCGACCGCGGCGGAAGACCTCCCGAAAATCAACATCAAGAAGCTCCTCACCCGTCTCTGGCCCCTCGGACACCCCGACCCTGTGACGCCAGATGAGATCGCCGATGCCATCTCCTACTTCTTCACCAACCAAATCTCCGATGTCCAGGCCGGCGCCCTGCTCATGTGCCTGCACTTTACCGGCCTCGACCGGAGCGCCGAAGTGCTATCCAAGACGGCCCAGGTGATGCTGAAGGCCGCTGCTCAGACCGACCTCGAAGAGCTCCGTCAAGTCATTGAGAAGCGCGGCAGACAAGAAGGAGCCTACAATGGCGGACTCGTATGTCCCCTCTACCACCCACCCGCCCTCTCGCCATCGTCCTCCCCCTTCTCACCCGTCCCACCTCTACTGTCCTTACTAACCACCTCCCCGATTCCAGTGCGACATAGTAGGCACAGGCGGCGACTCCCACAACACCTTCAACATCAGCACCACCTCCTCCATCCTCGCCTCCTCCCTCCTTCTCGTCGGCAAGCACGGCAACAAAGCCTCAACCTCCAAGTCCGGCTCGGCGGACCTTCTCGCGTGCGTCCCTCCCCGCCCGCCTCAGATCTCCCGCATCCGTCCCGAAACCGTCTCCTCTCTCTACTCCCAATGCAACTACGGCTTCCTCTTCGCCCCCGTCTTCCACCAAGGCATGCGCCACGTAGCGCCCATCCGCGCGCAGCTCCCCTGGCGCACCATCTTTAACCTAGTCGGTCCTTTGGCAAACCCACTGGACGCGCTGGTAGAGGCGCGAATGATCGGAGTCGCGCGCAAGGACCTTGGTCCCGTGTTCGCGGAAGCGCTCAAGATGGGCGGGGCGCGCAAGGCCATGGTTGTCTGCGGCGACGAGGAGCTGGACGAGATCAGCTGCGCCGGGCCGACGCTTTGCTGGACGATCAAGCCCACGGAGGAGGACCCCGAGGGCGAGCCGGTGGTCAGCCACTTCTTGCTGCACCCGAGCGACTTTGGACTGCCGGCGCATCCGCTGTCGGAGGTGTCGCCGGGTAAGGAGCCGATTGAGAATGCGGCGATCTTGAGTAAGATTCTGAACAATGAGATGCCGGATGATGATCCCATCTTGCACTTTGTCTTGATGAACACTGCGGCGTTGTTCGTGGTGTCGGGCATTTGCGAGGCGGATACGAGTGATATGGGACATGGTGACGATGGGCAGGTTATCAAGGAGCGTGGACCGGGAGGTGGCCGTTGGAAGGAGGGTATCAGGAGGGCGAGATGGACTATCAAGAGCGGCGAGGCGGCGCGGCAATGGGCCAAGTTTGTGGAGGTCACGAATAGCTTCAGCGCATAAAGTGTCAATGTTATTGTTTTCCTGTCGGGTTAAGTACAGATATGGTTCTGTGTGGTGATGTGAAGGTTACAAGCCTAGCTATATGGTATATTTTAGTTCCTAAAGACCCAAATCTGTTCTCCCGCCATGATAGTTTAGTTCTCGCCGTTGTACGTAAAGCTGTGAATTTTCCCATGACCTATCTTTTGGCGCCATTGTTTGTCTGACAGACTCTCACAAGTGACCTTGACGCCCATTGCGCCTATGTGAGCCTCTACCCCGGCCGTGACCACCACCTCGACCACGTCCATGTCCATGTCCACGGCGCCGATGGGAATTATGACCATTGGTCGTCGACGATGAACCCTCCTCGGTCTCCTATCTCGAGAGGATCCCCCTCACAACTCCCTGCAACGTGGGCTTACCATCGATCAACAGGTCGTAGATACCGGTCTCCGCTCCCGTACCATGCTCCAACCACTTGGCAAGCAAGTCATTGCTTTCCTTGGGCTTGACATTATCATCTCTCGTTCCAACAGTGATATGCGCAACACGGTTTGTGCACTTCCACTTCGGCTCTGCGGGCTCGCTGCCATCGGGGTTGACGTTCTCGTCCCCGGGCCTGGGAATCAGGCGAACCACGATGGCCATGATACGATCATCATAAACCACACGCTCAAGCTGGACGTCGATCTCGCCGAGCTTTCCGTCCGGAGAGTTAGGTCCTTCAAGCTCGTTGATGCGCAGATATCTGTCCCAGAGCTGCGGGTTCTCCTTGGCACCAGCTTTGTGCATCAGAGTGACATGAAACTTGGGCTGTACGCGGCGTGTGCCGTGGAGCTGCTTGAAAAAGCGAGACTGCTCCGGGCCGGCAGCAGCGAATGCCTTCTCGAGAGTGCTGAGCACATCCTTGGTCGTCATGTCGACGGACATGTACTCCAGAGGCTTCTTTTTCTGCTTCTGCTGTTGCTGCTGGCCATTCTGCTTGGGCTCCTTCTTGTTCTTGTTACCACGGTCGGGGATCACGTGGCGCAAATCAGGCTTATAGCCTTCGAGGGCAACTTGGATGGCTTCGTCCATTTCTGCTGCAGAGGGGATGTTTGGCATGAACTTGGGGTACATGCGATGAAGCTCCTTGATGACAATTTCCAGGTTCTGTCTGCTTCCTACGGCGGGATCGAGGTCGATGATGTCGTCAAATTCCGAGTCGGGCTTCTGTTCTGGGTCGCAAGGCTCGAAGCGGTTGATAAATCCCTCCATGATGCCGCGAACCTTGTTCATATCCGAGGCGGCTTGGATGGTCTGATGGTTATCGCCTCGTGCAAAGACACGATCCCGGCAAACCTCGCGGACTTTGTCGAGATCATTGTGAACGAAGTGGAGCGCAACAAGCCGCGCGCGGGCGTGCTGGATCTTGACGTCGGTGATGAGCTGTTTACGCTCATGCTTCTGCGCATTGTTGCGGTCGGCAAAGACTGCGGGGACACCTTCGTCCAGAATGTCGAGAAGAGCCTTGGTAAAGCGAGGCGGCCGGGCTTTACCCGTGATGTTGTCGTTTTGAACGTGACCCCAGCCAAACAAATGAGTGAGAGCAAGACCAACTGTTGTCTTTCCGCAGCCGATGGTGGCAATAGGGACCAGGATGATATCGCCTTCAACGTCAGCGGCAGCTCCTCCCCCATGCAAAGTCTCAAAGTTGGCAGCATCGGAACCCTTGATGTTCTTGAAAGTGAGGAAATCGTTTCGGAGAGCGATAATTCCGTGGTTCTGGTTGTATCGCTTGGCCAGCTCCCGATCACCCGCTAGACGCTGACGAGCGTAGAGAAGATACTCCTCGGTAATCTTGACGTGCTTCTTGAACTTGGGCGGCTTTCCTGCGATGATCGCCTTGGTGCACTCACGCCACTGTCGATACATCAGATATGGCTCTTCGAACTTGTACTTGAAGAACCAATCCTGGAAGGGCTGCTGCCCAGGGTTATAAGACATCTTGCAACGGATGACAAAACCCTCCACATCGCGGCCATCGTGGGCGCCACTTTCAGCTACCTCCTCAAGGAATGCCTTGACCTCGTCGATGGTATCAATGACGATCAGGCCAGTCTTGATGAAGCCCCAGTCCTCAGCGAATTTTTGAACGACAGGCGAGGGGTAAGTCATGAACTCGGGGAGGTTGAGGTTCATGCCATGCAGATACAGGCCTGCCTTGTCGGGCCCGTATGCCAGAATGTGCTCTTCGAAGCTGTCGTCGCAGAGCTCTGCCACGGCCGTGACATTCCGTCTCCTCAACTCCCGTGCGAGATCGGCTTTTGTCTTGCCAATGCGTGCCAACTGCTCCTCCAACCTGCGCTCGCCAGCGCTGGCATGGCTGGTTTCGACATCACTACGGTCGCCAGTCGAGTGCTTGCTGCAGACGAGCAGTGTGTCGTCGGCAAGACCACTGACGAAGATGATGCAGCCGTTCTCCTTCAGCGTGAGTTCGTAAGGACCCTGCGTCCTGGTCCTGATGTTTTCCCACTTGGTCTCCGTGACCTCGTCGACGTTGAAGAACTTGTCGTAGCCACGGGTGGTGATCTCTGGTGCTCCGTTCTTGTCTCTGGTGGTGAAGAGACCACGAGCATATGTCGGTAGGTCATGTTTCTTGTAGTCCCAGTCATGGAACCGCCACGAGTCGACACGGATGTGGTCGCGCGACTTGGCGACTTCGTAAGTCGTCTTTTTCACTTTGAGGCTGGTCTTTTTCTTGGCGCCATTCTCTAGCCCGTTGACCATGGTCGCGACCTCTTGAACATCCTGGCTGACATAAGGGACCTTGAAGTTGTCTGCAATTTTGCTGTACTCAGTGGAAGCAGTGTATTTGGCGGCCAATGGGCCTCGGAGATCGGTGAGTGGTTCGTCCATGGTTGGGTTGTGTTGTGGCGATGAGGTCGTGAAGGTGCGGACTGGCGCCAGTAAGAGCGCTGGGCGTAGTTGGGGAAGTTTATAGCGGGGGTGAGGGAAGAAGTTTTGGGGTGGATATGACGGCCAGAAGCTTCCGGCTTCGACCTTGCAATGAAAAGGGTTGACAAAGAGGGTGCTGTTCCAAAGCGTAGGAGTGATGTTTGAAAAAGCAGCAAAATGGTGATCAGAGATGAGTGATAGAGGTATTTTTATAATGGGAAGTGCTTTGGATTTCTTTGCCGTCACTGCTGCCTTTCGTGGGTCAAGTGTTCGGCCGTATCTGTGAACCACCTTCTGCAGTTGCAGCTGCTGTCCTGAAAACCTGAACCGCATTTACCTCTAGGATGGAAGGAGCTTGATGGGACGAAAAAGGGTGCCTCTGTTACCCAGCCCTATGTAAATTCGTTAGTCACTACACTACCACTTGGTAGAGGGAATCACATCAGCGAATTGGGTCTAAATTACTTTTCGGCCAGTATAATCGCGAACATGGGGTGATTACTGGGGGCTGATAGGCTGCCTACAACATCTGCTGTTCGCCGACACAGTCATTGTGGCTTAGTTCGAGAACATCAACAAACCTCAAGGGAGAAAAGACATGGTAGACTCTTCGGGATCTGCTCAATTCCTTATTGTACGACAAGTATTGGCGAATAGCTGATCGACGTTGTCACCAACTTCAACTCCATCTCCAACTCAACCACTTAGACCATCACGATAACTCACTTTCCAACCTTCTAATGAACCTGGCGGATGAAATGTCCCGTCCCGTCTGTGCCATTTGTATTTCGTCACGGTAGTAGAGGTAGGCTGGTGTAAACCATATGGGTAGCCATTAGAGATCGATAGTTTCCGTAAATCTGGAATTTTTACCTTTCCTTACACTTTTCCTTACTGTAAGATACGTAAATATCCGTACGCAGAGCCCGTACACCCACCCAAATTCTACTATATACCAGTTAATCTCTGGCATACACACAACAAGGTAAATCACTAGAAATACTACATTTCTGCATATCGACTTACCCCCTACCCTCGCCGTCGCCAGCTCTTTATTTATATGTTTATTTATATCCATATTACAATACTTCTCCAACGTCATCTTCAACTCGTATAGAGGGAATTCACCCTCGTTAATAACCCCGGCTACGTCTCCTAGTGTACTCTCTATCGTTACTATCAATATCGAGCGGTAATAAATATTACCCGCCTTCGCTAGTACTTTACTAAATATAAAGGGTATACTCTCAATTGTATATAATAACAAATTAACTAACGCGAGGATATACAATAATACACCCTCATATTAACCGATTAGTAAAAGGAAAAAGTCGACTTCCATACCGCTAAAATAATCCTTCTCAATAATAAGAGATTTACCTTCTTCAAAAGCAATCCTATAAAGGTATTCCTCTACTTACTAATTCCCTTCTATACCCTACTAAACGCGGTAATTATATATAACGAATAATTACTTAAAGTTTACGACTCTATAAAAAACTAATTAAAAACTACCTTTATTAAATCTACCTAGTACATTAACATTTTCTTTAATAAATCTAATAACTACGCTAGCCATTGTATTATTAATATCTCCTTCGCTATACTCAACGGACTATCATTCTTTTAGACTAATAAAAATACTAATATTACTAAATATACCTCCGCTAACTTCGCCGCTATCGTTAACGCTATCGTCGTTAATATAATAAGGGGGAGAATAAGTAAAATAAACGCGTTTATTACTAATACTTATAATTCAATACGTCGCGCTACGCTAAATTTAATTGCTAATAATTATTTTAATTATACCTTTATAGTTCTTTCTAACTCTTATTCCTTTTAATTACTTATAAAGAATATATTCAATATCCTTACTTTTAAAAATATAACCTAAAAAGTTAATTATTTAATTAACTACTTTTAAGTATTGAAATTACAACTATCCCGCTTACGAATACTGATATTATTATATTGCAATGTAAGGGGCTGGCGCCCAGAGGTTGTGCCTAGTCTACAGCTAGGGCATTCAGACCTCTGACCGAGGCGGTCAGACCTGCTTACTTTGCCTACTCCCTGATTGGATAGGCTTCTAGTACATAGGTGTTCTCTGTAGACCTTTTGGGTCTGTAGGCCTTTTTCTCCTTGTTAACAATTTTAAGCTCTGTTCCACCCCTACTACTGTATATACCTAGTAGACCCATAACATATTATTAACCCTCTTCTTCAATTATTTTTTAGATCGCCAGCTTCCTTCTACGACGTCTACACAAGAGAGTCTTTTTGACTATCTATACGATTCTTTGCCATACCCACCTTTTTCTTCGTCTTTACAAGTATTCCCCAACTCTATAGATATAGCTTCTTCTATCCCTTAGGCCTAGACCGCTAGCGAACGTTAGCAATAGTTTACTACCGCTATCGAAACCCTAATTAACTAAATAGTTGAACTCAAAGCATCCTAGGCGACCGCTCCCGTATTTATAAACCTAAAGCTAATCCTCTCCTACCTTATTAAATTTTTTAGGGAGAAAAAAGATTTTAATACCTAACTCTATACCACCGAGGCAAAGTTTTACATCGATAGTTTCGCTACTAGTAATTTAAAGGCTCAATTTTACTACTTCTTCTCTAACCTTTTACCCCCTATTTAGAAGACGCTTCTTTCCTTCGCTAAATAGCTTGCAAACTGTACCTCTCCTGACCGGTTATTATAGAAGATCCGCCTATCCTATAGAGATATAAATGCTGATAAACGTACTGCCTAAGAACTTCTCGAAACCCTATAAGCTCGAAACGAAGCAATTAAACTATTCCTCCTCCGTTTCAACGAGGTCTTCAATAGAGCCTAGAATGACTAGATAGATAGTTCGAAGTAGACTTTCCTTATAGGTAACCTCAATAAAGAATGGAAACTGCGGTTGAAGGAAAAGACGGACGTTCCAAAGAGCTACGAGGCTTTGTAAGAATATCTTCGTCGTTTGGATAGCAATAATTATCTGGGGGATGTGGACGCCGGTAATCCTATATAGATTGGCGTTATAAGAATAATAAGAGGGAGATATAGTAGTAGTTCGTCCTCTGAGGTTAGAATTATTATTCTTAAATAATAATAGAGGTAGAAGAAGGAAAACCGTTGTATAGGCTATAGCTCCTCCTAATACTAAGTAAGAGAATATTTTGTTAATAAGAATAAAGATAAGGGTAAAGCTACTGTGCGGTTATAGAGTATATTTATTAATCCAGTTGGAGATTCTAATGATAACGAAATCTACGATAACGAGTAGAAACTACCCAAAGGGGTTGAGAATCGGCCTAAAAAGACTATATTTAGGAAAGAGTTGAACTATATATATTATACCATTTGTTGGAGGGGCCGGCTAGCCTAGATCTGGCCTTGTGGGTTCCTTAGATTTGGATAATAGCCTCTATAGTAACCAATATAGGATTATAATAGGCTATAGCTATATGAGTTGTTAATTACTAAAAGGAGAGGTCGTCTAATTATTACCCTATAAGTATAAACGGTAGAAACTACGCTAACTATATACTGAAGTTTCAGTACTATTCCTAGAAGAAAAGGGGGAGGCTACGGACTATCGACTAGATAGTATAGTTACCGGCAGCGCTCCTATTAGTAGAATAGATAGGACGAGGGCTTATACGGATAGATAGGGCTGGGATTTTATATAGAGGTTCTAGTTGCATACGCGTATAATACAAGTATTATGGTCGATATAATTCTTAGGGGCTCAATTTTCATGACGGTCTAGTTGTCTACGTTTTTATTACTGTACTCTAGTCATTTAGGGTATTTAGTTTGGGAGTGTTCGTTGGAGGCTCTACGGTATAGATAGGAGGCCACTTATTAGATTCTAAGGATATTTCTTTGTATATAATAATTTTCATTATTATCTCTATATGTGAGGGGGAATTGGGGGGTAATGTAAGGAGTTGACACCTAAAGGTTATGCCTGGTTTGTAGCTAGGGCATTCAGACCTTTGACCGAGGCAGTCAGACCTACTTATTTGGCCTACCCCCTAATTAGCTAGGCTTCCAGTATATAGGTGTTCTCTACAGACCTTCCGGGTCTACAGGCCTTTTCTTCCTTATCAAAAATCTCAAACTCTGTTCCACCCCTACTGCCGTATACACCTAGTAGACCCGTGATATATAATCGGATTATTTCCCTACTAATAAAATAAATATTCCCTATTTTAACGTTATTTATTTAATATAGTATTTTAACTAAAACAATATAATCACTCGATAGGGATCGTGATATAAATTAATTATTTCGATTAAGAAATCGAAATTTACACTGTAAACCTTCACTATATAAATATAATTCTATAATTAATATTAAAACGCCCCGGGCGTACAAAAAAAAGGCGCTACTCCTATATATTATAATTAAGTATTCGAAATCATCGAGAGCGCGCAATTCTAAAGTAATATTGAGAAGCTCGAACGCTTCTTTTTACTACTTTACGAAGCCTAACTCGCCTCTAAAGTAAATTGAACGTACGTTAGTTACATTATCAAAAATTAAATTAAAATTTAGGAGGTATAGACAACCATTTAATATTCTATACCCGTTATTAAATAGTAAGAGTTCGAATGTTTCTATACGGTGAAGAAAATTAAATAATTAAATCTCCTAAATTAATTAGGGTTCCTTTTACTACTTAGTACTATTATAGAAGTAATTAAAATAATTTGACCTCTTATTCTAAATATCCAAATAATAACTATTACCTTCTGTTAATAATATATTCATTATTTTAATGTACCGGCGGTACGAATTATTGAAAATTTCTTTAATTTTAAAATTCACGAAGGGATATACGCAGCGTATACTTAAATATAGGAGTTTAATTTCGAACCTAAATAGTTCTGGGTATATATAATAGACTGTTAATCTATTATAACGCTATTCGTAGTAAAGGTATTCAATATAACAACGAATAATATCCCTTATAAACAAACCTTTTCGGCTATAAACTTTCTAAAATCACCTATATATAATTGATTATTAAAGGAGCAGATAGATTAATCTACCTTTATCTTTATAAATGGGAAGTATTTATATAGTTTAAATAGCTCCTTTATTGTATTAATTTACGAGAAAAGAGAAGTATATTTAATAGAAATCGAGGAATACTTATTTAATAATATACTAGAAAGTAATTAACTAGAAGAAGGGTAGAAAGAAAGTAAATAAACTTCCCGATTAGGAAGCGAGTTAATAAATACTATGAAAAGACTAGTCGATATTAATCTATATAATTATCTTTTCCTATAGATTTCAACGATTTCAGCTAGTTTGGGGTATCCTACCTAGTTTGGTGGGCACAAAAACACTAAAAAATGGCATATATTCTATTATGTGACCTGTAAATCTAGTAAGAGATTTTATTTTTACGCTACTTTTACTGAAATTACTTTACTTGACCGCTTACAGGTATTACAGGTCGATCCCTAGTAGCCATACAGCATTTCACAAGCGAATATGCACAGGGTTCGGGTTAGCCGAGGGGAAGGGGCTTCGAACGGCGGGGGTACAGAACCGCGCTGTGCGTCACACGCCGAAGGGAACAAGAGGCGCCAGGGCAGGGGTTCGTGGGAGCAGGGCATCGCTAGGATTCCATTGGAGTGCCCCGCATTGGCTTGACATGTCTCCACTAAAATTTTGTCACAAGGCTCGCCCAAGTCCGTCCATCTGTCTAACTTCGGTTCCCAGTCTGCGTAGCTGTGCCTGTCTTCACCAATACATACGCTCTATCTTGATACTCGTGAACTGCCAGCTCCGCCTCGAAGACCGAATCCACCCACCAAAATGTCGAACAACCCATACCTCCTCGCCGCCGATAACCCGGAGGCGTGTATTGCCCTCCTTCGCGAGAACCCCTCCCTGGCCTCGGGTCAGGACGAGCACGGCTACTCCCTCATTCACGCCGCCGCCAGCTACAACCACCTGGACCTCTTGCGGACTCTTGTCGGCGAATTCAAGGTCCCAGTGGACCTCAAGGATGAAGATGGCGAGACAGCGCTCTTTGTCGTCGAGACCGTCGCCGCTGCCAAGGTCCTGGTCGAGGAGCTCAAGCTGGACACCACCATCGTGAACGACGAGGGTCAGACCGCGAGAGAGAAGATCGAGGCCGAGGAGGATTATCCTGAGGTCGCAGAATACCTCAGGGGTCTGGAAGGCGAGGCCAACATCTCCGTCACCGCCAATGGCACGACAAACGGAACCACGCCAGCGGAGCTCCCCCCGGCTCCCGAGGGTCTCCAAGTACAGATCGGTACAATGAACGAGGCGGAGGATGCTGGAGAGCCGGATCCCGAGTTCCGCAGGCGGATTGAAGAGCTTGCCTCGAGGGAGGATTTCGAGACTGCCGAAGGACAGGCGGCGTTGCGCCAGTTGGTGGAGGATGCCATCCTAGGACCCAGACAGGAATGAGACATTTCGCCGAAAATGCCAAGAACTTTTCACTCATGGCTCTTGATCTCCCACATTACATATTCCCCCGACGCTCCTTGGGGCCGAAAAAGAGAAACTTGGGAGTTGTCCCCCGCCATGCCCTTGGAGAAGGTCGTCGTACTGAACGAGAACCATGCTTTCGAGGGCAGCCCAGCAACGAGATCGAGGAGCGTCTGTCGACACCAAGACGGCGCAAGGAAACCCTGCCAAGTAACCTTGCAGATTTTGCCTTGTTGGCCGTCGCCAGGCACCTGGTATCGGCAAAGATACGGATCGATCTGGTCGCCCACCTGAACCCGGGGGCTCTGCAGTCGGACGAGTGATAGCCACTCATAGAGCTCGGTGGAGAAGTATTCGAGTTTCTCTCTGCCCTCTGGTCCGATTGCGTCAATCGGGGGCTTCAAGGTCGGCAGCATGGCGTCGATGTTTTGCAGGACACTGGGCTCTGATGTGCACCTGGTCGGAGCATGTGGCGCGATGGGATCTGGATTGGGGACTGAAGTGATGTTAGTGGGTGTGCCGTAGGTCAAGTAATGGACGAGTTGCTTACCGGTGGAAGAAAGATTGCAGAATAGCCAAGTGACTGGTGTACCGAAAGCGTTTTTGCTCGCATAGATCAGTCTGTCGAACCCCTTCTTGCCTGGCACCATCGATGGACTTGTGAGGTCGATCTCAACGACTGTGATCATCACCTAGTTAGTAACCATCAGACACAAGTACCCTAATGAAAAGAAACTTACCCCAACGGGGCTTCAAGCCACGCTTTCCCTTCACTCCGTCAGGCTTGCCAACAAGACCTGCCCTTTCATACGCTTCCTTGTCCAAAAACATTGTTAACATCCCTGCATTATTGCATTAGCAAAGTATCCATTGCAGTCTGCACTCGTGGACTGCTATGCGGCGTACCGTTTCTGAGTGTAAACACGTTGTCGATCCCTTTTCTCCCTTCTGACAGCATCATAACATCCCCTAGAGTATGCTTTGTTAGTTTTGGCTACGTTCTTATTTTTCGAGAATGTTGAGTCCTACCCTTCTTGATGTGCTCGGCAAAGAATGCACCCAAGAGGATGTCATGCAAGGACATAACCACTCGTTTGTACTCAGGTGCTGCCCTTTCCTTCACAAGTTTCTGAACAACCTCAAAGGTTTCTTGGGAAATGATGAGTTCAACCTGCAAACAAGTATTAGTGAATGCTTTCCAGACACTGAAGAAAAAATAACACACCCTGTTGATGAAGTCCTGGCCGGCAACTGTTGACCATGGCTTGCTTTTGGTTGGTGGCTGATTAGGGTCAAGATGGCCCATTACCCCGTACGTGACGAAGCATTTCGACGACTGGTAAACCGAAGGGGTCGGAAACGAGAGCATGGTTATTCTGATAGGATTTCAGATGCTGCCGTATGAATCGTCGATTTTCCTGTCGTTACTTGAAGTCAGTCGAAGCTGCGATTCATGTGCTGTATGGAGCCAAGAAGCTCAACGGTAGTGGAAATTGAAAAGCTGGGGTATGGATTATACCCCTGACGTGAGGCCAAAATGGGTATGCCCCACGTTGAAATGACAGGGCACCACTCACATCCCTACCAGATCTGCAAGTCAGGGACCTTATCAATGGAACCACACCACGCTAAAGATCAAACCACACACCCTCCTGCATGTGTTTTTGAGTAACTTCAACTTCAACTCATGACAAAATCTCACTGTGACAACAAATTGTTGGCCGAGATCATTCTTCTATAACACGACACTCGGAGGCCCATCTCTTGGTTATTACATCTTGCAGCAAATAATGGGTCGTACATGAACAGCACGGAACCCTAACACTATCTCGAACCATCCTCACCATCACCAGATTCCATATCGCAAAATGCCCGAAATGGAATATCTCATCCGTTTCTCCCAGTCCCACGAGACTTTCCGTCTCCCCGAGATTGAGGCCCTAGCAATAGTAGAAGGCATCGACCTCAAAGTTATCTCATACAGCCTAGAGGCAGGTTTCTTTCAAATTTCACTTCCCCAAATCACTCAATCCCTTCCTGCTCCTTCTCAAACCCCCCATAGACTCACCCAACTAACACCCACCCACTCACAGTCCCCCTTCTGCATAGTCTCCCTCCCCTCCCCCTCCGCCGCACTTCGCCTCATCGCGCGCTCCATCCTCGTAATCTCCATCCACGAGCTCTGGGGCCACGGCGCCGACCTCCCCGCCGTCCACTCTTCCGTCCGCTCTCGCACCGAGCCCTTATGGTCCCAATACTTGTCCTGCTCCTTCAAATTCACCATCGACTCGTACCAAGGCTCTCGCACCAACGACCAAAAACTCTCCATCATCAACTCCTTCGCCTACCTCGGTTTCGCGGGACCCATCAAGATGCGTTCCCCCGACGAGGAATTCATCCTCTTCGAAGACTGGCCGTGGAACTCCACGCCCCTCGGCATCCCCGATCCAAAGTATTACTACTTTGGTCGGTACCTGGGTACTTCCTCCCGGGAAACGCTGCCCAAAAAACTGGACCTCAAGAAGAGGAGATACATCTCCACGACATCCATGGACGCCGAGCTAGCGCTCGTGACAGCCAACATCGCGCTCGCTGGCCCGGGAAAGTTGATCTACGACCCCTTCGTCGGCACCGGCTCCTTCCCCATCGCGTGCGCACAGTTCGGCGCACTGACTTTTGGGTCTGACATCGACGGCAGAAGCATCCGGGGTGACGAGAAGAAGAAGACCCTAAGGGGGAACTTTGAACAATACGGTCTCACCTCCTGTCTAGGCGGCATGTTCACTGCCGATTTGACCAACACGCCTATACGCAAATCTGCCCTTCTTGGCACTTCCACTTCCACTTCTACCTCCTCTTCCCCTGGACAACAACAACAAAAAAGTAGTGACGGGGTAACCGGCAGGATATTCGACGCGGTAGTGTGCGACCCGCCCTACGGGGTGCGCGAAGGGTTGAAGGTCCTGGGGGTGAAGGACCCGGAGAAGTGCCCCTGGGTGATCCCCAAGGGCATGGAGATGTACAAGGATCCGGATTTCATCCCGCCCAGGAAGCCGTACAGCTTCTTGTTGATGTTGGATGATATCCTGCAGTTTTCGGCGCAGACGCTGGTGGATGGGGGACGACTGTCGTTCTGGATGCCGACGGCGAATGATCAGGATCAGGAGATTCCGGTGCCACAGCATCCTTATATGGAGGTTGTTGCTGTTTGCGTGCAGGACTTTAACAAATGTGAGTTGGCAGATGCTCATCACAAGACTTGTTAGCGGATTTTACTGACTTTGTTCTTATTCTAAAGGGTCCCGACGACTAATAACATACCGCCGTATTCCCGACGCCGAGGTTGAGCCTGCAGCCATCAAGGCATATGAGCAGGCCAAGGCAGAGCGCGCCGTTGAAGAAGGCAAGACAGCGGACGACCTGAACCCCTTCCGCAATGCCTACTTCAAGGGGTTCAAGAACTGATTCACATGTCAACACTTTGCCTCGCCAGCTTGTTGCACGGGTACGCATTTATACACACATATGTGTACGTTCTTCCAGTCATGTTCCATTTAGATACCCCCTAAGAATTAAGACATGTACAAGAAATGAGTCTTTGCAGCGGGCAACCCGAGATATGGCGAATCCTGCTCGGATTGGCACCCGTCCACCTTCGGTCCCCGTTCATGCTGACTCTCCATACGCTTTATACGCCCTTCATCCACCCTGACGTCTAATGAAGAACCTCATCATGGCTTATGGGACTAAAACCCCAGACCCTGTTAACCCCCTTGACCCTTCGCTGACTCCCCATAACAATGCGTGCGTGTGTGGTATGTAAGTGTCTTTCCTCGTGCGTCTCTGTTGTCCGTCAAAAAAGACTGCGCTCATGCCGCTGAAGCAAACCCCCAACATGTCGAATAAATAACTATTGATATCAGACCCGGATCCCAAAACAGATAAGCAATAACAGCAACATAGAAAGCAAATGACAGCGTGTGGTGGTATGAAAACAAAAAGCCGACCGATGCAGATGAGAACCCACTAAAACTTGAGTCAATCGCCCGCCAGCGTCGCTGTGAACAGTCCCGTTCACTGATGGGTTGTTTCCTGGGCATTGATTCAACACATACCCGCCCAAAGCCACATTTTGCCTGGGCTTGATTATGTCTCTGGACCGCGTCCCAGCGGTCGGTTTCCATGAACGCCCGAGTCGGTTTCAGCCCTATCAAGGCCGCGGAATATTGCCGGCCTTCCGATGTGACGTCCCTGCGTCGTCTCATCTGAACTCCATTGCGCCAAAGCACCCTTTATCTTGGACGTGTTTTAGCTCTAATTGTTGGAACCTGCGATCGAAGACACACGGTTAGCAGCAGCCCTCTCGTATTATTTGGATCAGACAGTGGTAACGGCTTACTTTTCGCTCTTGCTGTGAAAGTAGATTCCTTGAATTGTCCCGAGGACCTGGTTGAAGCAGATATAGTAGAAGCCCTCGAAACTAGCACCGTTGATGGTTTTAACGCGGTGGTTCGGGACCAAAAACTGCTCCTTCCATCGCATGAAAATATTGTCTTTCTGTGCCACATCCTTAATCTGAACGCCGCCCCTTTTCGCGGTTTTAGCGTACGGTTTGAACGCGACGAACTTGTTCCAATGCGAGATATCGATCTTGTCATTTGCTCCCCATTGCGGATGTTGAGTGAGGAAGCTGTAATGTGGGCCGATGATTTCGCCTTCAAAATATGTCGTCAAAGTCGGGTGGGTGTCAGTAAGACCTAGACAAAACGGCTCCCGGTTAGCATATTTCGTCCCCTTGCTTTTGCCTTTTTGATTGTAACACAAGATGAGCTGCCTCCCGCTACGTACCCTGAATCCGCAGATAGCCGCATAAGAAGGACTCGCGGAGATCGACCTGCTTGATTTCCACTTCCACGTCGTAGCGTGATCTCTCCGACTTTTGCATGCCCGAAAATTTACTGCCTGGGCGAAGATAGGACGATGGCGTGGACGGTATCAATCTTGTCTGGCAGTACTCGTAGCTGAGCCCTGCGAGTCCATAGTCGTGCACCCAGGGTGCGTCATTGCCAGTCAAATCGACTTCTTCTACTTGACCAAGAGTTGTAGCACTCGGCGCAACAAGCTCGTCACCTTGTTTTCGACTCCTATGCCCACCAATCACCCCATGTGTCCTTAATGGCCTTATGTTCGACGTGATAGTTGGCACTCTGTTCGCCGTAATAGCTGGTACTCTGTTCGCCGTAATAGTGCGGTTGGCTTGTTCGACATGGACAGCATGTGCGGAGTCACTAGCGGTCCCGGGAGTTTCGTCGTCAGTCTCGGTCCGCTGCTTGTGGGCCTCATCTGCGTCTCGGCGGGCGTCCCGCATGCGTTCGGGTCCATGATCTATATCCACATTGCGGTTCACTTCCGATTGACTTTCCGGGGACATTACGGCCGGCCCCGGTCTTTCGGTATCATCGGCCGTGCTTGGTGCTGTTATCGCGGGTATCATGGATGGTGAGGAATACTGATGGTGTGGCTGCGAATGCATTTGGGAGTCATCGGGATCGGGGCATGATGAAAATGGGTAAGGGCGTGGCGATAGGGGATCGATTGCGTCGTTTGAAGGCGAAGCCCTAGGCATGTTGGGCTTGTGTGAATCGATTCGATATCAATCTGATCTGGCGTCCAAGCTCAACTGCGATGTGGACTGCTGTGCTGATGGCAGGACGGATGCGATGCGTCGGCAGGCGTGTTGGTCCTGCGTCTCGGTGTGTCTCTTGCGGGTGGAGTAGGGATTCTGCAATGATGCAGTGGAAATGTTGATGACAGCGGCAGGTGGGGATGACAAAGAGTCACACCAAAAGATTCGAGCAGGAGGTGATCTCTCCGAAAGTTGCAAAACCGAAGCGTCTGGATGTCGATGTGGGAGCTTGTAAGTGTATAGATCCCCAGGCTTGAACCAAGCGACAGACGTTCCCGGGCCCAACCAATATCGTGACGGGGGTGACTGTAGTGCGACCTGACCGTCACTACCGTCAAACAACCTTGATGGCGGGAATGATATCTGAGTGGAGGACCAGGGCCCTTTCAGTGCAGCTGAAGTGGATTAAGACGACTGGAGTTCGGTCCGCGGTGCCAGTGTGTCTGTAGTGTGTATGCAACGTGTAGCGCTCCACCACTCAGGTCGCAAGAACGAACAGGTCTTACAAGCAAGATGAAGCAGTCAAGCAGGAAGGAGACAGAAGCGCTGGCAGATTGGCAGTTGACTTGCGTTCGTTGTCGTTGCGATGGATTGGCTCGATCACCACAAGAAACTGAAGGACCTCCGGCTTCGAAATCCCAAAGAAGGAAAATGTCTAGCAATGTCCAAAAAAATGTGCGAAATGCGAAACCAGGTGGCAGGTGACAGCGGGAAGAGATATTGCTGGACAGCCAGTTTGGTAGGTGCGGTAGCAATGAGATGCAGGCAGCTTATAATAGTCGCGGGAAAGAAAGATGAGGGCAATGACGATTTTCTGGGTCGAGTGATGGCGCTCTGCCGTCAACGTCCAACTTAAGTATCGCTCTAGCAAGACTCCCACGGACTCCTGTCCGCCTTGTTAGTGGGCACTACAATGGTCCCCAGGTCCGCTCCCACTTTCCACTTTTGAACTTCGATTGATGACAGACAAAGGTGAAAACTGGCTGGCGGTATCGGCCTCCCACTTCTTGGGTCGCCATGTCGCTTGCAATTGTACCTCTAGGCGCCAAAACAACACACAGGTACAGATGCGATGCAGCTGCCACCCGCGCACGCCGGGATGCCAAGCGGGTTGATGTCGACTGTGCGCTGCGGGGGGATTGGGAGAAGCTCTGCCGAGCCAAAGAGGTGTCCAACGGCATGCAGTTTGGCGGTGTCGACGGAGACTTCAGGGGTTCGATAGAGCTTATCGGTGTGGGGATCCTTCACGTCAGTAGCCCCACCGAGCTAACTTCTCAACTTAAGGAAGCCAGGATGGATCGAATTCCTCAAAGTGTTTGTACTACTCGAATTTACCATAAACTGGAGCCATTTCGCATTGGATCTGTCTCGGAAGGGAAGTCTAGCCCGCGATACTCGACAAGCGGGGAGTTACACAGCATAACCGGTCTACGGCCAATGACAGCCCGGTAGCAAGTGGAAAGTCGGAAAGTTGGATCGATTAACTTCTTACCTCGACATGTACGGGCCTTGTTGTTGCTATATACCGCTTTTTCCCAGTCGTAAGAGATTTACTGAACCCGGCAGTTTTGGTGAGAAAGAAGCATATGCACGGCGGGATTAGCTGCATATGAGGAATCAGTCCAATGGGATTCCCTCATCTTCCTAGCTAGCGCCTTTGGTAAATCTCTTACGGATGAGCTTTAGCGGTAGTTGGTAGCCCAGCCTTGTCACTTGATCAATCGTGATTCATGACTAGCCATGGCAAATGTCTTTCCAAGTACGAATCGGATTTGTCGCTCGAATCTGTAAAGCGCCATGCTTTTGGTGTGCTTTGTAATGAGATGTTGGTGTTCCATCACTCGGGAACACTCGATCTCCGCCTGGAAACTGCATCGTATACCTTGCCTCACTCCGTTTGGTTGGTGACTGTCAATAGCTGACGCAAGCGACCATGGCGATTCTCAGGTTCGGGGAGAAGTGGAGCGGTATGTCGATATTGTAGACGATTATGCCAGTCCTTAAATTTCCTTGTTAAACCCAGTTTTAAGAAACCCATCTGCGCCGCTAATAGATAGAAAAGAACGCCTTCGGAAAACGCCACATAATGCCACAAGAACCTCTCCTTCATTCTGAGGACGGATATCAAACTCGGGGTATTCGATCGTGTCGGGCGATTAGATGGGCTTGATCTTGAAGTGCAAGGCAATGAGACTGAACACCAGCGCCTTGAGGTCCTGAACGAGGTAGTAGAAGACGCGCAAGCCTTCTGGGTCGGCCGAGTCCGTAACATCGTTGATCGATCCAATCTTGGCAGTCTATGTCCCGTATTAGCTCTGAAAATTCCGTAAAGATGTATTCCTAGACTGGCAGGACGCACCTCAAATGAAATGTGATCGTTCCCGATGCGGATCTCCAGCTCCTGCTTTCCGTCCTTGTTCTTGGTTGGCCATTTCTCATCGTCTTCCCTGTTGGCCTGTCAGCAGCTGCTCCAAGTCGTTTGTATGAAAGGGTAGACGGGCTGTCGTACTTCAGAATCTCGCTGTCCTTGATGATGCGCTTGATCTCGTCAATGACCAGAGAGCTGATGCACACTAGAAGAGACCCTCGTCAGCTTGTGGAAAACCACGACCCGCCAAACAGTGTTTCGTACTCTCTTTCCTGATCAGACTGTCGTTACGGTAGTTGGAGTTGTTGGCATATCGGGCAGTTGCGCTACGTCCGTCGCCGAGAACGCGGAAGTCGAACTCTGTAGTGTTGACAGTTTAGCATCGTGGTCGTGAAAACGTGGGAGCTTGCGTCTCGAGGCGCCAATGGCTGAACACACCTAGGAACTCGTGGCCGAAGCGGCCCGAGTGGCCAGAGCTAAGTCTGTCGTTAGCATACCATGTTCAATCTGTAAATTGAAAGCCATAGAGAATTACATACTAGTAGCGCAGATAGAAGGGTTCGTTGGCGGCTGACATGGCTGTTTGTTGCTTCCGTCAGTAGTCTTTGCAAGGCAGAAGATCCAGCCCCCGGCTTGGTTCCTGTCGCTTTGGATGGGCAACCTTGAAAGTCGCGCCCGCGCGCGCCAACGCTCCAGTGACAAGTTGGCGGGGCACACGGCCCCACATTTGACCCAGCTTGGCCCAGGGGCATTGTTGGGCTCCAGGCTGACTTCGGGTTCACGAGCCTGTCTGGCAGCTGGTAGCGGACAGCGACACGTGATCCTCCCACTGTTATGAACAGGCTGGCAAATGGCAGACTCGGCCAGGAGATGGAGGCTTGGTGAGGCCGCGAGGGTGTCGTCGGGTCCGTGCTCCCTGTGTGGTGTTGCGGCCGGCCAGAATGCCACATCTCCCAGGGGCCATCTCTCGATATTATTGACCGACCTAGACATCAACAACAAGCATAGGTGATGCACCGCTCTCTCACCTCGCCGGCGCACTCCAAACTACCCTTTCACTGCGCAGCCGTCTCTTGATTCCCCGCCAACCGCGACCCGACCTGTCAGTCCAGGGGGAGGAAACGACATCCAGCACGAGGCCAGCTCATCGTCACTCTTCAGGAGCTCGAGGCAGCCACTCAGTCCATCCATTTACTAGCACCACCTAACCTACAACGGGGCAACAACAACTTACCACACCCGCCCCTCTCTAATTCCGACCCCCGACTCCTCTTCAGGACTCCCGGCCAGCTACTTTCTACCAAACTTAATTAAAAAGACGGCCCGGCCGCCGCCAGCTCTCCAACATGTCGTTCCTCGAAAATGCGTACAGCTTGGTCAAGGACAATGCCGTCGACGGCACCCCAACCGTGCAGGAGCTCAAGACCCAGCTCGAGAAGGGCACCGACGAGACCAAGATCGAGACCATGAAGCGCATTCTTACCATCATGCTCAATGGCGATCCCATGCCCCAATTGCTCATGCACATTATCCGATTCGTAATGCCTTCTAAATCCAAGCCCCTGAAGAAGCTCCTATACTTCTACTATGAGATCTGCCCCAAGCTTGATGCCCAAGGGAAGCTCAAGCAGGAGTTCATCCTAGTATGGTAAGGCCCTCCGTGTCCGTCTGGGCATGCTGGCCCCTCAAGCTGACCAGCCATTGCCTCGCAGTAACGGCATCCGAAACGACTTGCAACACCCGAACGAGTACATCCGAGGCAACACTCTGCGCTTCCTGTGCAAGCTGCGGGAGGCCGAACTTCTCGAGCCTTTGCTCTCCTCAGCCCGGGGCTGTCTCGAACATCGCCATGCCTATGTCCGAAAGAACGCCGTCTTTGCTGTCGCTTCCATTCACCAGCACTCCCCATCGCTTATTCCCGATGCTGCGGACTTGATCTTCACGTTCCTCGAAGGCGAAAGCGACCCAACTTGCAAGCGGAATGGCTTCGCCGCCCTTGCCAGCATCGATCACGACAAGGCTCTTCTCTATCTGAGCTCCGTCTTTGACGGTATTCCCAACGCAGATGAGCTTCTGCAGCTGGCCGAGCTGGAGTTTATCAGGAAAGATGCTGTTGTCAACACCCAGAACAAGGCGCGCTACCTCCGTCTCATCTTTGACCTTCTGGAAGCTAGTGCCTCGACCGTTATCTACGAAGCGGCCTCCTCGTTGACGGCTCTCACCAACAACCCTGTCGCTGTCAAGGCTGCTGCTAGCAAGTTTATTGAGCTTGCGATCAAGGAGGCTGATAACAATGTCAAGCTTATCGTTCTGGACCGCGTCGATCAACTTCGCCAAAAGAACCCCGGCGTCCTGGACGACCTGACCATGGAAGTGTTGCGCGTTCTTTCTAGCACGGATATTGACGTGCGGAGGAAGGGTCTCGAGATCGCTCTGGAGATGGTTTCCAGCAAGAATGTGGAGGAAGTCGTGCTTTTGCTCAAGAAGGAGCTGTCAAAGACGGTTGACCAGGAGTACGAGAAGAACAACGAATACCGCCAGCTTCTTATTCACTCCATCCATCAATGCGCCATCAAGTTTTCCGAGGTTGCCGCTAGCGTCGTCGGCTTGCTCATGGACTTTATTGCCGATTTCAACAACAACTCTGCTGTCGATGTTATTAACTTTGTCAAGGAGGTTGTCGAGAAGTTCCCTCAGCTCAGGCCAGCAATCATTGCGAGACTGGTAGATACTCTGAGTGAAGTCCGCGCCGGTAAGATCTACCGCGGTATTCTCTGGATTATCGGCGAGTACTCGCTCGAAGAGAAGGATATCAGGGACGCGTGGAAGAGAATTCGGGCAAGCCTGGGCGAGATCCCCATCCTGGCATCTGAACAACGGTTGTTGGATAATGTTGATGGTGATGCTGAGGAGAAGGAGAAGGAGCAGGTTAATGGCTCAAGGGCAGCGCCCACTGGCTCACGCAAGGTCCTCGCTGATGGCACATACGCTACCGAGACTGCTCTTACCAGCCAGTCTACAGCTGCTGCTCGCCTCGAGGCTGTTAAGGCTTCGTCGAAGCCCCCTCTCAGGCAACTTATCTTGGATGGTGACTACTACCTTGCCACTGTTCTCGCCTCAACACTCACCAAACTTGTCATGCGTCATGCCGAGATCTCCTCGGAAGAGGCTCGCACTAACGCCCTTCGCGCTGAGGCTATGCTCATCATGATCTCCGTCATTCGGGTTGGCCAGTCGCAGTTTGTCAAGGCTCCTATTGATGAGGATTCGGTGGATCGCATCATGAGCTGCGTGCGCTCCCTTGCTGAGTTTACCGCGCACAAGGAGCTGGAGACCGTTTACCTTGAGGATACCAGGAAGGCGTTCAGGGCGATGGTTCAGGTTGAGGAGAAGAAGCGCGCAGCGAAGGAGGCCCACCAGAAGGCAAAGACGGCCACTCAGGTGGACGATGTTTGTCTCATCCGCCAGCTTTCCAAGAAGAATGCCACGGATGGGGCTGATGCTTTCGACGCCGATCTCGAGCGTGCCACTGGCGGTGACAACAGTGCGGGCGAGGACCTCTCTGGCAAGCTTAGCCGCGTTGTCCAGCTTACCGGTTTCTCCGACCCTGTCTATGCTGAGGCTTATGTTAAGGTTCACCAGTTCGACATTGTACTAGACGTGCTACTTGTCAACCAAACAACCGAGACCCTCCAGAACCTTACCGTCGAGTTCGCGACTCTCGGCGACCTCAAGGTTGTGGAGAAGCCGACAAGCCAGAACCTTGGACCTCACGACTTCCACAACGTTCAGTGTACCATCAAGGTCTCCTCCACGGATACCGGTGTCATCTTTGGCAACGTTGTGTATGAGGGTGCTCACTCTACTGATACCCACGTGGTCATCCTCAACGACTTGCACGTCGACATCATGGATTACATCCAACCGGCCACTTGCACTGAGACCCAGTTCCGCACCATGTGGACCGAGTTTGAGTGGGAGAACAAGGTCAATATCAACAGCAAGGCGAAGAGCCTGCGTGAGTTCCTGGACCTGCTTATGGCATCGACAAATATGAACTGCTTGACACCCGAGGCCAGTCTGAAGGGTGACTGCCAGTTCTTGAGCGCCAACCTTTACGCAAGAAGCGTTTTCGGTAAGTTTTTCTCTCCCTTCCACACTTGTTTACCTCTCAATCTGGGAAACATCGTTGCTGACCTCCCTACTCTCCACAGGCGAGGACGCCCTAGCAAACTTGAGCATCGAAAAGGAAGGCGAAGACGGTCCCATTACTGGTTTCTTGAGGATACGCAGCAGATCGCAAGGGTTGGCCCTCAGCCTTGGCTCCCTCAAGGCACTGAACAAGATTGGTTCCGCCGCTTGAACAGATTTTCTCTCCGTATAGATGAGATGAAAAAGATGATGTATGGGGTGGTTGGGTGGGTTGTATAGCGATTAATTCATCACTTGACATTCTTTCCACCTTTTGCGTTTGTTTCAGTTGTTGTCATCACGATGTTTCTGTTACACATCATCTAGTCAATGTCTTTGTGGAAGAAACCTTTATGTCATTCCTTTCCCCTTTTTTACTTGCGGATGAGGAAGACAAAAGCAGAGGATGAACCCCAAAACAGTATGAATTATGCAAGATAAAATTTAAAGACAGACGAACGTCCAACTTTCCAGAGAAGACCAGCAGCCATGTGCAATCATCCATTATATCCCGTAGACAATGTTAGACGAAATGAGCATGGTGTTTGTTTGCATTCAATTCTAGCTGTATCCATTCGGTCTCAGTCATCCCCCATTTATCTCATCCATCAATCATCCCTTCCTTTTTCCAGGTTCCCACTCTTAGTTTGTATCCATATCCCATCTCCCAATTCCTCTTGGAAGATATTATTATATTTACAAATAAATGTCCACCCATGCTCCCTCCCTGCCCGCTCGTGCCCAACTTGTGGCTGGGTGGATGAGCAACTTCCCCTCCATATCCCTCCTGTACAAAAAAGTAAGATTAAATACCTTGGTTAAAAGTAAAAAAAAAAAAAAAAAAAAGAGGCTTCCTTATCCAATTAAGAAGTCCCGAATTATTCGAAGAGTATGTAAGACAAAGTAGTAATAGTAGTTGAAGAAGAAGAGAAAGAAGAAGAAGAAAAAGAAGAAGAAGAAGAAGAAGAAGAAGAAAAGGGGGTATGGGTATGGGTATAAGTAAGGTATCGATCGTATCGTATCGTATGAGCAGAGCGTGTTTTCCAACCATTCCATTCCATTCCTTTTCTTTCCCGTTAAAGTTGTTCCGTCATTAATCATGACATGACATGACTTATTAAGTAAAAAAGCTGTGTTGTGTAGCTAGCTGTCCTCCCAGGAGTGGTCTGGTAAAAAAGTGAATTGGTATCGTAATAAGTTCCGTAGTTGTGTACCCTAATGATATGACCTTCCTTACCTTGGTTAAGAGATGATGATGATGATGATGATGATGAAATGTGATGATGTTAATGGTGGTTGGTGATGGTGGTACACCCAAACGGTTGGTCGTATGCGCCCGTGAGCAGGTGCGTCGACATTTGTAAGAGGGTGGGTGCCGTGATATTAGGGTAGAGATATTGTTGAGATGTTCAACCAAGGGCAGGCAGGTAGGTAGGTGGTGGCCTATCGTTCATGAGCTGATGATGTTGCCGGCGCCGTAGGGTGTTTCAATAAGGTGAGGAAACAGAACCAGATGCCGGCACGTCGGCATACCGCAGTCATAACCCTACTGAGGCATCGTCTCAACTCGCCACAGCTGTAACGAGAGGAAACGGTCCGTCGCAACATGTTGCTGCTGCTGCGGAGGCTGTTGTCGACTGGAACTAGCCGTGGCCGTGTTCGCCGTCGCAGGATGTCGTTGTTGTCTCCTGCCCCTGGAGGGGGGAGGCGGAGGCGGAGGCGGGGGGTTGGTGATGGCGGAAACTCTCTTGTCAAACTCCGCTGGTTTACAATGTGGCTACCGATTGAAAACCAGGGCATTGACAATATTTCCTTGCTTCCAGCCTTGGTCGGGGAGGGTGGAGGTTTCCTTGAGGATCTTACCCATGTAGACTATGCGGACCTTTTTGTCGGAGGAGAGCTGGAGGAGCAGACGGAAGATGAACCGTTAGCTGTTGTTGTACTGCATAAAACAAAGTCGAAGGGAAAGAAAGGGAATGGAAAAGAAGGAATAAGCAAACGTACCTTGGCCTTCTCAGCAACCTTCCTCCCAAGAACCCGTACCGAATCCCCCTTGTCAACTTGCACATTAACATCCTTGGACCCATCACTCAACCTCGCCCTGACAGTGATCAGATCCTTGACGTTCACCACCGCTTTGCCTTTCTCCTCCCTGCGATGACGCTCGGAAGAGGAGTAAACCTCATCACCACTTTCCAAAGCCCCATCCTGGCCGTCGCCCTCGGTCATAATTTCTCCATCCGTTACCGACATGGTGCCCTTGGTATCTGCGTACCCATTTTCTTCATCTTCATCTCCATATTCGGAGGCCGCCTCGGAGGCCGGTCGACTGGTCGAAATATTCATCGGATCCGAAACAATGTGTTCCGGTAGCGAGTAATGATTCCCCAACGAATCGTACGCTCCTCCCTGTGCCAGATCGCCGGTGGGAAGCGTGATCTCGGCGGCGCTGAGGATGGTTTGGGCGGTTTCTAGGGCGATTGCCCGGTCGTAATTCTCATCCTCCTCATCCCCGTCCGCATCACCATGAGATCCCTCACCTTCGTAATCGCTAGCTGCCGCAAGCGTTCCATCCCCGTTCTGCGCAGCCGCAGCCGCATCCTCCTGCGCCTGATGCCACAAGATCTCAAGCGCGGCGTGAATAGTCTGCCACACCTCCTGCCTGCCCGTGACTCTGGTGTCGAAAAATTCGGCCCGCTCGCGGTCCAAAGCCGCGCGCGTCCATACCCTGCTGTGACTTGTCCACTCGTGTCGTTTGAGGGGTTTGTTGATGTGTTGGGAGAGGTTTCGGGAGTGGCGGCGGTCTCTGTCTCGGTCTCCGCGATCACCACCACCACGGTCTCCACGATCACCACGGTGCTGAGAAGAATGGCGACGATGACTTCTTCGTCGTTGTTCTCGTTGTTGTCGTTCTTGTTGTTGTTGGTTAGAGTATGATGTTGTTGCCCCCGAAGGAGGGTGAGAAGCAAGGGGTTGTCGATCGTCATTGGTTACTGACGAACCGCCTCCTATGCCGCGGAGTTGTGACCCTGCTGGTGTCCCGGCTGCGGTTTCGGGAGCTTCTGAGCCGGATCTGGTACCTCTACTCCGACTCCGACGGGCATTGATTTCTCGGGAAGAACCAGAGGTCCGGGATGCGCGGCGGCCGGCTGGGTAAGGGCCTGTTACGCCCTCCTCCTCAGAGGATCTTGATATACAGCAACCCTACAAGAAAAAAGCAGAAAAGTACGAGTTAGATAGAGACTTTTGTGTGGATTAGGATGGAATTGGAGATTGGATTAACAGGATAGGTAGAGATAGTCGTGATACACACCATTTTCTCTTTTTCGTTTTGAGATGGATGATTCCGGTTATGCCGCTAAATCCAACAAGGTTCTCTCTCTCTCTTCCTCTCTCACTCGGATATTGTATATCTGATATAAGTTTGTTTACCTTTCCCCTTTTTCTTTCTTTCTTTGCCTGATTTGATCTAACCCTTCAACAACCTTTAACCATTTTCACTTTCTGCCTAGGTGCCACCGCTCGCTCGGGTTATGTTATTCCAGCCGCCTGGATAGCCAGTTCATGACGGCCCGGGCCGGCGATTGGCCCTGAAGGCGCCAACGAATGTTGTCGTTTCGCAACGCGCAGTAGGCCGTTTGAGAGTTTTGCGCCGGTTCGGAAAAAAGAGATGAAAAAGCACGAGGCGGTATGCACCAGGCAGTGCCGGAAGTGGATGTTTCCCCTGAATGGGCGTCGTATCGCGTCCCGTTCCGTCCTTCTCGGGTACGTCTTGCTTGCTGGGTCCCGGCCCGTTACCTCCGGATCTTCCCTTGCCCCTTTCGTCAGCAGTTCTTGACGTCTGGAGCCTCGCTGGATATTTTAAGGGCGAACAAAATGAGGCAAAGAAGGTAAAGTTGAACGTGGTGCCAAAGTCGAAGTTGTTGTTCAGTTGACAACTCTTTCTCCCTTTTCTCTTGAGTGTTGGAAGATGGATTTCAACCCTGGCAGTTGGTTCCCTGTTCGCCCGTTGAAAAGCTCCTCCGATGCTGCACGTCTCGCTCTCGGCAGGCAGGCACTTGTGGTGTGTTTGATGCTAGGGTGAACCCCCACAGGCAGATCTGTTGCGCGGGGTTTATGCCCTGTAGGGGTCACCGTCCCTGACTAAGGTAAAGTTGCTGATGCGCGGGCTGCTAGCGTAGTCCAGCCGGGTCTGGGGCTGCTAAGTCCTTGCTAGGGCGTTCCCGGGCGTTCTCGCGGTGAGAGAGGCTTCGTTTCATTCCCTTGAAGGGTCCGGGGATGGTGGTTGGTGGTTGGCGGTGTCTCAGGTTGTACCGAGGCCGTTGACTGGTTGAAAGAGTTCGAGCTTCTGATAATATTCAGAAGCGTGAAAGGAAATTGGAGAAGAATGGAATTCTAGATTTCAAGTCGGGGTAAGGAACGGGATGGCGGTATGAATGGATGGGTGGATTGATGAAATGTGCTAGACTAGGACTAAACAAACTTCATGACGAATGCATATGAACGTCCAGACAAGTTCATGACATGGAGAGTGACGTTTGAGGGGGACTTTGTCATTGTGATGCGATCCCGTCCCGTCACACTGCCGGCCCGGTAAGATCATGGCAAGTCTAAACGCCCGAGCTCCCGTCATCCGTCTCCAATTCCCTGATCTGACGATCTAGATGGCGCAGATCCCCTTGACTAAATCCGGGCCCAATCTAAATCCGTCTTTTCCTACATCAACATATGATGGCTGAGCAGCTTTGACAGCCCACCCAAGTCAAGCATATCATCCGTTCATTACTGATATGGCTCAGATCAAGATTTCGGCGCAGTGGCAAGACCATAATTGCCTTTTCCCGCATAATATCTACACGGCGCTGTTGGAGTACAGACCCGATCACGCCGACTTACAAGTTCTTTTCAGCGACGGATGCTTGGTATTGCACTCGCCTCACTGCAACGGTTGCATTAGCCTGCAAGTGGTAGGGCAACGGCAAGTCAGGCCATCAGGTAAAAAGATGGGTTTGCGGGGAACGCATCGTCAAGTGATCTTTTTGGGACACCACAAGATACGACGAACCGTCTAACACCCTCCCCTTTACCACAGATAGCCTCTGCACTTGGCAGTTCCACAGAGACATTTGGTCATCTCCGATATCTTTGACGGGTCATGCGCGTCGCTCTCCAGCCCTGTCAGTCCGTTGACATAGTCGAATGTCAACTCCGTCCCTTTGGGGATATCCTTGATGGCGAACAGGGCAAGGTCGTGGATATGCTTATCGGCGTGGTCGCCCACCCGAGCAAAGATGGCCATATTGGGATCGCAGCTGTGATTGATGAACCTAGTAGGCCCACTCATATACTCGCCGTCGACCTCCAACGGCTGCCCGGCCAGTAGGGGATCTAGAGAATCCGGGTCGGAAAACTTATCGAGGGCGAATAAATAAACGTCCTTCCGTCTGGCAATAGTCGACTCTGCTCGTCGCCGGTCGGCCTCCTCGCTAGTAATGATTTCGCCCAAGTACCGGTCCACGAATTGCCCCCTCTTGATATTAACGGGGCACTTGACGCCCCAACCCCTATCTTTGGTCCTAAAGATCTGTAGCGGCACAGTCCGGCCGCGTTCTACCACTCGGTTTGGGCAGTCCTTGGAACAGGCGCAACCCTCATGACACTCGTAGATGGGCTCCTGGGATTGCAAGACTCTATCTCGCAACAGTCCCTTTTTCGCTCCCTGAGAGTAGTAGGCAAATCGCTTCTTCCGGGTATAGGGATCGGCTTCCTCGTCGCTATCTGGCGCCATTTCGTCGAGACACTGACATGTTGAGTACATGCACTCCTCGTCGCTGGCGCAGGAGCAGCCTACACGGAAAGACTGGTCGGCCACAGGAACGTTTTTGCCTATCACCGAGTGGTCGATAAAACGGAAGTTTGGGTTGAGGAAGGCATCGTCTTCGTGGTTGACGATGGAGATGGGGAGCTGAGTATGGGTGGCGAAGGATCGGATCTGACACCAGTGACAGTTTCTTGTCTCTTCTGGGTTGGCCTGGTTTATCAAAGACAAGTCAGCACGAATTCAAGCTGGCCTCGAGTTTTGTTGGATGTGGGATGCAGTTGGACGACGGGACTTACATCTGGCTTCCCGTGGTTGAAGAAGTGAGGACGGAAAGCTCTCTCCATCTTGGCTTTGACCTGTACAGGAGATGTCTATTTCCAAGTTCGAAGTGGAAGTGAATCCAAGGTGCCGCTCTGGGTGGTTTTGGAATTCTGGTCGCGGTCCTGGAAGCTGTCGGTACGCGTCTTTGGAAGTGAGACGCGAATTCCCGTGAATGAAGACAAGAGAAGGCAGGGGTCAAGCTTCGCCGGCTGAGCACCGTTGCCGGGAGTGCGGGGAGCGGCTGTAGGGGCTACAGTGGCAGCTGCCGCTGTGGATTAGGGCACGCGCACCTGAGACCCACCTGCAAGGAAACCGTTACGGCAAGCCCAGAGTGCCAATGGAATCAACCTCCTTTCAACACCAAAAATGGTAAAGACACCAGATGATCTTGCTCTGAGCGGATCGTGACCGGCTGGAAGGGTAAACCTGAACAGCTTTCGACCCTTTGGTATGGAAACCAGGAGACGAGAAGGATCAGCCTCACAAGACGCGTGTAGAAAGAAGCGAGACGGCAGTGGAAGATGGGAGGGTTGAAAACTTGACTCAATCTCGTCGAGGAAGAAGACATCAGCAGTCAGCAAAGGGGCGGCAACTGGGAGCAAGACGCCTTGAGACCTTCGACTTTACTATTTGAATCTTCGACTTCTCATCCCATCTTTTTCGTCCAAATATCTACCTTATGCGCTTGTCGAGTTCCACACCTTCACAACAGCCCCCGCCGCAACTCCAGCTGGGCTCGACTGCAGCGCAAGCCGGATGACATTCAACGCCTGGCTGCCCAAGAAAACAGGCGCTTTAAGTCTCTGAGCCTCCTCAACAGCCGCAAAGAGACCATCTGCAACCTCCTGGAGACTCGTCTTGCTCTCGGCAGCAGTCCATCCCTGCCTCGCCGTGCCCTCCCGGAAAGCCTTGATGATACTGGGGCCATACTTGTTCAGCATCCGACTTCCTCCCGCCGCGTTGATACACAGGTCAAACACCTGGTCGAGGTCCAGTCCAACCTTATCCGCGAAAGCCAGGGCCTCCGCCGCCGAGCAAAGCAATATCCCCTTCAACAGTCCGATCACCAGCGCTAGCTTCTCCTCGTCACTTCCAGCGGTCCCTTGAACCGGTCCAACCTTGCCCTTGCCTTCGGCATACAGCCTTACCAGCCCGCTGTCGTCGTCCGCCCCGTATCCCCTTCCTACGGCTGAGAAATACACTTGCTCGGCCACGCTCGTCATCAGCGTGGGGAACCCGCTCCTCCTGGCCTCGGCCGTGATGATGCTCGTATCCTTGACAATGATCACCGTCGCACTCGCAATGGGCTGATAGCCTGTCAACATCCTCGGCGTCCGGTGCTCAAACATCCAGTTCCACGCATTCGAGTTGAGAACGGCCTCGTTCGTCTTTGCTAGGTCCAGTCCCAGATGAGTGGCAAACCCCATGGCCTCGCTCGCCGCGAGAATCTGCACAGCCGCAAGCACTTGGTGCACCATCTTCATGTTGCTGCCGGCGCCGATGCCGCCCTGGACGATGTACAGCTTGGCTGGGTCCGCAAGCTCTTCCAGAAGCGGCTTGGACTTGCCAAGGGCTTCTTCGGAGGGCACTCCCGCCATGATGGAAAGGGTGCCGTCGGCGGCGCGGGCGGCACCGCCGGAGACAGGGCAGTCGATCAGATGAATGTCCGGACGGCCAATGGCGGAGAGCTGCTTGGCAAGAGATTGGACATAGTCACAGGGGACGGTGGAGCAGAGGAGGAGGACAGCTCCTTGGGGCAGAGTTGGAGCGGCGGCGTCTGGCCCGTCGATGAGCACAGATTGGGCTTGTTGCGCAGTGGCTACCATGCAGACGCAGAGCGGCTTGTCGGCCACGGCCGAGGCCGGGGTGGAGGCCGTGAGACCGCCGGCGGCCGAGAACTTCTCGAGGGTTGGGGGCCAGACATCAAAGCCGGTTACGGGGTAGCCTTGCTTGATGAGATGAGTGGCCATGCCGAAGCCCATGGCCCCGAGGCCGATGAAGGCCACCGGTTGTTTTGTGTCCGACATGATGTCTTGAGTTTGATTCGGTCAGTGGGCGCGACTCCCAGTAAGTGAGCAGTGATGAGTGAGTGTTGAGTCGCTTTCAGGTAGGGAAGAGTCACTGTGGAAGCGTAAGGCCTGGTCGATGTGTCCTGTAAAGGTGAGTATGGTAAGCTCGTCGTCCAAGCAACGGTCACTCCCTTGCGGAGATTCGATTCCCCATACTTGAGGGAAAGCCGACCTTCCCCCACGGCGAGACCGTCATTTCGTTTTCTTGCAAGACGAACAAGGCCGTTTCCGGATGAACAGCAACATGGCATGACCCACCGGTCTTACACCGAGACCTGGCTACATAAGCCGCTCCTCCTCCTCACCCCCGCCCCCGCCTAAATTGTCAAAGGGTTGGGCCACGAGGTGATCTTCATAACCAGATGACTTTTGTCAGATTCAAGGGTGGTTTTAGCCATACCATATGGAGGTTAGCGCTCCAGCCACCTGATATTGCCTAATTTCTGGGCATATCTAGGTTACCCGAGCACCCCCTATACTTTCTGGGCGAATTAGATACATACTTTTCAATTAATCAATTTTGTATTGTTATATTTGATAATTAATAGTCTGATTTGCGTATTCATGATTAATGCTACAATTATTGATTATAAGCAATATCCTTACGAAATTAATAACGTTAGTTATATCTCTATTAAAAGAATTTACCGATAAGGTTATTATAATTATCCTCAATACCCCTTCCGATTGGCCCAACTAATATAAAGTTCTTCAGAGATTCGCTAGTAATAATTAAGATTTTAATAATTAGTTACTTAAGAGAGGACTTATAATCTAAAGGGTTTTACCCCCCAAGCCGGAAGATTTCTTCTTTACTAAGTAAATAAAGGACCGCCTTGTAGTAGTAAAGAAAGAATTCGTTAAATTCAATAGAAGAATCTGGGTTAAGAAGGTCGTAATTATTATTATAGCTACTAATACGAATAGTATTATTATTAAAGCTACTATAGTTATTTAATTTTAAAAAGAAGCTGCCGCCGGCGCTAACGAAGATAATAAGGAAAGAAATTTAGGAAAAGAAAATGAAAAAAAGGAAAAGGAGGATAATAAATACTATACCGAGTAGGATATTAGGGAAGATATAGTTATTAACTCTTCTACTAACCTAATAAGTACTGGGAAAGTAGTATATAATTAAATTAATAATATATATAACGTTCGCTATAAATATTAGAAAGATTTTAACGACGCTAATACTTAGATTCGTAACTAAATAAATACCTATATCATTATTTACTACACCAATACTTTATTTGAATAGAATAAATCTACCCGCGATTAACTTAGAGAAATTAAGAATTAAATTAATTATCGATTTATTAATTAAATTGCTAAAATTCGTCGAAACTATTAAATTTTTATTAAAGAAATTATAAAAAAGCAACCTAAGGACTTCGAAAAGTAATTATCCGATAAGGAAATCCTTATTACAAACGGGAAAAGATTCGTAATTAATAAAGTAGTTTCCTTTACTTTATAATTTACCGACTTTATCGATATAGTCCGTAAATATAAGCCTATCTAAGCTAACAACTCCTAGAAATTCGATAACAAATTCGAAGAAATATCCTTAAAATATAAGGACGTATCCGCTAATTTTAAAAGGGTTAATATATTAAAACGTATTATACTATTAATTAATTCTAAGAAAATTATAGTTCGTAGCGTTTAGGGTATTAACCGTTTTAGTTCGCAAAAGTTCGTATTTAATAAAGAAAACACTTTTAATTTTAATTATAAAAAGAAGCGGAAGGTAAACACAAAGAAGAGACGTAGCGTAGATAAAAACGCAAAAGATTTTCTACGGCCGAAAAAGAAAGGAAGTATTATGCCGCTTTATAAAATTTACGAATAAAGCTCTTATTTAATAACGCGCTATTAGTATTTAATATTTAAAATTAGGAATAATGCTAAATAAAAGCTAAGCGGCCCTACTTAGAAGTTTATTAATAAGAATTTCGTAAGGTATCCCGAAATTAGTAAAGAAAAGGAAAAAAATTAGGAATTAAATATAGGACCGTTTTATTGCCTCTACGTAGATTACTACCTTAAAAAATTAAAGGAAATAAAAAATTAATATTTACAATTCAATATTTCTTATTAAATAAAATACTTTTAATAAGAGTAGCGGTAAGGATAATATTTACTTATTTAAAAACTTTATAATCTTCGATTCCGGGGTTTCTATTTATATCTTTAATAAAATTAATCGTTTCTCTTCGTTTCGAATGGCGTCCTTAAAAAACTATATCTAAACTAATAAATTTTAAATACTTATTAAGGGTTTTAGAATTATTAACGTAAAAATATAGGGAAAAATGAAAATTCTAAAATTATAATTAAAAGAGGTAACCTTCTACCTTGATTTTACTATAAATTTTATATTATTACACCTATTTCGAAAGTAAAATCTTTATTAGGATTATAAACCCCCTAACAATTACCTCGTCGGTTAAATGGTTTACTCTTTTATTTCCTTTAAAAAATCTATTACTAAATAATCTTTAAATATTTACTCCTCTCTTTCAACCGCGCCGCCTTCTTTATTTATCGAAATTGCTTTAATTCCTTCACTGGCCGTCACGCATACAAAATGCCTACTAAACTCTAGTATAAGCGATTTAATTACTACGGTCTTCAAATCCTCGAATACTTTTATAATATCGAAGGCACTAAATTTAAAGGGCCCACTATTTATTAATATAACGCGTACAATATTTTAAAAATTAAACGATAAATTAAATAAAAATTACGAAATAGGGGGTTTAACCCAGGAGAACGTTTCGCCATTAATTTCCTTAAATATAAAATAGAGAAAGGTAACCTCAAATATATTATATTTATTATTTATCGATAGATTAAATTCATTTGAAATATTTATATAGCGAATTAAATAATTAAAACCATAGCTAAAAGACTCTTTTCAATTAGCGATACAATTAATTACTAATATAATATTAAAATCAAATATATTAAATATAATCATAAATTTAATAATTAATACGTTAGGGACAAGCTAATTATACGCTTTATTATTTTCGAACCCTCAATACCTAACATTCAAATTCAAAACGGCGGTACTAAACGCTTAGGGGGTATAATTAAAAAAAAGGCACGTATAATAATAAATAGTACTAAATTCCTTTATAACTTCTAACCTTAAATTATTTTAACTTCAATCTACCTTATTAACCAATTACTTAAGTATGTTTATAATTAGAAATTACTATACGAATAATTTTATATTTTCGTAGCCTACTATAAAAGGGTATAAACCGAAGCTTATACGCCTAACTTTAATTGTTTACGTATCTACAATTATAAAATATACCCAATAATAAGCACCGTATAGAAAAAAGAATAATGGCGTAAGAAACTTCAATTAAAAGCTTAGATTAAATTTCTTATTAGCTATATTACCTCTTTTATTTACTAAATTTGGAACCCGTAAATTAATTATATCGTTTATACCCGTAATATACTCTTGAATGAAAATTTAATTTATTTAAAGAATTTTAATAATTTAAAGAAGGATTAAGGCTAATTAGTAACGAAATTACCGATTTATTCAACCGAATTAATTAATCTCCTTAACTATCTATACAATATTTCAAACCCTTCAACGCGACTTAAAATATAGAAAATAACGGTTTTACCCCTCTCCTACCATTAATCTTCGATAATAAATTTAAAAAAAATAATAACGAAACTATTTCAAAATTAATAAAACTCACCGCTTAAAGCAAAATATTTATCGACTTTATACTTAATTACCTTACCTCGCCAAATATATTACCAATTACTTTTACTACCAGCCTTATAATAAATTTACTTAAGCTTATCTCTTTCTTAATATTCGAATTATAAGAAGCTACGTTTAACGTCAAGAGATTTATTTAATTAATTAGGTAATGGTAGGGCAAAATAACTACGAAGGTAGAAATTAAGCGCCTAATTTCTAAGGGTAGTAAATTAAACTCTATTAAACATTAAAATTTCCTTCTAATCCTAAAGATTTACCGCGATTTCGAATATTATAATATAAATAGTTTTTTCAAATAAATAGAAGAAATATATTTCGATAAATATAAAAAAAATATTATAAATTAAAATTAATAAAAACGTTCCCCGCACTAAAAGTCTGCAACTCCTCAACTATGTATAAATATATATATATAAATTTAATAAATATAGTCGGTTATTACAAATAAAAGTTCGCTTCGTAATTAAAGGAAATGAATAATATAATTATAGTAAGGAAATATATACCTCTACTGTCATGAGGCTAGAGCCTAGGGGTTAAGCTTGGCTGTTGCCAAGCTGTATCCTGCAGCCTGCCGGCCTGATAAGCCGATAAGCTGCGATGCGAGCCTTCTGGTTGGCTAGACCCACATAACTGCTTAGCCTGTGCGGTCTTAGTATTAGTTGTATAAAACCTTCTTTCGATTACACCCTTTTAATGTAGTCTTTCCTCTCTTTCTTTTCTTATTAAATATAGTATTTTAACCTTATACGACTATTCGCTATATTTTATTCTTATAAACCCATTATATTATATTTAATCCTCTTTTTAAATATTCTATACCTCGCTTATACGCCTGAAGAGTTTTCTTCTCATTATTTTAATCTTTCGCAATACCCTTTCCGTATTATTCTTATCTTCTTTAGTAATACCGTTACTCTTGTTCCTTAGTAGTAACTTTTCGCTATCGCTCTTATCCCTTAGTAATAATACTCCTCCCTGTACATTTTTCGTGCCTATATTATTACTCTTTCGCTGGTATACTAGGAAAACCTCGCGCTTGCTTCGTTCGATCTTATTCGCTCGTTTACAATTAATCCTAATTATAATTACTACTCGGACCCCCATCCCTTTTAATAATAATACTAATTCTCTCCCTAAAATCCCTACGTAAATAGACTTGCTACCTATAATATAAATTGTCCGCCTACCTTTT